TTCGAAATTCGAAAATTAAATTCAAATGAATTTAAAACTCGAATTTCATCTATTTCATATCAGTTTTCATACATTTTATTTCACAATCAAGTTAAAGTGCAAATAATTTCTCTCAGTGTATGTAAGAAGTAAAGACCATATATGACACAGGAGACGGACCACACACGCAGCAATCCATTTACAGGTGCAACAGCATCAGCTGCTCTGCCAGTGGCACCTTTTGACGTTTAATGAGCGTAAACAAACGCCGTGGGAAGTCCATTACCAGCCCTACAGCCATTGTCCTATGCGAAGAAGAACGAGACCCTACTTTGTGGTTAGAGTCTGCCAGCGGGTGAAGACTTCAGCAATTGCATTTGTCAAGCTGCACAGATTTTGACTGGATGCTGCATTGTCGTCTTCTTCTTCTTCTTTTGCTTCTACAATCAAAAAGTATCATTCGATGTCCTTTTTGCCCACCCAGCGACACAAGCGAGAGGACAATCAAATTAACGATTGTTGTTTTGACATCTTACGGTCCAGCCTGGGTGTTCTCGCTCGCTGCCCAAATGACTGATAAGATCAGGCGTTGAACCTGACTTAAGACTCGCTTTGACAAATCGTCTTCAGCTCGAGCTGTAAAATTTTGCAGTTCAACAAACAAAGCGCAACATTCTATAGATCGAATGGCCGTAGGACAGGAGCAGGAAATGGTTTAAGGAACAAAAGTCTTCTACGGAATACGTAAGACAAATGGAGAAGTTTCAGATAAAGAAACGTAATAGAATAGTAAGAGATATTTAGATAATGGATATGATAAACTAATTCAAAGAACGTATGACAATACCGTAAGAAAAACCAGTGAAAAACGAAATGTGACTTAAGGCAAACCCAAGTTATATGATACATGGGAAAAGACATAATGAGACGTAAGCTAATATGTTTAAATATAGGTGAACAAATCGCATGACAAGTCTATCATACCCGCTACTCGCATGAGTAGCCAGCGAAAGAGACGAGCGACTTATTTCCACTGGGTCGGGTCGGATATTATTGTATAATCGACGAAAGCAGCATAAACCATAACAAACCAAGGCCAAGTCGAGACTCGACACGCATTTTTTCGACACTTTTCCCCCACTTTGGCCAGCCTAAAACCTGGTTACGAAAACTAAAAACCAGAAAAAGAAAGAAACAGAAACAGTAAACATAAAATAAAATTAAGAAATGAAGAAGAGGAAGAGGAAAAAACATCGAATCAAAATAATAAATAAACTCTTTATGAATTATCGCTGAACTAGTTTCAATGGGCGCGTGACAGACAAGCAAAAAAGAAAGAGAAAAAAACATTACTAAATTTTATGCGTATGCTAAAAGGTAAATGGAAATCGAAAATTCGTAATTCGAAATCTTTGTTGGAAAGTTCGAATTAAGTCAATTGATGACGACAACAAAATTCACTTACAAATCGACTTAAATACATCTTTGTGTGTGTGTGAAATGCGGAAAATAGCGCACGCTCCAATCTCACTCATTTCGTTACATGGATCAACCACAAGATATTATGAAAAATTTCAAATCTAAATTAATAGAAACGAAACGAAACGAGACGAAACACAACAAAAACTAAGCAAAAAAAGCAAAGTAAAAAGCTGCAACCGAAACGGCAATTGCTGTTGTGTGCAAAGTGATTACGAAAAAAAAAATAGAAAAAAAAATCTCAGAGTTTCACTCCATTCCTCGGCACGAGTGCGGAAGTTAAGTTATCCCACGGCATTTGGGCAGCTCTCGCGTTGTGTGAATGTATTTGGACGCGCTTACAACTCCATTTGTGTCAATTTGTCTACCCCCCTCTGTCTCTCTCTTTTTTACAATCTCAGATGTGTGGATTTGAAGCCTGTCCAACTCGTTCCACATGCGTGTGTGTTTATTTTAAGACGCATCGATCAGCAGTTAAAGCAACTCTCGTAGCCAATAAAATCAATTCACACTTTCGTCACTGGCATCGCTGCCCACGCAATGCCCGCGTCGCAGCTGGCAGTTGGCAGCTGGCAGCTTACAAAAGCTTCAAACTCTACTTTAGTTTTAAATATTGACAAATATAGAAGAAGGTGACGATGAACCATGAGAATGAGAATCAGAATGAGATTTCGAATTCGAATGAGATGACGTTGCGGTCGCCGTCGATGTCAGCGCCGCTGCCTGCCTTGGTCGTCATACACGCGTTGAAAACACACACACTTGTGTGCATTATGTGTGTATTAGTATTTTGCTTTGTTGCTAGTGAAAATTGGGTTATTGTCAGAGAGCCATCCATTCATTGAAGCGCTAACAGAGCGTGGATAGGAGAGAGAGAGAGGGAGATAGACAGAGAGAGGAGGGTAGGGTGGTAGGTGTTTCGTTTTTATTGAACTTTTTGTTTTATTTATGGAAATTAGTGTCAAGTAAATCATGTGCATGCGCTTTTGCACACACACACACTCACACAGTGCGATAGGAATTTCTATTAACAGCTTATAGAAAATCGATTAATAGAAGCTAGCTCTTCAGCTTTGTGAAAGTCGATAATAATAATCGATAAGCATTGAAGGGGGAGGCGGGGCTCTAGCTCAACATCAAACCGAATCGCATCGAAAGGTGAACCAGTTATGTTATTTCCGCTATTGAAGGAAGTGGTCAAAGGCCAATGGACGTGGAATGGCCTTTAATATTATATATATATGAATAATCAAACTGAACTTGAGTCGCTCTCGCCCAATAAGGCGCGTTTGCTGTGTGGGAAGTGATGGTTTGTACGTTGATGAGAATCTAATTTATGTATAGATGTAAAAATGAAAAAAAACTATGTTTTAATTGAAAGAACCTTAAAGACGACAGACACGCAAAATGGCTTTCCTAATTGAATTTGCTCGACAGTTGAAATTAGCCAATTTCAGAGCCAGAGCCAGTGTCAGAGTCTGTCAGCGCTAAGCACTTTTCCATCTGCTGAACCACCGCTGTCTCCTTCCCATCGATAACTCAAAGCAATCGCAACTCTCGCCCAACTTTCAACACCAACAGCGCTGTTCGGCTTTCGGCTTTCGAGTTTCTAGTTTCGAGTTTTCGGCCTTTGCAACTTCAAAGCAAACGACGCATAACTGTCAAATTTTCACACATTCAAATGATGCCCAGACCCGACTGATGGGCAACAGATTGACAGTCGCTACGCATACTCATACGCATACATACAAACATTTACAGTAGCTGTCATCATCATCATTGTTGTTGTAGTAGTTGATGTGTGGCCCGGGCTAAAGGACATGCGAACACACACGAGGCCCCTGCGGCCGATGCTAATTTGCACGCCATAAATGAAACGAATGTGTTGAGTGGGCAACGCAAAGAGAGAGCGAACGAAAGAGAGAGCATGGAGTTAAGTGATGAGCCGGCTGGCTGCTTCTATTTGGGTGGGCCACGACAACGGATGAAGACGAAGACGAAAACTAAGAAGAAGACGACGATGACGGCGACGGCGACGACGACTGCAAACGACGTGACATGCGTTGCCGACAACGCCCCTGGGCTTATACATAGTTAAGAGTATATATGTATCTACCTATGCCTATATACATAAATATATACACTTGCAGAAAACAAAAGGTAGCCTAAACTAAGAGAAAAATTCTTTTCTCTTTTTGCGAACTACAAATTTTCATATTCGAGTTGGAATTATAGTTACTAATGATATAAATAACATAGTGCTCTTTTCCCTTTATACACATAGCTTAACGTAACGTAACGTAACGTAATGCATTATACACCCCCAAAAGCATAGTCACTTGAGTTAACGTAAGAGCGCGGCACAGGGAAAGAGCATAAACGATATGTGTAATCGAAGCTGAAGCCGTCGCGCACTTTGATGTAAAGTAGGAAGCGCCGATAAGCAAGCCGCAACAGCAACAACAACGGCCAACAGCAGCAGCAGCAAGGCCATCGCGTCGGTTCAATTGAAGAGCTGCTGGCTCTGTGACTAAATGATTAAGGCTTATCTGCTGGAAGGACCTCCAGCTTGGCCTGGCTGTCCCATCAGCCATCATCATGCCATGGCCTCGTTCGCCTCGCCCTCGTCATCAGCCTCACACACTCACACGCACACTTGAATACATACAATTATCAGCTGCCGTTGGCCCTCAGCTAGCTCTCGCTCTCTCACTCGCTCGCTCGGTCGCTTGCTAGCTGGCGCACTCTCTCCGCAGTTGCGCTCAGTGGTTTTTCAGTGTCGCCGCCGACTTTGCTTCCTTTCCCATACGCTAATCGACCTCACACAAAGCGCCCCACCAACGCCTCTCACTTGACTAACCGTGGAGAGTGTAGGTGTAGCTGTATGTGCTCTGCACTAGTCTAAATATATGTGTATGTGTACATTTCGACACAGTACGACGACGTACTGCTGCAGCGTCGATTTTGTTACATAGTGAAACGAAACGAAAAATGAAACGCTGCGAGCAGCGCTGTTGGCGTCGACACCAAAAATTCACCGAGCATTGAAATCGGACAGCCCGCTCACTCAGCAGCAGCAGGCAGCAGGCAGCGAACAGCAAGCTGCGAGCAGAGACGTCGACAGCAGTCACCCGAACCGTTGCTCAGTTGGCTACACTTAGTTCAGTTCTCCGCAAACTTTCAAGCGAAGCGGTTGTGGTTCGTGTTCAATTGTGTGCGTCAAAAAAGCAGTTGACGGCCAAATTAGCAGCTGCTACAGCAACAACAACAGGGTTTCAATCAAAAGTGTTGCAACTAAAATGCATTATTAAATTTTTGTGAAATTTTAAAACAAATGTAAAGTAATTCAACGGCGAACGGTTGAAAAAATAAAGTCACAGAAAATTTAATAAAAAAATAATTAATTTTTATACATGTGATTTGTGCTTTTGTGTTAATCAATGTGAATACATAACAAATTTCTAAGCAAATTAAAATAAATTAGAAAAACAACAACAACAATAATAATAAGAATTATAATTGAGCAAATTTTCAATAATAAAATGTATGAGCCTTATGTGAAAATAAAAAAAAAGCGAAATCTGCACGAAATCTATCAAAATGAAAATCTTGTCGATGTGAATTTGGAACAGCAGCAACAACAGCAACAGCAGCAACAAATTTCAAGTGATAATTGTTGCTGTCAAAGTGGAACGCAAAATGTTGCCGCTGCCAGCGCATTGAGCAGCGCGTTGGCAGAGACGCCTGCATCGAGCAGCAGCAGCAACTGCAGCCGCTTGCAGCAATTGATATCAACGCCTCCAGTATTACTGCGCAGATCGTCGCTGACGACGACGCCAGCGTCGACGTCGACGTCAACGTTGCCGCAGCACCCACACGCTGTTGCTGTTAACACGCCAACACCAACACCAACACCACCGCCGCCACCATCGCCGCAGCAGCAGCAGCAACAAGCGGCAGCAACTTCAGTTTTGCAACAACATTTGGGTCACCTGAATTACGAAAGTGGAGCAACTGCAGCAGCAGCAGCAGCAGCAGCAACAAGAAGTGGCACAGCAACACTGGCGCAACATTTGGCAACACCCAGCAGCATATTGCAGGCTGCTTTCAGCAACAACAACAACAGCAACAACAACAGCAGCACCAGCAGCAACAGCAATTTACAAAACATTTTGACGCGCGCACAAAGTTCCTCCTCCTCCAGCAACAATTGCAGCAGCGCCTGTGCCGGCAACAGGCACTACAACGGTAACAGCGGCAGCAGCAGCAGCAGCAGCAGCAACAGCATCATTGCCAGCCGTCTATTCGGACCCACTTCATCCACCGCCAGCTGCAGCAGCTCCAGCTCTCTGTCGCCGCATCATCATCTGCATAGCCATCATTCCGCTTTGACCAATTCAATTACGAATCGCATTAATCAATCGATACGTCGGCATCTCAATCAGCAGCAGCATCATCAACACAGCAGCAGCAGTAGCGGTAGCAGCAGCAGCAGCAGCAGCCCCAACTCAGCCTCGTCCTCAGCGAGCAATAGCTCCAGTTCTTCTTCTGCCTCTCCGTCTGCCTCCTCATCGCACTATCAGCAGCAACATTTTAATTGCGCTCATCCTGCACAGCAGCAACATCAAAGCCACAGCAACCAGCAACACCTCCAGCAGCAACAGCATCATCAACATCAACACCAACACCAACACCATCATCACAGCAACAATCAGCAACAACAACAATCTCCACTGTGCCTAGTATTATTAGTTAAATGCCCCAATTCGAAGGAGTTTTGTAACGCCGCTGCAAATTTCTGTGATAAAAGGTAAATAAACTCTTATACAGTCATGTGCATAAATATATGTACGCATGGGGGTGGTAAAGTACAAGTAAAACGAATGGAAATGGAACAGAGTCGTAATGTAATTTTGAATTAACAAACGCAAACTGAATTTATTTAGCTGCAGTGAAAACTAAACTAAAAAAATAAATATTGAAAATGAAAAAATAAAAAATTAAATGTTACATAAAAATATGCGAAAATATTCGACTAGTTCGCGCTCTCACTGTAGTTATACAACACTGGCAATGCTTAGCGCGCATCCTTGACTAGCGAGAAACAACAATCAGCAAAATACTTTGTTTAACAAATTTTCAGTGCATTTACCAACATTACTTGCTGTGTTAATTCCGATGACTTGCAATTTACCACACATACACACATATACATATACGTCTCTGTGTTTGTGTGTGTGCTAGTTTGGTTTGCAACCTCGGCGTAACCCACTTTTAATTGGTTAACGCTTTGACCTTAGCGACTTGAGTGAACGAAAGATTGAGGCAGTTGATGCCAGTGTTGGTAAGCGCAATGGAAATGAAATGGTAGAAAAGGGCTGTGGCGGGGTGCAGGGTGTTTAACAGAAGAAACACTAAACAGCTGTCTGGCTCGCATTACACATACATACATATGTATTGCTGATTGAGTTCTGCTTCTTACATGCACTTGTTGCTTTTAATTAGCCTTGGGTATGTCGCGACGGCGAATCGGTCGATAGGCCCTGAAGCAGCGATAGCGATTTTTTATTTATATTTCCCTTTATTGAAGTGATTCATATAGCACGAGTGCGGCAGAGGGAGAAAGGGAGCGTACACTCATATATCCCTATCGCACTCCCACTCTTGCACGCTCGCCTGCCATGTGCTCTCACTACACTGCCACTCAGTATGCGTTCCTGCGTTCTCTCACTCTCTTTGACTTGACGAAAGACTTGTAGAGTCATTAGCGTACATCATGTCGAGTCGTGTCTTTGCTTTGATTTTCGTAAATGGACAATAAACATAAAATGACCGAATCGCGGTTTAATTATATTTTTTTGCACGCCATCTGCGCAAACGGAACGGGAAGTTTGCTTCAGTGCGCCTGCTGCAAGGGTCAGACTCGGCTCATTCGCTGACACATGTGTAGAGCTTATGCTTATGTAATTGCTGTGGTGCATTTGTTGATCCTCTGTTCGCTTTGAAAATATCACTCCCAAGTGACATGTTGCTGCAACAAGTTGCTAAGCCTTTGACAATTGTTGTCATTGCCAAAAAAGAATTAAAATCGGAAAACGTTTTGAAGTCAAAGCAGCAACTTTCTCATTTTAATATCCATAAGTAGATGTACGTAGTTAATAAATTATTTAATAAAAAGTAAAAGACTGCAAAACTTTCAAAAATTAAATTAATTAACTACGGCAGACATCGATTGCTGCAGCAGCATGTTGCCTAGCCGCTGTGGCTGAGTGATTCGCTGCGAGTTGCTTGAACTCTACTCTGCTCCAATCAATAAAATCATTGCTACAAATGTTTTTTTTTATTATTTTTGGTTTTCACTTTGCTTAAGGCATTTCACCCAAGCCAAACAGCATCGCCTCTTTCACATTTTGAATTTAGAACAAATCTCTACAGCAAAAAAATAAATTTCTAAGCCAATAAAAAGATATTCAAAGAGCGAAAGAGCGAGATAGAGAAAGAGAGAGAGGCGCAAGTAGAAATCCGGCAGCAACAGCAACAACAAAAATGAAAGCACGACAAAAACAAAATGTGAAAACGCATGAAAGCCAATTTCTTGTCGTCGTTTCTTTCGCTTCGTCGCAGTCGCCGCACAATTTGTTTAGAAAGTGCAGAGAAATGGTAAAAGCGGCAAAATGCAAACAAGCCAAGCAGCGGCAACAACAACAACAATAATAATAATAGACAGACCAAGTTTGGCCCCAAACTCTTGTGCAGTGTAAAAAATTGGGCACAAAATGTTTATTAATTTATTGATTTCATATCATGGCTCAACACATTAATGATGTTTGCTAATGACGTACGCTTAATGATAATTAAGCATTTTTACTATTATACAATACAAACGCCACGCGCTCGTCGCAGAGCGCGACGGGCAACGTGCTGACTGAAAGCAAGCCTCAGCATGAGAGCAAGATAGCGAGGGAGAGAGAGAGAGCGACCGAGCAGTGAGGCCGCATGTAAGCTGAGCTTTGACTGTGAGCTACGTCATCAAACAAGTTTTTTTCGCCGCAAGCATAGCGCGTGTTTTTGTTGTTACTGTGCGGACGATTACATAAAGCGCTGTCGTTGTTTCGTCGTTATTCGTGCCTAATAGTGATTTGCTCTCGTTTTACGTCGCCTGGCTTCGGTTACACTGCGGTCGGGTGAAATTCTCTGTCGCTGCCGCAGCCGCAGCCGCTGCTGACGTCTGCCTTTGACGCCTACACGCCTGCGCGCTTACAGTGCGCGCCATACAAATAAATACAGGCCAAGCAACGGCGCAGCCGTCAACAGCTCATTTCAATGCTGCTTGTAATGCTTACGTAACGGAAATATGTTTTCCCTTTGTCATTATTCGTTATTAAAGCAAAACTAGTGTAAACTTTCATTTATGTTGCAATGCGGCCTGACAAAGTGTCAAAAATTGAGCAAGACCCCATCTACATAACTACTACAACTATATTTTCCTTATCTAGATAAAGCGCCTCTAAGAAAATAAACAGAAAATAGGTTCATTTTGGAAATAGAACGCAGCAAATTTTCGCCTTTCCTTCTCCACGACGAAGATGTGACTGTAAAGCTTTGTTAAACGAATCGCAGCCTTTCACCGTTATAGCAGAGATTTGATTTTTAATAACAATAAACAAATGCATAATTGCAATCGTTTGCAAAAAAAGTACAAAATTTACAAATTTCACTCTACTTTAATGATTTTTATACATTTTATATAACAACCACAACAACAACAACAGTAGCCACAGCAGCTGCTATTGGCAGCGACTTTCACGAAAACTGCAAGCAAAACTGCAGAGGGAGCGAGAAAGAGAGAGAGGCTGAGGAGCTTTCTCCTTATGGGTCGGCCTTTGGCTCGACTGCGCTGCGCTGTGCTGCGTTCGTAAAAGGCAAATGGACGCAACGCAACGCAACAAAATTAACGACTGACTTCACACAAAGACAATAAGCAATAACAACAACAACAACAAAAATAAGAAACGTAGCGAAACGAAACGAAACTTAGCGATAAAACGAAACTTGAGCGTGGGAGTTTACAAAATTGATATGCGTTCAAGTGTTGACATCTCGGCCCCCCGAAATAAATACACACATGCATACACACATGTGTACTAACTTGCTTATGTATATGTATGATGACGAAGAGCATAAATGCGCAAGGCGTAGTCGAAGAGAAATTGCATGAGCCAATGGGTGGGTGGCTGGCCATTGTTGTTGTTGTTGTCGTTATTATTGTTGCTACTGCATTTAGTGGCGGAAGTGAAGAGATGAGCAGGCGCTAAGAGTAGTTTCTCTTTTCTTTTTTTAAATCATTTACATTGGCATGGAAGATCACATTATTTAAATTAAATTGCCAGCTCGTTTCTGTGCTGTTGTTAAATTTATCTTTGAATCGCCTTTATATGTATGCCTGTATGTGTGTGTGTAAAATGAAAAGCATTTCCTTTTCTTCAAAACGTTTTTCACTCGACTCATTTGTTGCTGTTGTTGTTGGGCGAGTGAAAGGAGCATTTTCTGCCGCCGCCTCTGTTTGTTGTTTCTTTTTATGTTTTGTTGTTGTTGTTGCTGTTGGTGAAAACGCCAACAACAGCAACAGCAACAACAACCACCAGTCGAGTGAAAACTCATGCGATAATTTGTTGTAAAAATGAAAATTTTCACCATTTTTATTATTGGCCTGCCTTTTGTTGTCGACATTCGTTTGTTCGTTGTTTGCTGCTGAGGCTTTTTTCTTTCTATCAAATTTCATTTAAATGCTAATGAAAAGTTGCCGGAAATGTGTTTCGACTTCAATTATATAACAAGCGACTTTTGTTTTGGCGGAAAATTGGTGAAAAGTTGCTCAATTTGGCGCGATTTTCATTTACAAGAAAGGCAACCAGACAGCAAGTCAGACAGCCAGCTGCAAAGACCCCAAATATGTTCGCTTTTCTCTGTTGTTTGCCTTTTCACATTCTACTCCTTCGTTCGCCTTTGCCTTCTCCTACTCTCTCTCTCTCTTTGCCTGACAGCTAAGCCGATTTATAATGCGCAGCTTAACACGTGCTGCTCTTTGTCATAAATTCGCTTTATCTCTTTCTGGCCTGCTGTGTTGTGCCCACACAATTGAATGGATGCATTCTGTGCAACGTTTAAGATCACAAGGTGCTGCCTTGGCAGCGTGTCCATGACCAAATGCATTCGATTCAGCTGTCCATGGCGGCGGCGGTAACGGCGACAGCGACGGCGACCGCGACCGCGACTACAGCAGCGGCAGCGTATAGACAAAAGGCATGGAAAGGCTGGACCTAGAAATAAGCAGCTGGACTGAGTACAGTGAACACTCAATATATTATATATACATATATATATAGTATATACACATTTAAGGCTACTTTTATAAAATTTTTCAAATTTAATTTTAATATATAAACATATCTTATTCAAAATTAACTTTTTGACAAGCATTTATTAAATACAACTATTTGCTATATTTGCTATAACTATTTGCTTTCCTCTACAATTCCATTTTAATGCAGCTTACATTTTTATTCGTTAAGTAGTTTGGGTCCAGCCTAAATAGCTCAAGTGCTGAGTCATTGCTCACACGCTGGGAGTTCTTGACGATTGCTGTAACTCATTAATCATCTTGAGCTTTAACTGTGCACTGTGGCTGCCCGAAAATCACTTTGGCTTGGCTTTACGCCCCCCACCACACAACGTTTAACCTTAACTACGAACTTGTGCGCCATGGGCTTTGCCTTGCCGCCAAACCATGTTTGAGCTAAACGTTTCCAATGTCATCATAATAAACAAAAAGTTTCGACTCTGGCCCTTCAGCAGCAGCAGTAAAGCAGCAGCAAGCACAAAAGAGAGCGCAAAAAGCGTAAGAGAGACAGACGGTAGGCAGCTTGTGCTGAGCAGGTGTTTGTTTCTGTTTGTGTGTGCGTGTTTCGTTCAATGCCAAATCAATGTCATTAACATTAAAGCACACTCACTAAAAATTGTATAAAGCTACTTGAAGGTACTAAGCCCGACGACGACGACGACGACTCGGCGGTTGACTGCCCCGCATGATTGACGTCGACATCGACGTCGACGTTGACTGCGCTGCCGCGCAGCTGCTTGTTAAGTTCGTTGTTGTTTCTGCTGGTTGCTGCTGGCAACTGTTTCCGATGCTGTTTTACGGTTTGTTCACCTTGATAAAATTCGCCTCAACCTTTTAACACACGCACGCGCTGTCACACACAGGCGCATTGAAGGTCCTTTTCAAGCAATTCTGATGGCCACGGCACAGCAGCAGCAGCAGTGGCAACAGAGGCAGCTGAGCAGCGAACATTTGTGGCAACTCTTAGAAAAATCTCAGTTGTTGGTGCTGCCTCATTCAGCCTTGTATAGATTTTCCGTGTTTTCTTTGCTTAATTGTATATGAAAATGTTGCTGCATCTGCGCCTAGGTCTCTTTGTTATTTGTGTTGCTGTAGCAGATCCTCCCTCTCTCTTGCTTATGCTCTCTCTCTCTCGCCCATTGTTTTCTGTCAATTTTCCACTCTTGGCTACAATTTTTGGTCTATTGTTTGCTGTCATCTGCAGGCTCTGCTTGTGACTTATTCTTGTCTTTGCATCCTGTGACGCATCCGTCTTGGCCGTCTCAGATTTTATATTTCTTTTGGCAGCCCACACACCAGTTTCAGTGTTTAGTTACAATTTGCCGCTTTGGCAGAACAGTCGTGTCTACATCGCTCATCAGTCGCTAACAGCTATAACTGTATACGCGCTCTCCTCGCACTCCTTAAGTCGGGCAATCGTAGCTCAAAAGCTCTTCAGTGAGCACACTCACTGCTTAGTGCTCGCTCTCACTCTCCTACTCAATAACGGTTAATGCTCATTTTTGCGCGCTCGTCTTACTCACAATTATGCGCACTGCACATTTTGGCGCATTTTACTTTGTGATTTCCGTGTACTCGTCTCAGTTCCGTTCTTGTGCCCCGTGTGTCTTGTCTCTATCCTGTTATAATTTATTTTAAATAGAAAATCTAGTTACATTTCTTTTTTTTCTGTGTGCGCTTGTGTGTGTGTTCAAGCTGGAGAACTCTTTGCTGCTAAAGCTGCTCAATCTTTTGGCCAGACACTCCAGATCCGATAGTCGTTTCGTCAAGATTGAGTTCGAGCGCAGCATCATGGAGATACTGCAAGAGCCAAGGTGCTCCATTCTTTTAACTATCAAACTAAATATATACACATATAAATATGCATAAATATATTTTCACTTTATATATAGACTTGCAATTCAATCTAACCACACTTTACTCACTCTCTCTCTCTCTCTTTCTTTTTGCAGATTGCCGGTTAACGAATGTCAGGCAAGCCAAACAGCTAGAGTCACCTCGAACCTGCACGCATCCAGTAGCACAATGGCGGTCAGTCGTGTACCCTCGCCGCCCCTGCCGGAAGTAAATACGCCAGTCGCTGAGAACTGGTGTTATACGCAGGTAAGGCCCAACACCCGATTAACGATTGCCGTTTATCGATTCCCTTATGCCTTTGTACTCCTTGCTCATCTGCCTGGGATTAAGTTTCAGTTTTGCATTCCTATGGATTTTCCTTAATATCTCTGCTCGCTGCTCGTATTTCAGCTGTGTAAACTGAATCCACTTTTGTGGAAACTGCATTTCCGCTCGTTACGCAGGTGTGCTCTTAAAGCCAAATAGCAACTGAAACCAAATGCGAATGGAATTCATTGACCCATAACAGAGTTTGTCTAATATATGGACTATATGCTAGTTAGTATAGTCATCATATGAGCATTGAGGGATTGAATGATTGAAGATCAATGTAAAGTCCAGAAGCAAATATTAGAGCTGATATTAGAGCTAATTTATATGAGAAAATTAAACATAAAAACACAATTTTGATTGACTGATTGAGGTTTGATTGATTGAAAATCAAACGATTTCCAAATAATAAGTTATAAAAAGAGTTTTGATTGATTGATTAATTGATAATGAATGATCAATGATAATGAATGATCAAAAATAAGAAACAAACCAACAAAATTTAAGGGAACCCAACTATATAAGAGAGTAGCCCGATATATAAGCAGGTCTTATTAAATCAAAATTCGATTCATTTCATATCTAACGATCGATTCTTCTTTTCATAACATTTACAGGTCAAAGTGGTTAAATTTAGTTATATGTGGACCATAAATAACTTTAGTTTTTGTCGGGAAGAAATGGGCGAAGTTCTCAAATCTTCCACATTCTCAGCGGGTGCTAATGACAAACTGAAATGGTAAGTAAAATCAGATATATATAATATATAAATATATATATATATAACTTTAAACTATAACTAATTTGATATTCCATCGTTCCTTAGGTGTTTACGGGTAAATCCCAAGGGTTTAGATGAGGAGAGCAAGGATTACTTATCATTATATTTACTGTTAGTATCGTGTAACAAATCTGAAGTCAGAGCCAAGTTCAAATTTTCCATATTAAATGCAAAACGTGAGGAAACCAAGGCCATGGAATCCCAACGGTAAGTAACTTACTTGATTTCAGATCAAATATTATTTTACGAATCGTCTACTATATCTTTGCTTTTCGCTATTCATTTGCAGCGCATATCGTTTTGTTCAGGGCAAAGATTGGGGCTTTAAGAAATTTATACGCCGCGATTTTCTGTTAGACGAGGCCAATGGCTTGTTGCCAGAGGACAAGCTGACCATTTTCTGCGAGGTGAGCGTTGTGGCGGATAGCGTTAATATCTCGGGACAATCCAATATAGTGCAGTTCAAAGTGCCCGAGTGCAAGCTCTCTGAAGATCTTGGCAATCTCTTCGACAATGAGAAGTTTAGCGATGTCACGCTCTCAGTGGGCGGTCGAGAATTTCAAGCGCACAAAGCCATATTGGCAGGTAAATATAGAGAATACACCTCTCATATGATCTAAAATAATGCTAATATACCTTTTCCTTTGCTCTTCCTTCTATAAAGCGCGCAGCGATGTCTTTGCTGCCATGTTTGAGCACGAAATGGAGGAGCGTAAGCTGAATCGTGTCGCCATAACCGATGTGGATCATGAGGTGCTCAAAGAGATGCTACGATTCATATACACGGGCAAGGCGTCCAATCTAGAAAAAATGGCTGATGATCTCTTAGCGGCTGCTGATAAGGTGAGGATTTCATTCGTGCTGAATTGCTGAATAATGAATGCTAAAAGAGCTCACGCAGCTGAATTTGTTATCCTACCTATATCCATTATAACTAATTGTTGTGTATATCTCTGTTACAGTACGCACTCGAAAAGCTGAAAGTGATGTGTGAGGAGGCGCTGTGCGTCAATCTCTCTGTTGAAACAGCAGCCGAAACGTTAATATTAGCTGATCTCCATAGTGCGGATCAATTGAAAGCACAAACGATAGATTTCATTAATACGTAAGTACTCACAACTTGCCTTAACATTGTCATATCAATTCATTGTTGTCCTTGTTGCCTCACTTGCAGTCATGCCACCGATGTGATGGAAACCTCTGGCTGGCAAAATATGATTACGACACATTCACATTTGATAGCGGAGGCATTTCGTGCGCTCGCAACACAACAAATCCCACCAATTGGACCACCAAGGAAACGCGTGAAAATGAGCTGAAACCTTAATCCAGCAGCTAAACATGTAACACTAAATGTAACAGCAACAAGAAGCAGCACCAACAACAACAACAACAACAACAATACCTACAATAATAACAATAATAATAACAACAACAATTGTAAAGTAGATTTTAAAAGTTGCAAACAAATTGTTAATTTGATCAAGAGATTCATATGCTATGCTACAACAACGAGAGCAACAATAAATCATATTCATAACAACAACCATTTTAAAACTTGCATGCAAATTTATAATTTGATCAAGATTTCAAATACTACTATTAACAACAACAACATAAATAACAACATTTGTAAAATATATTTAAAATGTTGCTCGCATATGAATTTTTTGATCAACACTGAAACAACAACATCAACAATAGGAGCAAAACAAATAACAACAACTACTACAGCAACAACCACAACAACAACAACTACAACTGGCCTGAGCCACAACAACAAGCATTCTATATGCCGTTTATTGTTTCAATATCGAGTAATTTAATATTCAAATGCTTGATAAATGTAATATTTTTATTTTGTTGATTTATGATTTATGATTAATGCTTAATTTTAAGATGAAATTACAAAAAAAAACAGAAAACAAAAACAAAAAAGGAAAAACAATTTAAAGTAAAAGTAAAATAAATATATAAATATAAAACTAAAAGGAAAAAACCAAGCAAAAAACACAAAAAGAGAGAAAACAACACAAAATCAATAAGAATAAAAAGTGTGCATAAGAAGATTATGATGATGTAACGAAAAGAAAGGCAAATATAAACAAAAACGAAAAATAATAAATTGCATAACTATTATAATTATTATTATGATTATTATTATTATTATATAACTATATTATTATATTACAAAGCGTACACTTTGATTGTGATGTATATTCGATGAGTATGACTAATGCATAATGATACGGATATGATAATGAAGTTGATTTATATATTGTGTATATGTAAACTCTGCTAATTCAATTCAATAGAAGCATTCAAACTTTTTATTTTTGTATGTAACTAAACAACAACAACAACAGCAACACCAACACCACAGCAATAACAACAGACAACAAATTGTAAACCTCTTCTCTTTTCGTTAAACAAAAAACAATAAACTTTAATGTTTTTTTTTTGTTTTTAAGTATTTAATGCAATCTTCTTTATTTCTTGTAAAAAACAAACCACAAACAAAAACTCTTAAAAGAAAACAACTTCAAAAAGATCGTAAATAAAAGCAAATTGTAGCACTCTGTGTATAGTAAGCAAAAACAGCAACAGCAACAAGTTTTACTGGATCAAGGTTAGATATATATACATATATATAGATATATAGCTGACTCGAGTCTAGTCAAGACTTTCTTCTTTTTTCAGCAAAACAAAGGAACAAACAAACGAACGAACGAACGAATAAACTAAAAAGTGATAACCCAACAAATAAACTATAAATAAATAATATTCAAATTTTGTTAAGATCAAGAAATCAAGCAAACCCCAACTTAGCTCTGCTGCATCCAGATAGAAAGAACAACAACAAAATTTGTAAATACATTTAGCAATAGTTATTTTTGATTCCAATACAAATGCACAATATAAATTTGAACAATGTTTTTGCACAGCATAAGAATTTAATTGAAATTGATTGCTTGATTGATTGAGACGGCGCATTGCTGTGCAAAAGTTTGTTTAGTCAATATCAAAATGCAAAACATATTAAAGCTACTAAGGAGACAACATTTTTATGCATGCCAATCTAAATGTGTAGAAAACAATAAACAATTGAAGAAAGCAACTGGGAAACGAGTACGAGTACTTATATATATATATATATGTATAAACACACACATATATATACATATATATATATGCATATGTAATAGAACTTTATAGTAAAACTGGGGCGGGGTCAGGGACGTTACAACACGGGCGAACAAAGCGAAGGAGAAGAAACCATTTTTAAAGTGACATATTGTAATTGTATTTAACAAATTAGATAATAAATTAATATGTTCTAAATATGTTGCGACTATTTCTTCTCCTGCTCGTCGAGAAACTGCTGCAGGAGCGACGCATCAATCGGTATGTTCAGCTGCTCGGAGCCGTCGACACTGCGCTTCGACTTGACCAGCTTGTGATCCAGAAACTCAGTCAGTTGGGCGCGCAGTGCCAAATCGGAGCTAACCAGAAAGGCCTCGCGACAACTCCAGTACAAGTCCTTGAAGGGCATGCCCTGATAGTTGGCATTGCCCTTGTTCTTCAGCTGAAACTTGACAATCAGCATGTAGATGCCGCGCGAATTTGATGTCAGCGAGGAGAAGACGCTGCGCAGCGAAGACAGCGCCAGTTCGCCAGAATTCTGCACCAGCAATGAGTTCTCAAAGGCCGTCTCATCTGTGTAGGGCAGCATGGTGGTGCAATCCCACCAGGAGAAGTTAAAGTTGCTTAGCTTGTTCTGATCCCAAACTAGAAAGAAATGTCAAAGAAAGGGATTAGAAATCAACAACGAAAGGGAAGAGGAATATCCGACTAGGGGATACCCGCGCCAAGGCAGGCATCAACTATGCCTACTTACGCAAAGGTGTATTGATGTGATCTATGGAGGCCAATAGATGAATGTTGGGCACGCGTGCCAATCTGGAGAGAATGGCTTGAGATTTCACATTACGGAGCATAGCACCGTCTAGATTGTGAACAATCAAATAGAGATGTGCTTCTGGTATGAGTGCAAACTCCTCTTCGATCATGTCGACGGCCTCGTGGGCATTGGCTGGACTTGGGCCAGCATCTAGAATCTCGCTAGTAATACTATCCAAGACATCTTTCAGTGTCAAACTGGGGAAGAAGCCATTGATGACCAGTACGGTTTGCTGGGCGAGTATGTCACGATGAAAGGATTGCAGCAACTGTCGCTTCGAGCCGAGGCCATAAAGCAGAATATTGAATCCTTCGTTTAGAATGCACATCCATTTGGCAAAGTACGAGCGATACTCTTCCATAATGGCATTGATGGCCATCTCGTGCTCTGGGGATGCTTTCATGTCGGCCAGCAGAGTAAACAAACGATCAGCGGCTAATCGCGGATTCTTCAGGCGATCTAGCGTATGATCCGACGTGAGAATCTTGCTGCTGGCATGAGAATGAAAGTAGCCATCACTCTCGGGCACAAACTCGTTCGATCTCTTCACACGCGCCGACTGTCGCTGGCGGGCGGCCGACGGCGTCTTCGGCAGCACAGGCACAACTATGGCTCGACGAGCCTTAGATGGCGTCTTCGACTCATCGTCGGCGCCGTCGTTGTCAGAACTGGCACCGCCTTCACTGCTGCTGCTGCTGCTGCTACTCGAGGAATCGTCGTCGCCTGGATGGAAGTCACTGTCCGCGGAGAAATCGTCATCGGAGTCAGCCACAATTTTGGCTATCTCTATAGTAATATATAATATATTTGTAAGTTAGCAATGATTTTGAATTCGTGCCACGTACGTTGTTTCACCCGCGTTCTCACATGTGCCGGCGTCTTGGGCTGATCTGCCTTTTTGCGCTTCGTGTCTGGGGTCTTGAGACCCAGGCGCGGCGTCTTTGGTGTCTTCGGAGTGCAGGGCGTAGCATTGAGTGCAGCTAGTGCCATAGCATCGCGCTTCTTGGGCGTATTGAAGCCAAATAAGCTAGTCCCCGCCACATTGTAGTCGGCCTGTATTAGCTGTATATCTCGGGTATTTGGCTTTGCAGCACCCACATTCTCTTCATCTTCATCTTCTTCTGACTGAGACTCCTCCTCAGCATAGTTGACAACTCGCTGACCTCCGGACTTGTCCCTGTACTCTTTATACTTTTTTGTGGGGCTTGGTCTGCGTGTGGAGCGTCGTGTGCGTGGCTGCTCCTCAGGCTCAGTGGTACTTGAATCAATGGCAGCTGATTGTATTTTTTTTGGTGTCGTGCTCATTTTACATATGTTGTTACTGCACTATTAACAAAAGAGGTTTAGTAAAAATTAAAATATAAATAAGATTTTTGTTGTTTTTGGCGCGGTTTTGTAAATAACATATCGAATAATAAGTTTCCTTTGAAGATCGTTGGCTATCGATTACTTAGCTCACTTAAATTAAATCTCTTCTTAGTTCATTTAGCGCATTTTGCAGCCCTGAAGAAATTTGAATTTTCATAAAGCGCCAATTTTTATTTAAAAAAATTATGAAATTAAATTAAATTTTAAATGATACAAATATACATACATTTCTTTTAAATATTTTGTGTACTAATTAACATTTATTTTATCATCAATTAAAACATATATTCAAATGAACTTTCAGATAATAATTGACTGTCTGATATCGATATATCGAGCAGAAATACATCACTAACTGTGAGTCAGGCGGTTTAGCGTGCGGCAATTTTTCACTGAGAGCAGTAGCAGTGTGTGTTTAATTTTTATAAAAATTTTTATTAAAACTCGCATAATACAGACGAAATATGTCGACATTGGCAAGTCCCTTATCCATCGCTGGCACGCGGCAGTCCGGCGCTTCTGTGCGCACACAGAACGGTAAGAAATCGTAGAATGCAGCAACAGCTGCAACCATCGAAATAAAGTTGCCGGGACAGAAGCACGTTGCCTATAAGACCCCCAGATGGTAGCGAAGAATATTCTAGAAGTTGTTAGTAATGTTTTCGTATTTTATATTTATATGTGTGAGACAATTCAACAATATGAATATAATATGAGACAGTGTCTAGCTTAAAGTGAGGTTAGGACAGTCATTCGTGACTCTAATATGACTCTTATTTACAGTTATGGCAGCGCTGTCCATATCGAATATTGTCAAGAGCTCGTTGGGCCCTGTTGGCTTGGATAAAATGTTGGTTGATGATATTGGCGATGTTACAATTACCAATGATGGAGCAACTATTCTCCGTCTGCTCGAGGTGGAGCATCCAGCAGCAAAGTAAGTTAATTAACTCTTTTCAATCATTTTGAGTGAAACAGACATTGACATTACAGGGTGCTAGTGGAGCTGGCTCAGCTGCAGGATGAGGAGGTTGGCGATGGTACCACATCCGTTGTTATATTGGCCGCTGAATTGCTGAAAAACGCCGACGAATTGGTCAAGCAGAAAATTCATCCTACTTCCATTATCTCTGGTTACCGTATTGCCTGCAAGGAAGCGTGCAAATATATTTCAGAGCACCTGACTGCACCAGTGGACGAGCTTAGCCGTGACTCACTCATTAACATCGCAAAGACTTCAATGAGCTCCAAGATCATTGGCGCCGATGCCGATTTCTTTTCCACCATGGTTGTGGATGCAGCTCAAGCTGTTAAGATCACCGATCCCAAGGGACAGGCAGCGTACTCTATCAAAGCCATAAACGTGCTGAAGGCACATGGCAAGTCGGCACGCGAATCGGTGCTGATTCCCGGATATGCCTTGAATTGCACCCTGGCCTCACAGCAAATGCCTAAAAAAGTAGTTAACGCAAAAATTGCCTGCCTGGACTTTTCGCTGCAGAAGACCAAGATGAAGATGGGCGTTCAAGTATTGATCAATGATCCCGACAAACTGGAGGCCATTCGCGCACGTGAGCTGGATATCACCAAGGAGCGCATCAACATGATTCTGGGCACCGGCGTCAACGTTGTCCTCTCCAGTGGCGGTGTGGATGATCTGTGCATGAAGTACTTCGTTGAGGCAGGCGCCATGGCTGTGCGCCGCGTTAAGAAGAGCGATCTGAAAATCATTGCCAAGGCAACTGGTGCTGCATTCCTTACCTCGCTGACAAACATGGACGGCGAAGAGAGCTTCGATGCATCAATGGTGGGCGAAGCAGCTGAGGTGGCTCAAGAGCGCATTTGCGATGACGAACTCATTCTCATCAAGGGCACCAAAGCACGGTAAGAAGACATCAAAGAAACATAAGCCGATAAATTTATATAAATTTTCTGTATATGTGTTTACAGTGCTGCTGCTTCCATAATTTTGCGTGGTCCTAACGACTTCTACTGTGATGAAATGGAGCGTTCCGTGCACGATGCTCTTTGCGTGGTGAAGCGTGTGCTGGAGAGCAAAAAAGTCGTTGCTGGTGGTGGCTGCGTGGAGGCCGCTTTGTCCATCTACCTAGAAAACTTTGCTACATCGCTGTCATCGCGGGAGCAGCTGGCAATAGCCGAGTTTGCCAAATCCATGTTGGTCATTCCCAAAACCTTGTCTGTTAACGCAGCCAAGGATGCCACCGATTTGGTAGCCAAGCTGCGCTCCTACCACAACTCCAGCCAAACCAACTCCAAGCATGGCGACCTCAAGTGGACTGGCTTGGATCTGATTGAGGGTGTCGTGCGCGACAACAAGAAGTCGGGTGTGCTGGAGCCAGCCATGTCGAAGATAAAATCGCTGAAGTTCGCCACAGAGGCAGCGATTACCATCTTGCGTATTGACGACATGATCAAACTGAATCCCGAGGACAAGAGCGGCAAGAGCTACGGCGATGCCTGCGCCGCTGGCGAGCTAGACGGTTAAGCCGATCTCTTGTCACCTCTTCTATTTGTTTAGACACTTAATCTTATGGAAAACTCACTGCAAACTTTCGCGCCACCCCATTTATAATAATTGTAACAACAATTTAATTGTTTTTTCTTTGTGCTAACTGCGATTTGTATTAACCCCGCATCCATTTCTTCAAGCCTTCCTCATTCACGTAAAATGCATAATAAACGAAACATCTGAATATGCTGCGGCGTATACAAAACTAAATTGAAAACTAAATGTTTATCCGCGTTTTTCAACTGAGTATACGGCACTGAGAATTCTGAGAGACGGAGTGAGAGAGCGAGAGCAAATTGGGAGAGTCTATTAATAGCGCATGCATCTATTTTGTCTATAAATACAAAAGGAAAACACAATATGCCAAAGCAAAACGTAAAAGCAGCGCGTGGAATAATTTTAATAAAATTGTAGAAAAACTAAAAAATAATAGAAGAAATGTCTGCAAACAACATTGCGGAAGGCGATGTGAATAATAACGAAACGGTGGCTGTGCCTGTGGCTGCAGATGCTGGGCAGGATGAGCAAGTCGATCAGCCAGCGGCGCAGCCACAAAATGAGCTGCTCGACATGGTATTCACATTGGAGAGCGAGAAACAGGCGCTGATCGAGGAGTCTCGCAAAAGAATTGGAGCGCTGCGCAAAGATTTTGAGGTTAGTTTCGAAAAATCAGTATTTTGATTGGGGTCTGATTTGAAGGCGAAATCACGTTTAATTAGGATGCGCGCTGTGAGAATGAGCGCCTGCAGAAGCGGGTGGCCAATTTGGAACAGTCGCTAAAGCAATCGGTGATGCTTGGTGGAACAGACGCACCGAAATCTCGACAAGAACAGGAGGAGCTGCTGCTCAAAGCCAAGACATTGCTCTTCGAAAAGACCAAAGTGAACAAACAGCAGGAGCAACAGATAGCTGTGCTCAAGGAGCAAGTCGAGTCCGTCAAGGATGTGCTGCAAGTGACCAAAGATATGCTCCAGCTGAAGACGACAGAGTGCGAACACACCCAGGCGCGCCTGGAGAAGAGCCAACTGTGGATCAAGGCCGAGCAGGATAAGTGCGCGATCACCGAAAAGAAACTGCTGATATCGAAATCAGTATACGACAAGCTGCGCGCAGAATACGACACACAGTCCAAAATCTTTAAGGTGAGTTCAGGCTTCCTAACTGATGCTTCAATAACTATTATTACCATCTTTGTCCGCAGGATTTGAAAGCAGCCTATGAACAAAAGTTACAGGTGCTGACTGTCGCATTGGCCGAGGCCAAAAAGTAGTTGAACAATTTAATAAACTACATATGTTAAATTAAATGCACAAATATTCTTTTAGAAGTTCAATAATTTAATCAGATTTGTCCAGGCGCACGTCTAGGCGCTCTGCTTGCCCTGCTGCTGTTGTTGTTGTTGCTGCTGAATCATTTTCACGGCTGCTGCCTGCTTCATCTCCAGCACACCCATCACAGAATTAAGAAAACGCGTCTTTTGCAAATGTATCTTCTCGATCTTTTCAATCTGCTCCTGGACATACTCAACGCGTCGCTTGAAGTAATCCTTGGAGCCTTGCAGATCCTATAAAATGCCATTTGTTAGCAAAGCGTAAATGGAATTGGAACTGCATTTTGTAGTCACCTTCTCGATGTAGTAGCCGGTGCCGATGTCTATGATAAAGTTGTTCAAGTCCTTTATGCGACCCGGCACATACATGCTGCTTGTCAGAGGAACGAGTATTTGGCGATTCTCCCAATCTGGCTGAAAGGCCTCGAGGGCGTCTTTAGAGCCGGCGTATTTTGCTTTGCAGCTGTGCAAAGTGGATAGCGAATCCTGTATGTTGGTCATTTCCTAAACATCAAATAATTGCAATTATTATTAACATGTGCAACTGCTGCGGCATTGCAACGCCCTCCCGTCCGTCTCTCTCCATCTCCTAAGTGAACGAGTGAGAGACACGATGGTGGTGAGCAACACCCACACGCGCGACTGGCACACACTCACCTGCTCGAACTCTTGTTTGATTTGCATTAATTGGTCCGGACTGAGCTTGGTGAGATCAATCATCTCGGTCTTTGCCGCAGCATTTGCAGTTCCAGCCATAATTTGTGCTTAAACTTATAACTTAAAAAGCGTAAATTTTATTTTAATAGTCACACGCAAATCGCGCAGTGTTGTATTATAGCTTTTGGAATACGCTCGATAGCACGACTCACGGAACTGAACCAGCTCATCGATGACAAATATCACATGTTAGCAACCAGACATTTAACATTATTTACATACTGTTCAACGAGGTGTGTCTAATTAGAGTTACTAATTACTAATTATTACTTAGTTTTGTCTGTCCTAATATAGATTTTAATTTCGAATTTAATTCAATATAACATTTCTCGGCACTGTTCACTAGCAGGGGCAATCTCAGTCATTTAACAGTGGGTATGATTAGTCCCAATTGAGAAACATGGACACACTTACACCTAACAGACGTTGTTTCCAGTTAATAACAGAGACATAATGTAATGAAAGCTGGAATGTTGTCCTGTTAGCAGACACTCTCCAGTGTTGGTTAGTGATGCTGAATTCTTATTTAAAAAATTAACGACCTTTTTATATTTGTATTTTATTTATTATATGCAATGTTATAATTTCTTGTGTTTTGTCAGTCATTCTGTGTTTGTATGCAATTTTATACCGTTATTTCCATTTCATAAATTATAAAATCTAACATAAAACAAAGCCATTTCATTAACAATCACTGCCGCTACATGTACGTCTAAATACACGTTACGATTTGCTATATAATATAGCCGTTACACATTGTTCATATACATATTCTTTGTCGCTATATACTGGGTATATGTGTTTGTGTGTGTGTCTGTGTCTGAGTGTGTGGGTTTGAGTGTGTTAATTTCGTATATATATATATATATATATATTTATATTAGATAACAATGATATTAAGCCTAAATAGATATAAGTTTAAGTTGTATTGATACATTGGTTTGCATTTCGTACGCATCTGTTAATCTGTTCCTATTTATCGAATCGACCATTCAACTATTACATGCTTTAACTAATTTACTGTTACTCATTAAACTAACTGTACTTGCTGCCTTGACCCACTTATCATTTATGGTTTTGTGTTTATCATACATAACATTTTATTGTTTAATTCAATTTGATAGTTGTATTGTTGTTGTTGTTCTTGTTGCTTTTGTTTATTCTTTATATTGTTCATAAACAATTAATCTTCAATAGTTTTTCTTTCAATAATCGCAAGGCAAAAACTTGAAATGAAAATTGAAAAACATAAAAAAAATGTTGTGTGTTTTACTTTAAATGCAGAGAGTTTTTCTTGTGCAGCATTAACATTGTGAATATATATATATATAAATACATATACACATATATGTGGGTATATGTATATAGAGAGAGAAAGTTGTCATTATTTAAGTGGGAATCGTAATTATGTTATCAGATCGAAGGGACGTAATACATAATCATAATAATAATTAGGTTCCATTGGACATTATATTCTTGTTCGTGTGTGTATATATGTTGTATAGATACATACATACATACATATATATATATAAGGTGTGGAGTATATATGTATGTGTGCACTGTAGAGTGTTTAAATTGTTCTAAGTGTAAGTTTTCTTATATTTTCCCTAGATTTTCTAGTTGTTTTTGTTTGCTCAAGTTTCCATAACTCAAAAAATATATCAAAAATTTGTTGAAATGCGATATATATATGTATATAAGTTTTTGGAGTCAAATGTACATATATCTGAAGTATATATACTTTCGATATTGTTATATAATCAATTCAAAGAGAGAGAAATGAATGGGAAATTGATTTAGCTAAGCGCGTGTCTATGTGTGTATGTGTGTGTGTGTGTGTCTGTGTGTGTTGTATAACTGCAATATATATATATAAGTACATATGTAAAGTATGTGATTTTGACTATATTTATCAAAATAAAGTTACACAAAATTCTTATACAAATAGCAGCAGAAAAATTACAGAAACGAAAAGTTCTCTACAAATTGTGCTTGGAATGAAGTTTCGTCTAGGTGAGTGTGTGTGTGTGTAACTGTGTGTGTGTGTTTGTCTTATTGATAGTTGTTTTAGCTGCTGCTGATTGCGTATACGTCACGTAAGCCTCGAAAAATATGCACAAAGCGGCTCTAATACTGTAAAATTGTTGCTTGTTTCCATTGCCATAACCGTTACCGTTTCCGTTTCCGTTTCCCTTTCCTCTTCTTCTCTTTCAGCTGTAAAGTAATTTTGCTCACAATTGGATAGCATTTGTAAAGAAAGCTAGGTAGGTTCGCTTCAGTGTCCAGTGTTGTGTGTGTGTGTGTGTTGGTGTCCATGTCTGTGTGTGTGTGTTGGTGTCTTTTTAATTGATATGTCAGAGTTCATATTGCATAGGTGTTCTATGACAATATATAGTCTCAAATACATATACATATTCAAAGTATATAGTTTGGGGTTCATTTTTTGCTTTTAACTCAAATTTCATTTCAATTTTTCTATTTTAATTCGAATTTAAATTTGAAATTGAATTTAAATTTGAATTTTGCATATTTGAATTTCAGCTTGAATTTGTCAATTTTAGTTTCAATAACAATTTCTATATTAATTATAATTTAAATTTGAGTTGTATTTGGATTTGAATTTGAAAGTGAATTGAAGTTCTATTTTAATTTCAAATTTTCAATTTAAATGAGAAGTTTTTAGTGACAAATTTGAATTTGGATTTCTATTTTACGATTATAATTTCAATTTCAATTTCAATCTGAATTAAAATTTTAATACAATTTCTCAACTTTCATTTTTCAATTTAAGTTTCAACTTCAATTTCTATTTCAATTGGAATTAAATTTTATTTTCAATTACATTTTTCAGTTTCAATTTCATCTTCAATTACCACTTCAAATTCAATTTCAATTTCAAGTTCAATATTTTGTATTGCTGCACACTAAAAAAGAGAAAAGTTGTTGCACTACAAAATTGATTGCTTGAAGTCAATTAAAGCCAGTTACAATTGAGAGAATCGAACTTAAGCAGAGTTTTCTTGTCGCTAGCAGTATTATTTGTATGATATCTTTCATAATATATATATTTGGTACATATATATATAGTTAGATTACAGCACCACATTTTGTAACAAACAGAAACTGCTTACAGAACATTATATATATGTTATCATATATCATATATCATATATCATATATCTTTTGTCATATATTGTATATTGGGCTTTATAATATTTAAATTACGTTTACATTGATATTCGCTAAACAATTTTCATTTGCAGTTTTCGTTTGTTTCAATGGGGCCAACTTCGGATCTCTTTAGCGAAATATTTTACACAGTTATTTGATTGGCTAGTGGCGTAATTAGTTATAACAAAATGATATAATGCTTGTATACCTATATAGTATATATATATATAGTGTGATTCATCCTCCTCCACGTCCGCCTCCTCTTCTTCTTCTCTTTTTTTTGGATTTTTCTTTTAGCAAGTCTTTAGTTTGAAGCTTTATAATTTCTTAGGCAATAATTTTCCATTTGCTGAATTTAATATTTTGTGTTAATTTTGTTTTAAGTAAGTTTTGCCCTTTAAAACTTATGCATATGCCGCTAAAATATTATTATTTATATATGTATATATATGTGTGAGTGTGTGTGTGTGTGTGTGTGTGTGTGTGTGTGTGTGTGCATAAACATAATCAATCTAATGCGTGGCTTCGCTTCACCGTCCATCATTTCCTGCCCTTCGCACGCCTCGAGGTCGTCTCATAAATACTCGTTCAGTTGGTGCCGCTAAGGGGCATATAGGTTTTGTTGCACATCTGAATTTGATACAGAAGGCATATATGCGGTCTCAGCTGGACAAAGTCCACTGGCAAGGCGTGGCATATCTTTTACGGCTATCGAGCTGCAGCTCTGCTGACGCCCTCTGGCAAGCATTGAGGCTTTGAACGAGTATTACATGCAGTCGTTGATGCCGGATTGCAACGTTTTAGCGTGTGATGCGAAAATCGAATATGAAAACAAACTCTTTGAACACACCTCGCTACACATATGTGGAGAGTGAGAGGAGATCAACCTTTAGCTTGGCATTAAAGCTTTTTGTGTGTGTGTATTAGTGTGTGTGTGTGTGTGTGTGTGTGTGTGTGTGTGTGTGTGTGTGTGTGTGTGTGTGTGTGTATCTGTTTATATTGCTAATTTGACGCTGGTTCTCGCTCGTGGCATTGGGCCTTACACATACCACTCCTTGACATCCTTGGAGTCACGTTTCTTGGCCTTGGGCTGGACGAGGCCCGCCATCTGTGGCCGTCCGTCGCTGCCGTAGCCAAGGGAGCCGCTGCCACTGGACATCATGCCACCGCCTCCGCCACCGCCGCCGCCGCCGCCGCTGCTGCTGTGTCCGTTCAGATTGTGGTGCTGCTGCTGCTGGTGCTGCTGCTGCTGGTGCTGCTGCTGCTGTTGGCTGTGGTGCTGCCCGCCTGCTGCCTGGTGGTGCTGCCGCTGCTGGTGATAGGAGCCGTTGGTGCTGCTGTTTCCCAGCAGCGCAGCGTTCGGATTGTGCGAGCCGTAGGCGGCGGCCTTTTCGCTCTCCGTCTTGTAGCCGCGATCGCCGTTGGACTTGAGCCAGAGCACGAGCAGTATGACGAGTATGACGGCTATCAGGATGCCCGCCACAATGCCAATGATCATGGCCGTGCGCTCCTCCTCGATCGAGTTGATGCGCCCGCCTTTGCCGCCCTTGGGTCGATAGCTGCCGCTGTTCACGTTGCTGGTGTAGGTGTTGCCGCCATAGGGTCCGTACGGTGGTGGGTCTGGCTGTGGTGGCAGTGGTGGCGGCATCGGCGGCAGCTGATGCTCGTCAGGCAGCTGCATACGCTCGTGATCTCGATTGCTGCCAGCGCCACCTATCGGCGCGTAGCTATCGGGCGTCGTCTCTCGCTCAGTGGCTGGCAGCTCTGGGAATGGTGTGGTGCTGGTGGTGCTGCTGCTCGTTGTTGTCGCTGACGTGGTTGTTGTGGTCGAGCTGGTGGTGGTGCTGCTGCTGCTAATGCGCTGTGTGGTGGTGCCCAAGGTGGCGGTGCTGCTTGGTTGACTGCCTGATGTGCTGCTGCCGCTGCCGCTGCCTGCACTGGATATGGTGGTTACATAGGTGGTGCTGCTGCCACCGCCGCTGCTGCTGCTGCTGCTGCTGCTGTGTTGCTGCTCGGTGGTTAGATCGCTGCGTCCAGTGGTTGAGGCGGTCACCAGCTCGTTATTGGACTCTGCAAGTGGTTAGCAGCGGTTTTTAGTATCTACTTTAGGAATACTCTGCGTATGTGTGCTCTGTGTGGGTGTGCGGGTGTGTGTTGTGCCCGCCCCAATAAAGATTGAATTTAGTTTTCATTATTTATTGAACATAAATTTAAAGAGCGTCATAATTGATATTGAGAGATATGTTGCTGCTGCTGCTGCTGCGGCTGCTGCGGCTGTTGCTGTGCATCGAATTTCTGATATGTACAATTGGAATATAACTAAACGTACATTAGGTACTTTGGTAAGCTTTACATTTGTATGTATGTATGTAATATGTAAGTTAACTATGCAAAAATACATTATATTCACTCACTGCCCCTCGCTCGCACGCATAGATGTGTGTATTGAAGTATGCAAAAATACTTTCGTTAAATACTCCCTCCCTCTCATTTGCTCCCACTCACATTTATCTATATGTGTAAGTTGACTATGCAAAAATACGTTCGTTGACTAGTTCTCTCTTTGCGCTCGCACTCATTTCATTTCATTTATACATGTATATAGATATTTGTAAGTATGTGTAAGTTTAATATGCAAAAATACTTTCGTTAAATAGCCTTCTCTCTTGTCTATTGCTTGTACTGACAGTCACCTATACAAGTGTGTGTGTGCGTGTGTGTATGCGTAAGTTTGCTATGCAAAAATACTATCGTTAAATAATGCTCTTCTTCATAGTAGTATATGCACACATACATATGTATCTTTTATTTTTATACGTATACATACATTACTGCACACGCATACACATTTGATATTTATGTGCATACATTTGTCCTCGTCAAAACTTTTCTGAATTGAATTTAACTTACAGAATTGCTTTTCTAATTGGATATGTTCTAATTGGAGCTGATAATGCATCAATCAAAGTTTCTCTTCCTTGAACCCGCCCAACGCTTTTTAATGTGTTGTTTTATTTGTTGGATTAATTGTAGTTGTTGTTGTTGTTGTTCGATTTGTTGTTGCTGTTGTTGGTGGTATTGCTCAGTTACATATAATACATATGCATATGTATATGCTAAATATATATATATGTATAGATATAGATATATATTCATACAAGTAGTTAGACACTGTCTAAGTGCTTAGGAGCTTAGCCTATGTGTGGTTTGCATTGCATTGTGTTGCTTTTTGCATTATTCAAAATTTACAAAGTATCCAAGGCGCAATCAGAGTCAGAAATATGAAGACCTGTTCACATTCTGAAAGAGACACATAAGGCGTACTCATTGTCAGTTCAAATTCATCATCAGCAATTGAGTGGATGGAGTGGAACGCTGAATTGAAACTGAAACTGAAACTGAGGCTGTGACTGAAGGCTGAGGCTGAGGCTGAGGCTGAGAGATGACACGAGTTGAGTGAAAGTTGATTTGAAGAGTTTCGAGTCGTTTTTTGAGCCTGATCAATGTCTGTTGAGTGTGTTGGTGTGTATGCGTATGCGTATGCGTATGTATGTGTGTATGAGTGTTTGTGTAACAGTGTTGCCAATTTACCTTTTTTTTGGATAGGTTTCAGTTCTCTTTTAAGTAGAGCCATTTCAATGTGTGTTGAATTGTTTCTTTGTATGTATGTTTGTATGTATGTAAGTATGCGTGTGTGTGTGTATGTGTAGTCAAAGCGTTTTCAAAAAGCGTAGCATAGTTCAAGGCGCGCATAAACCCAGCGAACAAGATCGTTAACGAGAACAACTAAAATACAAAATTTACGTATGTATGTATACATATATATGTATATATATTCATATATGTATGCATGTGTGTACTAGGCGTAAGGCAAAAAGAACCCAGATTTGAAACATGAAACGTTCTACATACGAGTATATAGGTTTCTAAATATATATTATATGTACTTGAACAATACAGTTTTGGCTAGCTAATTATGTCACATGTGTGTCTCAGTGTGTGTGACTGTGTGCGTGTGTGTGCTTGTGTCTGTGTCTGTGTCTGTGTCTGTGTGATGCAAATGTCAATGACAAAATGACACCACACTGGCCAACAAAATGAAGGCAACTGGTTTAAAGAGAGACTCTGTCTTCCACTCACCTGCACCTTTGGCCGTGCTCGATGATGTGAACTGTTCCGTAGTTTCGCCATAGTCCCCGGATCCATGCACGCAATCCTCGTCATCGCAGGCGCGCTCTGTGCCATTGTTGTTGTTCGTGTTGTTGTTGCTGCCTAGCGAGTTGCCCTGCTGAGTGGTTGTTGTCTGCTTGGTGGGCGGCACATAGACGGGTGTTATCAAGTCATCTCCGCTGCCCGACTCGAAGGGCGGCGTACATTCATCCTCATCATCGCCGCGACAACCGGATCCGGCTCCCGAGAAGATCAGATCATCTATGGCGCCCGGATAGCCACTCGCCGGCGTCTGTCGAGTAGAGTTCAAAGTCTAATTTTACCTCAGTTGATCCAAACACACATACATATGTATGTTGATTGTTAACTGAGCAGTAGATTACGAGTAGGTGCATTAGTTTCTTTATGTGACTAACTGTAAGCCGCGTACACTCAGAGAAAAAGTTCACTTTAAGCTGTGTCTCGCACAGGAAATATCGATAACTCATTAATTTGTATTAGAGTTGGGTTAGCTCAAATATGAATTTGGAGCCAATTCATTTACTAGATCCGTTTTCAGCATTCCATTTTCAAGTTCAGGAACGACGTTGTAGATCCATAGCTGAACTAAAAGTATCGTTCATAAATGAATACGTGACTGAGCAAGGAGCATCGCTTGTGTACGATAGATCTGTCATTTACATTATCACATTACATGATGAAGTTTCGTTAAATCGAACTTAACGAACAGAACAAGTACTTGGAAAATACGAATTGTTCATTTGAGTGAGTGGAATTAGTTATCGTTCATGAGTTACTTGAGTGAATCCTTTGGATCCGTTACATCGAACTTATTTATGCCACAATATTTTAGTAGCCCATCTGTTTCATATGAAACAAAATGTTGTGATTCTTCTCTAGGTGTATTATTGTGTGCGTGTGTGTGTGTATGCATGTATTTGTGTAATTGAGTGTTTAGTGCTGGGTCAATGTATGTGTAGAGTCATGCAGCATTAGTGCGCAGTTACAGTGCAAACAAAAGGAGAGATATCTAACTGCATATGGTAAATGTTATATATAGTATAAGTATGTGCTATATAATATAGTATGTAGTATATATAATACATATATATATAGCTATATATGTACGAATAACTGATAGCTCAGGTTAGTGGCAATTGCAGTGGGTTATTTTTGGTTTTTTTTAGCTGGTGCTGTTAACAATAAGCGTTACGTTAAGATTAATGTCGAACACGCTGACAGAAATAATGGGAAAATTAAAAATATATATATAATGTATATGAAAATAAGGACAAATAAGGCATTTACACTAGCTTAAACATTTAGTTGGCTAATACTTTTAGTTTTTAGTTTTAATCTTCAATGTGGAACCAAATTTTTCCAAAAAATCAAGAGAAGCTAAAGTTTTCTTTTCATATATACAAATATATATATAGAGAATCTGCGAAATCTGGCTTAAATGTGGTTCACACAATGAATTAAAGCTGATTAATTTACAATATTTGGATTTAGTTTTGGTTTTTTGTTATTGATTACAAAAGTAAGAATTTGGAATAAGACTTTTGTTACGATGATGAGAAAAATACTTGAAAAACGTTGTAAAAGTTGAGAGAAGGAATTGAAATAAAATTTCAAATAAATTCCCTAACCTGCTGCATTCTCTGCAGATCATTTCTATCTAATACTCCAGTTACCAATTGCACATCTCCGCGAATTGTGATGTGTGGATCACGTTCGACAGCCAAGTCCAATATGCGCAGCTTATTCACCGACAAACCGGCAATGACACCAGCAAAAGGACGCTCGATCCTCGTGCGACCATTGCGACTAAATTTGCCGCCAACTTGTATGTTCGACATGGTATTGAAGACCGTGGAGTGATGGGCTGCCAAACAGACGTCAAGTATCATAGTTAAGTGGACTTCAGTTGGCTTTCATTTCGAGCTCACCCTGCGGCGTCAGCGTCTGCACGTTGTAGTCGTCCAGCTGGAGGGTTGCATTGCCGCCCTTGCGTGAGAAGCGCACCACATGGTAGGCATTGTCATTCACCTTGGTGCCGATCTCGCCCAGCGGCAAGTCCACGCTGCCAATGTTGTAGACCATAAAGATGTTGCCCTCAACTATCTCCAGTTCCATATAGTCCTGCGTCGTGGCACTCTCCACACGCAGCAGCACAGCATCTGGCTTGGTCGTTATGAAGCCCAACGCAATGTTATCCTCTTCGGTGTCGGACTGAGCGCTCTCCGGATAGTTGTACTGCACCATGCCCTTGTTGCTGCCGAACTCATAGGCAATGGACTCTATATGATGTGAAGAGGATTAATCAAGTCTACTCTATTCGAAAGTCAACGGATGTTGTGCAACGATCACTCACCATCATAGCAGGTGGGTCCCGTGTAGGAAGTCATGTCACATTCGCAGGCATAGGTATTCCATTGTTGGACACAGAGTCCACGATTCGCACACGCATTCTGGCTGCACTTGGTGGGTCCCTCACAGCCGCTGACCACCAGGGAGCTGGGCACAACAGCATCGCTTGTTAGCGAGGGCGAAGCATCACCCAGATCCAACGACGCCAAGCAGCCCTCAAAGCCGGAGCGCGAAGATATAGATCCTGGTAACTTGGAGTACATGTCCTTGAATACGCCACCAATATACAAAATGCCCGCCAGCTCGAGATGCATATTATTTCCAGTCAATGTGATAATCTCAAACGAATCGTCCACGGTCAAGGTGTGGGTCTTGGGACCAGGCCGTCGTATGCTAACCTGGTGCCATCGATTATCATTCATATGAATCCGCGACTTATCGCGCATCGTGATTGGCCCGTCGCCCAGATCGAAGTTGTAGTGTATATGCCCATTGACCAGCTCCACGGCCACAAAATCATTGCGTCGCCCTCCATTGAAGATCAGCAGGCCATTCGGCTCGACGGTCTTGAAGCGGAAGTCTATCGAAATGCTGGTGTAGGCCTTCAGCATGGCCAGACCCACGTAGGAGTGTTTCGATCTAAACGTGGCCGCATGATAGGGCTGTCCAGCCGGCGAGTTAACAAATCGAGCTGTCAACTTGAAGGTGGCACTGGGCAAAGCTGATAACTCGGGTCCCAGGGACTTCACTATATCCAGATAGCTAAGTGAAGCAGAGAATTTTGTTCATGTTTCCGACTTTCTTTAGATAGATCTAAACTGCTTACCGCTGTCCATTGAATATGAAGCCCTGCATTTGGCCAACAAAGTTGGGCATGGTCGAGGTCATCTGTATCTCCTCCTCGGCATGGAACAGCCCACCCAGATGTATTGAGCGTATCTCCATGGTGCTATGTCTACCCAATATGGTCTCAGCTGTGTTTGGAAGAATACAGCAGAGATTGATAAACCTCAGGAGGTTCTCGGATACTATGGGGGTCGGATAGGGACTTGCTCTAATAGTTTAGTATTTAGACTAGGCAAAGTACCGTTAACATTTTGTTGATATAGGCATACATATGTATAGGATGTATATATATATATAATATAAATATAACCAATATATACGTATACGAGATAAGGATATATATTGGTTAATTGAGTATAGTAGTTGTTGTATTAGATAATTGTTGTTGGTGACAAACGAATGTTACAAGAAGCACATACGGCATATGTATTCAAATATAGAGTAAGTAGGATAGAGAGTAGTTATATAGAGGCATATAGTTGAGTATATATATGCATATATATATAGTATATATATTCATATATTGAGGTATGCATTTAGTAGACATAGAGCTAAATTTGATTCAAAAATCATATCAAGCAGTTAAGTTATGTTTTAGTTTTAGTTGGTGTCACTTGACAGTGGGCTAAACAATTGTCGATGCAGCTTTTTGGGTACATACTAAGAGAAAAGTGCAGTTACGATAGTTATATCATTTACTATATGTATATATATATAGTATCTATACATATAGTAGGTGAGCGTATGTGTTGTATGTGTGTGTGTGTGTGTGTGTGTGTGTGTGGAGATATTCTGATAGAAAAAGAAATGTTTGATCTTGCTTCTCTGCTTGAACCAGCAAGAACGAGTCGGGTGCAACCGACTACATAATACTCGCTCACGTTTTTTCGATTTGCAATATATAACTGTCTGATATATATATAACTTGTAGGTCTATTGATGATCCAACTGCAAAGCTTGACCATTGCAGCTCTAAGACTCTGGTAGTTAGATCGTATCCAAAATATTCTCTTGCTCGTAGCTTCCATAGCGGACAGGCAGAGGGACTTCAAGACGGACATAGCACAAATCCAATATAATCCCTTTTCCCTTCGTGAACGAATATCAAAAATAAGGAGCTAAATTGTTTGGTGTAGTTAGTTAGATAGAATAGGTAGTTAATTAGTTAGGGTGCGCTTGCTGATATATAGATACATACATATATCTACCCACACACCCACATACATACAAACGTATACGTATATATATATATATGTGTGTGTGTTGATCAGCATCTGGTTTTTGGTGTGTGAGATACATTTTTGGTTACGTATACGATTACGATTACGATAACTTTACGTAGCGGTGACATTTGATTTGTTAGAGGTGCAAATTGCTTAATAAGAATAATCAAAGTTTACGTAAAACATAATTTTTTTTTATTTAATTTTACCTACACTCCAAACCCAAAAAAAAAAACCTTTAAAAAATCAAAAATAATAATGAAAAAAATAATAATAATTTTGCTTAATTTTTTCGAACGACATTTAAACTAAACATCGATTAATACTCAAATCTTGTATATCTTGTATAAATTGTTAATGTTGTTAATGACAGTATGTGTGTAGGTGAGTGTGTGTGTGTTTGCATGTGTGCGTGTTACCTATAGGTTGACTACAATTAGCTAATAATGGTGCATTTATTGCCTCAATGATGCGTGAGCCCGACTCTAGATGACAATTGATATCTGAAGCATGCAAACTTTGAAAGAGAGCGAGAGAAGAAGAGAGCGCAAGAGTAGATGAGCGTGAAATGTATTTAGAGCTTTATGAGTGGGATACAAGTTGTGCAGCTATTGCGGCTCCATCACATACATACATGTTAAGCTGCGCTTTTGCAGGCAGAAAGAGTAACAGAATATGAGAGAGAGAGTTACAAAGAGAGAGAGAAAGAGATCCGTAGCTAGCGGCATGTACAGCAAGTCATGCGATTCATTGGCCATTTTTTTCTTTTGCTTTACTTAGTATTTCCTATACATATTTTTCGGGTGCGCACATGCAAACGCTTGACGCGCGTATTTCTGTGTGTGTGAGTGTGTGCAAAATTAGTCGTTGAACGTGCGTGTGCGCGTGTGTGTGTGCGCTTAACAGCAAATCTTTGCATGCGCGTGTGTGCGTGTGCATAACAGCAAATGTGTGTTAGGCCTATGGCCAAGTGCCACACAGCGAGAAACTAATTTGTATGTTTGGACACTTTTGGTTGCGTAGTTGTTGCTATTGCTATTGCAGTTGCTGTGGTTGTTGTTATTGTTGTTGTTAACGAGTACATAGTTTAGTTAGTTTACTTAACACAAAGCTAATTACATATTAAATGGTGCAAAATTACAGCCCTGGGTGCTTCCAAGCATTGTTTTGCCTTCTCGTCTCAATAAGTCGCAGATCGCGTGCGTTTTTCACTTTCCTTTCGCCCATTCGCCCATTTCCCTTAAACATTTTTATTGTTTTTTTGTGCTTTTTCTTGTTTTTCTTTTTGTTTTTGTTTCGCCGTCACGCTTGCGACTTTTATCGAGCGATTCGGCAAAAAAATGCTTCACCGAGTTTCTTGCGTGTCGATTTTTTTGCTCTCTCGCCTAAAAGAATTGAAATTATTTTTCATTTTTCATTTTCTGGTTTCTGTTTGCATTTTGAAATAGAAAAGGTCATTTAGATCACAGATTGTGATAAGAATATAGCTGTTGCTGTTGCTGTTGTTATGCTTGTATATATATAGTTTTAAGATATATATATATGAAACACGCGCCTCAAATTAAAAAAAAATAGAGCACTCTGTTCACATACCACACTTTCACTGTTTTTTAGCTTATACTTAGTTTTGCCTGTAAGTACAAATCTTGATATTTACATCAAAATAATACAGAAAAAACTGAAAAGAACAAATTAATTATAAAAGTATAAATTATAATAGTTATACAATGCTTGATAATAAAACGATAAAACAAAACAAAAGAGAGAGAGAGAGAGAGAGAGAAAGCTCAACATCAGGAAAATATAAATTTGATAATATTCATTTGAACATCTATAAGTACTCAATATATGTATAGTATTATTATTATTTTCAAGGACATAACAATTTACAAGACAATCATCACTTTTTCATATTTCATATACATAACATACAATGCGAGTTTAGCAGCTGTAACTGTAACTCTAACTGTAACTGTACACCTGAAGGTTAATTTATTTTTCATTTTTCATTCTTCGATTTATACACAATACACACATACATATAGAATGCTTATATGTATGCACATATATATATATATAGATAGCTTTTTAACTGTCGCTGTTTAAATTTGATTTTGGTTTTTGAGTTAATTTTGGAAAATCAAACAAAATACTTAGATGGCAGAGAGTAGTAGTAATAGAGGGGAAATCGCAAATGAAAACACAACATCAAGATGTTTTGAAAAAGTCTCAAAAACAAACTAACGAGAGTCGAACAAAATTATTATTTTTAATGAATGATGAGAACTGGCAAAGTATTTTAAAAGTATTTTTTAGTATTATTTTAGTAGTTCATATTGCGAATCTTCTCAACAAATTCAAGTTCGAATTGAAGTTGAAATTGAAATCAGAATACGGCAACGTAAACGTAGTGAGAAGTTACGTTAAGTTAATGTTAAACGTTACGTAATTACGTGAAAGAGGCGTACATATGTATGTAATGGTGTAACGGTGATCTGTGATGCGTACACGTGTTATGAGCAAATATCGGCTATTGTATGAATGTTTGTATGAGCAAAATGGCTGTGTGTGTGAGAGAGAGTGTGAGTGTGTGTATGCAAGATGAACAACAAAGAAATGTTGGAAAAGCAAACGGATGTATTCATGATATATATGTATATCTTTCAAGATTTTCTTAACCATTTTGGCATTTGTGTATGTACGTATATACTCTTGTCTGTGTGTGTGTGTGTGTAGTTAAACAAAAAATAACTCTCAAAGCAAAAATTGAAAGTTTCAGAATTAAACGAAAAAAAAACCGCTGCTAACTTTTTTGTTTTAACTGAATTCTAGCACCTGCACACACCTTTAAGCAAAAGGGTAACAAGAAGGAGGGGCCGGGACAGGTACAGTGTGGAACTGTTGAAACAGGTAGATCGTTTGTATATATACATATATATAACTAACTGCAGTAATGCACTGATTCTGATTCGGGCTGCTCTGATTTAGGCACCTCAATGCGAAACTAATCAAGTTGGGTTTTAGGGGGACTCGAGATTTCTTGGGAGTATCCTTCCAAAAAAAAAGAAAAAAACGACACGGCACGACACGTAGTAGGGCGTTAGATGGTGCTGTTGATACATACATAACATACCCCTGACGGGGGGAGCCCCGTCAACTTGTAATCGCAGATTCGAGGCTCTGCGCGAGAATCGAATCGTGTGCCAATTGTTGTCATTGAGCACCGATTGGCCAGCGAGCAAGTTCTACAGGGTATATAGATGCGTTGGATTAGTTGACATTATTGGACTGTTTGCTTTTTGTTTATAATCTCTACCTTCTCTCGATCGCTGAGCCTCACGCTGGCGCGTATGCGACCTGCTACGAGTGCGATCTCTAGACGATCCGGTGAATTGGACTCGGCACTCGTTAGGAGTAGCAGGCCGGCCGGACGAGATGTCTTAAAGCGTATGACCAGCTCCTCCGTTTGGGTCTTGGTGCCCTGGCCATTGGCCAGCCAAATGGTCATATGTTGGCTGCCATTGAAAGCCAACGTGGCCAGCTCCCTGCCGCAGGTGGGTCCGCCGTAGAGCGTGGCTGAGCAGTCGCAAATGGGTCGATTCCAGCCCTCCAAACAGGTGCCGCCATTCAGGCAGGGATTGCCGCCGCACACATTGCCCTGCACATGGCACGAGGGCTTCACCGAGGCTGTCAAGCACATTTCGTGTTAGTATTCTAGCTAACTATACATGCTAATTGTCACGACACACTCACCTGAATCTTGGACGCGTGCAAAGGCTGCTATATCGATCGCCTTGCCGCTGAGCACCAGGTCACGCAAGCAGCCAACAAATCCCTGTCGCAACGTTGCCGTCCAAATGGCCGCTGGCCAGGCAACACTGTTGTAAGCCGGACCAACGCCACCCACGTACATATGCCCGTCCAGCTCGAGTATGGTGCCATCGCCAGGTGTACGGAAATCATTCCACACACCATCCACACTCACCTTGGCATCACGACCATTGCGGCGCAAGATAAGATCATGCCAATCGCCATCGTCGACGCGACGCCTCGAGGCGCGTACCTTGGAGGCGCCCGAGCCCAGATCCAGATGTATATAGATGTGGCCATTGAGCAGTTCGATGGCAATCAATACGGGCTGCAACGCAGAAGTTGCATCAATCAAAAAAACTCATCTAAAAGTCTTAGACTTACGTTTTTAGCACGTGGCTGCTTGGAGCCGGTGGCCAGAATGATGATGCCATTGGGCTCCTTGGTGCGAAATTTGAAGCTAATGGCGCTCTGCTTGCCCGTCTCCCATGGTGGCAAGACCTATAAGAGAGACATACTGAATCAGTCCTCAACGGCAGAGCATCTTCCATATTCACCCACCAAATGGGATTCACGCGTGGTGAAAGTAACCGGATCCTGTGGATCGCCACTGGGGCACTGATACTCCACATTGCCCGCCACTTGAATCAACTTGGAGCCGGACTTGGCCAGATCGATCAGATTCAGGTTCAATGTGTCCGCCGAGAACTCCACCTTGCGCAGACAACCCACAAAGTTGTTGTGCACACGAGCGCCAAGCAAAGCTCGAGGATTGACGGCGCCGCCGACATAAACACGCGAGGAGGAGAGCATGGTGAACTTGCCGGCAATATGCGAGTGGTCCGTATACACGTCATCCACAACAGTGACGAGCTGCGTATGAAGCGCTCATTAGATCGCTGCCCACTAGGGTAATCCCCGCTAATACTCACTCGACAGAAGCTGGTTATGGACGAGATTTCCTGAATGCGCCGATGGACTGTCACCTTGTGCCACTGATGATCATCGAAACGCACCTTGGCTGGCTTTATGTGCATCTCCTGCTTGCCATTGGCCAGGCCCATAGTCAGCGACACGCCACCATCGCGCAGCGCCAGATTCAAATAGTCAGTGCCATGGCCCGTATAGAAGAGTAGTCCATTCGGTTGACGGGTGCGAAAGTAAAACGAAATTGCATCCTGGGCACTGACTATGGGCTCAGCGCCTGTCTGGCCCAAGTCGTACGAGAGGAACTGTGTACCGCGGAACGTTGCCTCCGATGGCGCCTTCTCCTTCTCACAATACTGGCCATCGTATTCCAGATTGCGACACTCGCATATCGGGCCCGAATCAGTTGATATACATATCCCACCGTGCTGGCAGGGATCGTTGCGCTCGCACGCATCCGTCGTATTCCCTCGAACGCCCTAAGGGAATTAATTAGCATGCTACTTAAGAGATCTTTCCCAGATAGAAGTGTTTAGGAGTTCGCTTTGTGAACATTGAATTATCTATACTTCCATTCAGTACGAGCTTTAGATATTACCGTTCATCTGTCCATATGACTGACTCTTCATCCTAACGCTAGGCTTTTCGTCCGCAGTCCGCCTGTCATTTCGTTTGTCCGTCTTTCCGTCGGTCCCTCCGTCTGTCTGTCAACCTATCAGTCCCTTTATCTTTATCTTTCTTTCCCGTCTGCTCCGTTCATCTGTCCTCTCTGTCTAGTCGTTAGTCTTTCTGTCTGTCTCCCATAGTAAAGTTAGTTAACCGAACATTAAGTCCATTTTCAAGGACTAAAATGATTCCTAAAATTTCTGCCACATGCTGCGGAACTAAAGTGTTTGACACTCAATCACTTACCCTCAACCCTCTCTCCCGGGTAGGCATCTCTCCATGGTCACAGGGCGCATCGCCGCACTTGATGTCACGCGGCTGTTTCATCTCCTGCCTTCGGGTGGTGCCACCTGGCTGATCCGCATAGACGAGATTGCGAATGGCGCCGCGAAAACGTGGCTCGAAGATGACGCTGGGCAGAGCTAGCAAGGCGAGCTTGCTGCTATACCAATTCGGCATGCCACCCACATATACATCCGAGTTGCTTGCGAATTTGCCAAACTGGAACTCCTTGCCCTTGGTAGAGCGTTGCTGAGAGACGCCGTCGACGATTAGCGAGGTCTGATCATCATTTCGCAGCACTTGAACCTTGTGCCAGTGTCCATCATGCAGCTCACGTCCCACTGTAATGATCTGTGCCCCTCCGCCCAGATTGTAGCGCAGACGCAGTGCACCCTCAACAAGTTTCAGCTCAAAGAAGTCATAGGTGCCACCATCATCTGTGTAAAGGACGAGACCATTTGGCTGCTCCGTCTTGAACTCCAGCTCCAAGGTGCCATTCAGACCAGTGTACCATTTGCGAAAGGTGTAGAACGAACTCTGCGAGCCGTCCAGCTGAAAGCCAGCGCTAATCGTTATGAAGCTAGTCACCAGACTAACCAGTAGCGCCGTTACGATCAGTACTCGATATGAGCGACGATATTCGACCATTACAAGCGGTCGTTGGCAAGGACGAGGCTGAGCACCTGACTGTGGACGTGGACTGAGCTGCGAGTGCCGTTCATCCAGTTCTCTCCGACGTCTTCGCGCCTTATTAAACAGCAAATCGGAGGTGGAGGAGCAGGCCTTGATGGGCGCAGGCAGCAAACGAGTGCTACTATTATTAGTACTATTATTATTATTCTCGAGTTGCGACAGTACCTCCTCAGCGGCGTCCATTTTGTGGGCGTAATCAATGCTGTGGTCTGTCATTGTCTCAAGTGCATAGTCTGTGTGAGGATGATGTAGACGTGTGTATGTATATAACTTAAACTTTGATATGTTGCACTTGGCGCGCGCTCATTCACACACACACTAACACACTAACACACTAACACACTAGCGCACTTACACACACGCACACACAGAGTTGCGCGCGTAAAACGTAAATGTCGTCTTGCTCTGCGCTGCGCTTCGCGTATACACGTTGTATTCCAGTCCTTGAGAGTCAGCTTTCCTGTTTCTGTTTCTGTTTCTATTTCTGCTTTGTGTTTGTCCTTGTATTGGTGTGTACTATTACTATAGGAGGCCGAAACGCATTGGAATTTTATCCGCGCTTCGAACTTTCATTGAACTTTTTCCAGTTGCAAAGAGCGACAGATAGATAGAGAGAGAGAGAGAGAGAGAAAAAAAGCTCGTAGCGCGTAATGTTGGCTGCGGCTGTTACTCAACTGTTACTGAACTGTTACCGTCACTTAGAATTCACTTGAATTGATGTTTTTTACTTTTTGATTGTGGTTTTCTTTGAGTTTTTGACATTTTGTACACTTCATTTGCGTATTGGTTGACAAATTACTGATAAGCGTGCACATTTCTTTATTATTTCGACAGTTTATTCGTGTTCGAGTACCGTTAGCAGCAGCAGCATAATAGGTGGCTAGGCGTAGGGGTGGAAAAAGCTCGCCGGACACCCCCTCCACCCGTTTTAACAGCTATGGCGCCCACAAGCGCCTCAACGTACATGTACATACTAAAAATCGGAAAATTTTCACTTTACGTAGGCGAAGATTTTGAATGCCAAATCAGAATTTGGAAATCTATGGACGATTTAAGCAATATATATATATATTAATCTACGCTTATCTGATTGATTTCACTATTGATTTTAGCTTTAAACTCATTTGATTTAAGCACTGGATTTGCTTACACAACTGTTCACTACACTCGCACGCACTTTTCTGAATTTTCACTAGGTTTTAACAATTTAAATTTCGCTTTAGGAATATTGATTTAGAATTAATGATAAGGATTTGCACTTTATTTTACCCAAAACGGGCATACAATTATATGTCGAATTTCTTTTCGCCTAATTCAGCTTCCCGCTGCTTCAGGTTTTAATATCGATCTGCGCTGCATTCACGACAAGACTGAACTGCAATTTCAAACTCAATTCCTTCACAGCATTTCCAATGGATAACAAAAGCTCCGACTGCGAATTTACTGTTTGCCAGCTGACGGCATAACCAACATTTTGTATACGCTACCTGCGTACTGTAAAGCCCTCAAATAACAATTAATTTTGTTGGCTTAAATGTACACTAAGTTATAACTGAAATGTGTACCATTTATGACAGAAACAATTGCTATTAACTTCGCGAAGTCAACTTTTCACCGTACTATTGTTCGCCCCCAGAAGTAGACTACATATCAGTCTTGTCTGTTGTGTGTAGGGCATCAGAATGCCAAAAATTAAAAGCTCGCTTGCTTCGACGAGCCATGCATATGCGTACTACTAACATACATATATCTGAACACACACGCACACACACATACACTCACACATGCGTAATGAGCGCAGAACACGCAGGTTCATAACCTGCACCACTCGAAGCGTATTAGAAGGGACAGAATATACATATATACATATATATATATAAATATGCACATGCATATATACTTATACAGGAACGTCTAGGACGACCCGTGTAAATGCCTTGACATTTATTACACACTTCACAACTTCGACAGCTCGGCGTCAAATTCGATTTGCATTTGCAACTGTGCATAAGTTAATGTGTGTGTGCATATGCGTCTGTGTGTGTGTGTGAGTTTGTGGGATATTGTTGACCGCACGCGTTAGTGTAAAGGGGAACAGTTAGGTGAAGCGCTTATAATATGCAATTTCACACGATTCTTGCAAGGCCGACGAGATTGCCTTGGTATGTGTGTGCGTGTGTATTTTCGCGCATGTAGGAATGTGCATCAGTATTAATGTCACTCTACACAAGAATCACGCACTAACCATTACGCACTAACTGCAGGGTATTTTTAGAATTTAATTATAAAATTTTTTCCAGTAAGCGAACAATGTTAAGCAGAGTCCCGTACATGAAAACGCGTTGTCCGTTTTGACTGCTGCAACGTGATGCAGCGACTGTTGAGGAATGCCTAGCAAGAAGCTTTGAAACGTTTGCAGACACAGGGTATTTCATATGATAGAGGACACAGCTGAGTGTGCTGTGCTATGAGAATTTAAAAGTCCCTAAAGTCCTGGGGAAAGGGAAAAATGGAATTATGGCATTTTTTAACTCTGCACTTAATAATGTCAGTTTTTTTTTACTTTCTGGAATTTAAGGATATAATAGGTATTTAAAATTTTGCATATTTTTACGAATGGAAATTAATATTTATGGATCTTATTATCCGCAAAGCAAATGCATTGAATACTTACGAGCTGTTTAATAAGCAAACCAAAATGTTGAATAACAGCTATGCATTTTAGCCGTTGGGTTCAAATACAAACATTATTTCAATTTTGTTCGCTATATACGGCAAGGAAATAAAATAATAATATTAATTAATAATTCATAATTTTTGATTATATTTAATATCATTAGTTTATTTTATAATGTTGTTATTATAAACTTTAACAATTAATAAATCAATCAAATATTTGCTGTTAATAACAGCTCTAGGTTATAGCATCAGTGTTGTAAAATGGAAAACACTGTTACAGCTGAACAACAGCTTGTCGTCCCTCTCTTCTGCCCGCTACCCTAAAAGCCGATTGTTGTGCTCTGACGTTTACAGCTGTGCGATTTCTTTGAGATTTATTATCGAGCACTTTACAAGACGTGTGCAGATGTATGTGTGTGTTTATTGACAGAAACAATAGGCAAACGCGCTGATTTAGAGGGTACTCGATAAAGACAATTTGACTAACGCTTATTCCTTTGATAACAGCTCGATTACGTAATGATCGTAGGCACTCGACTTAGTCGTCTGGCGGCTGGTCGCCTCTTGCCTGGAATGGCTTGCAGACGCGCCCACACGGAGCGCAAAGTTCAGGTGCCCGACACAGGTGACTTGCACATTGTCGAGTGTGGCACCGGCCCTCGCAGTTTACTCTTAATGCCGGGCGCCTTGGGCTCCGCTTGGACAGATTTTAAGCCACAGATCGAACAGCTGCCCAAGCTGTTGCCAGATCATACGATCATTGCTTGGGATCCGCCCGGCTATGGGAAATCGGTACCTCCGCAAAGGAAGTTCGGGCTGGAGTTCTTTCGCGAGGATGCAGAGGCGGCTGTCAAGCTAATGCGTGCACTGAACCGACCCAAGTTCTCTGTCTTAGGTTGGAGCGATGGCGGCATAACTGCGCTAATCCTCGCCGGCCGACACACCGATGCTGTAGAGAAGCTGGCCATTTGGGGTGCCGGTGCCTATCTAAACAAAGATGAGGTACAGTCACTGCAAGCGATACGGGACGTAGCCAAATGGTCGCCACGTATGCGAGAGCCCATGGAACAGGTGTACGGCGTCGAGCGTTTCGCCCAACTATGGGGCGAGTGGGTGGATGCCGCTTGTGAATTTTACACGCAACGCGAAGGCGACTTTTGCCGCAGCGAAGTGGAGCAAGTGAAGGCTCCCATCTTCATATTGCATGGCAAAAAGGATCCAATGATTGCCGCAGAGCATGTGCCCTGGCTGAAGCAACGACTGCCCAAAGCGCTTTACCACGAATTCCCCGATGGCAAACACAATATACATCTGCGCTATGCCGAGGAGTTCAATAAGCTGGTCGCCGACTTCTTCAGGGGCAAGGAATAAGAGAGAGAAGAGTTGATTTTTTGCTTATGAACAAATAGTATAAAGATTTATTAATTCATGATTTACAGAGAACAAGAGTGTGTTGCTTATTTGATCAGGGCACGGATGGTGGGCACGTAGTCATCATACTGAGCCTGGAAGAAGTTGCCGGCCACAGGGATGCCGAAGTTATACTTGGCCACGTAGTCACGGATCTTCACATTGAGACGACCCTCCAGAGTGCTAAAGAATAACGGATTCTATATTATCTGTATCCAATGTCGAGCATTGCGGATTCACTTACGTCTTGCTGATGAACTTGTCGCTGGTGATCTTGTCGTTCTGCTTGAAGACGAAGAAGACATAGCGATGCAGACCGCTGCCCTCAGCTGGGCCGGCGCCCACGTATTCAGCCAGGACTTGACCGTCGGCGACCTTGTTGCCGGGAATGTTGATCACAGCCCAGTGGAGCACTTCACGCATCTTGGGATCGCTGCGGCTGGGTGCATCAGGATCAACCATGAGCAGAGTATACGAGGCGCCAGCTTCGGCATCCCAGCTAACGGTGGGCTGATCCTTCACCTGTGTAGGTGTTAGTTCCTTGCCCAAATCGACCTGAGCACCGGATGGATAGGTGACGGTAACACGAGCCTTTGGCTTGTCATCGATAATGTCGGGAATAATACCGCTGGTGTCCATGTTGCTCTTCTTGCTGGTTATGCTCTGTCTGGCGTTAACGCAGTGACTCTGCCTGCCAATGACAAAGCGTGCGCTATTTATCGATCCCGGCCAAGTCAACGTGTGCCTCGGCGTAATCAATATTTTATTTTCGTGCACTTTTTTGCCCAAATGCGTTCTAGATAAAGATAAAGATAAAGACGAGTCGAGTCGACTGACTCGGCCAACTGATAGCAGCCGTGATAAGTGCACTCAATGCTTCAATTTATTAAGAAAGATGACTACGGCAGTAAATAGTGAACACCTGTTCAAGCAGAAAACTCCTTGTTCCGTATGGGCACATAGTCGTCGTACTGGGCCTCATAGAAGTTGCCAGCTATGGGCTTGCCCAGGCCATACTTGCCAGCAAAGGCTCGAGCACTAAAGTTGAGGCGACCTTGGCGGGTGCTGCGAATGGGTATATCCGGTTATATAATCAGTAAACCTAATCTAAGTATATATATAAATACCGCTTATCTATGTGCAGCGTCTCCTCAATCTTCTGGCTTTGGCGATAGAGCAGAAATATATAGCGATGCAATCCGGTGCCCTCAGGCGGACCGGAACCAATGTATTCAGCCAGAGTTTGTCCCTTGCTCAATTGATTGCCGGGTATATTGACAACGGCCCAGTGCAAGATCTCACGGAACTTGGGCTCCTTGCGACTGGGTGCATCGGGATCGACCATTAGCAAAGTATGCAGCTGCTCCTTATCGTCCGCCGAGGTGTCCCAGGACACTTGCGGCTCATCTTTCACCTGTAAGGGCGTCAGCTCGTTGCCCTCTTTGACAGCCAGTTCCGCTGCATAGTTGACCTTTAGCTTGTCCTTCGGTGGCGCCTCATCCACCACATCGGGAACTAGAGCATTCATGCTTCTTCTTTAACTGATTTCCGTTGCTATCAATGCTGTTAAATGTGTAATACGATGATTCAGTCGAGAGATTAGGCGCAATTCCTCATGAATACATACATACATATGTATATATATATATATATGGGTGTGTGTGTGTCAATGACATATATATTCTAATTAATTAATATCTTACCAGAAACGAACTTGAAATCCAATACTGCAGGCCTGGTGACTACTATAAATAACGATAACTACTGTCTCTGTATAAATCAAAAGTGAACTTTGGTCAACGAAAGTTTTCCATTTATTGTGTAAAGCGACAACAGCCAAGAGCCAAGCACCGTGCACGCACACACTATCTAATTAGACCCTAAAACCACAATCAAACTAGTAAATGGGGTATATAGGTTCTGAGGAAGTGAATGTAACAGGCAGTTATATATATAGATTCTTGATCGTGTTTGTATAAGCGTATTAGATCACGAGACTTGATACCTTACATAAAACTCTTCCATCCTATATTCCCATTGGCCTGTATAAGAAGAGGATAACTGTTGACTTGTATAAGAACTTTCCAAAAAGTGTCGTTATTGCTTGTTTATTCGTTTGTATAAGAGCCGAAGGCTTAATACTATATGAGCGAACAGAGAGCAGCTTCCTTTCGCGTACTAGGCGCATATCGATAATATAATCGATAGCTTTTAATATTCTATGAGATAAATTAGAAATGCTGGATGCTTCTCATTTTATATATAAATATAGAAGCCGTGTTCACCTGTAGCTGCTTGTAATGGGCTACAGGGCATTTGCTGGTCGGGTTTGCCCAACTAAAGCACGAAAGACACATTCGTGTATATATATATATTTTAAAGGCCAGTTAAAGATATCGGTGCACATATACACTGACAAAGTATCCCCAGAGTCAGGCGATATGTCATTTGTGTGTGTTTATCAGCGAATTGTTAATTAACTTCAGCTGGGCAGAGTCTACATATATATGAAATATAAGTCCAGCTGTGGCACATATCTTAACATTTATTATGTGTCCGAAAAGCTAAACTATATCTTTCAATTAGTCATAAGAGAAGCGGCTAGCTGTTTATTACTTTGATTATATTTATATATGTATATGTATATGTATGCTATTTATTTATTAAACAATTCGAATAGTATTAACACTTTGAATATTAATATCAATTAGCTTTGACTGACAGATTTTGGTCTACATTAAATGTTCATAAAAAAGAGAAACTTTTTAATATAATAATACAAATCATAGTTAGGAGCAGCAAAACATAATTTTAGCGTGAGATTTGAGACGCGCCAAGGCGTGGATAAACAATAGGATTAAAATTATATTGATAGTGTAAATAATAATAATAATATATATATTGCATATATATATATAATGGTATGTATAATATGTGTATGTGTGTCCGTTGCGCTACTATATATGCTTTATATCTGTATATATAGGTTGGGACTAACTATTTGCCCATTGTTGAAGAACTTAATTTGGAATACGAGACGACATTTGTTCAATTTGGATCGAGCTAAATTCCAATAACAATATATATTGGCTTTAACATTCAATTCTCTTATTTGTGTTTACTTTTTATGCTTTTTCAATTCAAAACAACATCGTGGGATACGTTTAGCAACGGGTTTCGTAGAGACCGCTGCGGCCAATGTAACGCACCCATTTCACCACATCGTGATCGGAGTAGTTGAGCTTCGGTTCGAAAACTTTTAGGTAGCGCACCTTGAAGCCCGATGGCGCAAATGGCACCTCAAAGTTCATGGAGATGGGTGGGCGCGTCCATTTCTTTTTGGTATCCGTTTCCAGTAGTTCAATTTCCGCCGAGAGCTGCGTCTCCTTCATGCCCGCCATACGCTTTATTTTCCAAACAATTGCATTCTCCGATGCCTTGTACTTGGCCTTGCCCTTGAGGCAAATCAATTGTACGCCCGAAGTGTTGAGTGGAGTGGGAATCTTCACTTCGATCTTCTGGCCAAGCAGAGAGGGCTTGAAATTCGATTTGAGCACCACCTTTACCTCCATCTTGGTGCGGCCCACTTCCCGGACCAAGGGTATAACTCGGAATGGCAGCGAAATGTCTTTTGTTGTGCGATAGCGCATTAGCTCGAATTCACCGTCCGGCGGTATGAAGCTAATCGAATGCTCCGTCTCGAATTTGCTCAGCTTGACGCATTGATGGAACTGACAATCGTCAATTACAACCACCGGCTTGCCAGAGCGCGAGGTTTCCGCCTCCGAATTACCGGAGAGGCCTCGACCCTTCGATTCCATAACGATTTTGTCATTGATGCCAAACTTGCATTCGGGCATGCCTGAGAAATAAGATTAATAAATATTAAGTAGCTATATTGGTGGGATATTTCATAACTTACCGGACAAATAGGATTTCATGACCACTTTGCCAGCCACATGAGCTGACAGCACTTGACCCTGCGGGCTCATTAGCAGATTCACATACTCCAGCACATCGAGGAACAGTTCGTTTCGTCGATACTTAATGCCCTCTCGTCGCCATCCAATTTGGCCTGTAACCTGGGAAGTTATTTGCATTTGCTCCTCTTTGGTGGCCGACTTGATGCCCTGCTGTGTGATGAACGTTTTCAGGGTGCCCGAGTCGGTGTTTTGCGGATAACCAAAGTCCAATATTTCGTCGAGCAGCTCATAGATGAGCACAAAGTTATTCTTGATGTTCTCTTCGGATATCTTGCCAAAGTACGACTGCATCACCTCAATGATCTTTAGCAAAAACTCAAATACCATGGCAGCATTCACATTTTGCTTGGTCACAGCAGCCAGCCAAATGTTGGCACGCTACAAAAAAAACGGGAAGCACTGATTAAAGCCAACGATCTTTTATATCCGGTTGACGTGGCACATACCTTAATGTGAAAGAAGCTGGTTCTGGCAATGTTCGTCACTGGCGACCGCACCTGCTGCCGGGCATGGATAACATTTACTCGAAAAGCGTCCACGGCGTTGCGACCGATGTCATCGCGGTAAACTCGGGATATGAGTACCTCGCCCTTGTGGTTGTAAACGAACAAACCACCAATCATTGTTGCGTCTTCTAATCGCGCGACCGAACCTTATTAAAAAATTAGTACTCTAGTTTAGGCTATTGGGTGGAAAATCAAAAATTTTCCACAAATTTGGGGCCCACTATCACTTTTCCTCACAAAAAATCAATTGCTCTCGCACTCCCCCTTTTTTCAGTTCGATAAGCAACTTTGTATCGCTTTTATCGATGATAGCGGCGTAATTTTCCAACACTGTTGAATATAGCGCAGCCAACTTTAGGTAGTACATGACTCTGCGGCTTTGACAAAAACATAGTTCATCTTCAATTGGAAATTATTTCCTTGTTTAATTCAATCGAGACGTCAAAGTAAACAAAATGCCCACTGAAAACCTTGAGGAGCAGGGCCTGGAGAAGAACCCCAACCTGGAGCTGGCACAAACAAAGTTCCTTCTCACGCTTTCCGAACACAAACAAGATGCAGCACTCAAGACCAAACTGCTCGACGATATTCGGGCCGATAATATGGCTCCATGGTATGAACACATCTGTACAGAGCTGAATTGGACTGTGGACAAGGATATGCTGGCACGTATGCGCGAACAGAACCGCATTGCAATCGAGCAGTTGGACGCTGCTATTGAGGATGCTGAAAAGAATTTAGGCGAGATGGAGGTACGCGAAGCCAATCTGAAAAAATCTGAATACTTGTGTCGTATCGGTGACAAGGCCGCCGCTGAGACAGCTTTCCGCAAGACGTACGAAAAGACCGTGTCATTAGGTCACCGATTGGACATTGTCTTCCACCTAATTCGTCTGGGTCTGTTCTATTTAGATCACGACCTAATCACACGTAACATCGACAAGGCCAAGTATTTGATTGAGGAGGGCGGGGACTGGGATCGCCGCAATCGCTTGAAAGTATATCAGGGTATTTATTCGGTTGCTGTGCGCGATTTCAAGGCAGCGGCCACCTTCTTCCTGGACACCGTCAGCACCTTCACCTCATACGAGCTTATGGACTATCCGACCTTCGTGCGCTACACCGTTTATGTGGCCATGATTGCGTTGCCGCGCAACGAGCTGCGCGAGAAGGTAGTAAAGGGCTCTGAGATTCAAGAGGTTCTGCACGGCCTGCCTGACGTCAAGCAGTTCTTATTCTCCCTCTTCAACTGCCAGTATGAGCAGTTCTACGTGAATTTAGCACAAGTGGAGAAGCAGTTGCGTGCTGATTATCTGGTTCATCCCCACTATCGTTACTATGTCCGAGAGATGCGCATTTTGGGCTATACACAACTGCTGGAGTCCTATCGTTCGCTAACGCTTCAGTATATGGCCGAGTCGTTTGGCGTCACTGTCGACTACATCGATCAGGAACTGGCACGATTTATCGCAGCTGGACGTTTACATGCCAAGGTTGATCGAGTCGGCGGAATTGTGGAGACCAATCGACCGGATAACAAGAATTGGCAGTATCAGGCGACCATTAAGCAGGGTGATCTACTGCTGAATCGTATACAGAAGCTTAGCCGTGTGATTAATATTTAAGTTCATAATCATACTCATACACACCCAAGAAAATATAAAATTTTATTAAAAATTCAAGTTATTACAATGTAAAACTAATATAACATAAAACGATACGACTTCATGTTTGTCTTGATGTAGTTAACAGAAAATGTATATTTTTTTCTTAAATTCGCTAATCAAATGTAGTTTATTAACTAAATTCTTTGGAATTTATTTTGGTATCGTCTTTTTTTATATATTTGAGTATTATTGCATGCTTTCTGTTTGTACTTAATTTGTTTTGTATTTATTTTTTAAATTGGCATCTAAATGCGCTAGATGGCGCTTGCTTATCGAAAATTGCGCCCGCTGTTATCGGTATCGAAAATGCAACGTTGCATTGGCGCGCTCTTCAACAATTTGAATCGTACGCTATCAGTGAACATCAGCGCCCTCATTTTTGCACGACCAATTGTGCTCTTTGGTTAGGTCATTGTCATTATTTGGGCTTTGCTTGTTGCTGCTAATAAAACTACGTGCCATATCCTCTAAAGCAGCGGAATTTCGCATGCCACAGTCTAGCGGCTCGTCGTTCTCATATTTAAGCGCCTCAGTGGCCCGCTGCTGTTGCTGCTGCTGGCTTGCTTCAGCCGATGCCTTGGCCAGATCATGCAGATTCTGCACAACCTCATCAATGATTGGCGCACTCGATACCATACCCATACCTGGCAACGAACTCAATCCGGCCAAATTGTGACGCCGCATCTCAGCCAAACGATTCGTGCTCAAATTGATCAAAGCATTCATCATGACCTTGTTACGTTGATAATCCTTGCGCAAGTGCTGACGTATCTCCGTGTGGCAATGCTCGTTGTTCGTCACGATAATCTCGCCGGTGTCCGTTGTCGTCACCCGTGCCTTGCAGTTGAATTTGCGCGACAAATTGCACTGCCAATATTTCTTATCCTTGCGCACGTACTGAATGCCAAACGTGTGCCCGTCGTGGACCAGCAGCGGCTTGCCGCGCTGGCTCAGCATAAACTCGAGCTTGCCTTGGAACCAATGCTCGCCAGGTGCGACTATAATATACACAAGATTGCCAGCATTGAAAGTATGTGCAGGTGTGTGTGTGTGCTGTCTATGTGTGAGTGTGTGTGTGTGTGTGATTGTATGACTGATTGATGACTGGACATTCACAAATGAGCCCCATTATTAAAGTCTCATGCAGTTACCATGAGTTATGACTTACCTGGCTGCTTAAATCTATCTTAAGGCACGGTTTTCTCATTTGTCTAAGCTAATCTTATGACAGGATCTCTTAATTACAATTCATTTAAGTATTTGAATATTTAACTTACAGTTAGCTTAGCTGACATTAGGCTAAGTCTTAACTGTTCATAACGTTTTCGACTTGAAGTAGGTTTATCAAACTTCGACTTATTTTAGAATCAAAATGTTTAACTAGCAGTTAGCTGAGCTGACATTAGGATAGTTCATTTCATACACATTTAACTTGAAGTTACTTTAACTTTGACATTATGAATAATCAAAAAGCTTAACTGGCAGCTAGTTTAGCTGTCATAGATTAGGCTACACTTAACTGACAGTTAATATAATTAACATTAAGTCAAACCGATCTTAGTTTAGACAATGAGAAAACGTGCCTTGCTCCACAAATTGTCAGCTCTTCGAAGAGATCAGTTCAGATCGAGAGGAAAAGGGTTCGATATTCGAAAGTAAGTTTCATTTTTGCATTTTACATTCGGTACATACATATGCACATAGTATATATACATACATACAAATAAACGAAAATTAAATCAATGAATTTCATCTAAACAGACTAACTAAGCGGCTTCCAGCCGCAATAAATTATCATCAACTTATGAACTAGTTCCTTTAGATGTTCTCGATCTTGAAATTGTGTCCACTGCCGGGCGATATCGTTATGGAGTCGATGACTTGAGCACTCTCCGCCGAGCCATCTGCACTGGCATTGATATCCACGTGCTGCCGTTGCTGCTGCTGCTCAGCTGCGTCCATTTGACTGGCTGTTGGAGGTGGACTCTTCATGCCCAGTGGCGATTCGTTGGCATGCATGGAGGCGGAGTGATTGCTCCTATTCGACTGTGGACTCTGGTCGGCTAGAGGCAGCAGCGCTGAGCCAGATGCTCCCAGTTCCAAGTGTGGCGAGTGCTGTGAGTGCTGTGGCAAGTGCATCAGATTCGGATTGCTGTGCATCATGTTCTGTATGACGCTGTGGGATGCTGCGGCAGCGGCGGCGGCAGCGGCTGCTGCTGCGGCTGCTGTTGCTGGCGGCGGCGGTGGTGGTGGCTGAGGTGGTGGCGGAGGCGGCGGCCCCGCTGTCATGCCATGCTGATCCATATTGTGATGCTGCACTAGGAGATTAGGCAATGCCTGCGTCAGCTGATGATGATGCTGCTGCTGCTGCTGCTGCTGTTGCTGTTGTTGTTGTTGCTGCTGCTGCTGTTGATGATGATGATGCGGATGATGATGATGGTGATGATGAGGGCCAATGGGCAGGGCTGCTCCAGCTGCTGTTGGTGCTGTCTGATTGGCGTACGGATTACCACCTAATCGTCCCGCTGAGCCATGATGATTCATTTCCAAGACACTAGTTGTGGGCGTGACATCGTAGCTGATCTGGCCAGGATTGGGATTGGGCGTAACAGTAACTAAATTGCCCCCGCTGCTACTGCTGCTGCTGTTGTTGTTGTTGTTGTTGCTGCTGCTGCTGCTGTTGTTGGCACTGCTGCCGCCTCGCATATGTGGCATATGATTGTGTACGCCCGTAGCGGATATAATCCTGCCCAGATGCGTGATGCAGCGCGCTCGACACATGCTGATCCGATAGGACTTGCACAGCCAATAGGTCTTCATGCCCTGCTGTGTGGCGACGGTGTTGTTGCGATTAAAAACGCAATTGCCGTGCAGCAACGACGTGGTGGACAACATGACCATGTTGCTCCCATCTGATCCGGAGTTGCAGCGTTCGCAATAAATATTAAGTATACGTACAATTGTGGCAGAGATTAGTTGGGGGCATATCTTTCCAAAAACAAACAAATGCTTTACGAATGTTATGTACAAGAGGAGCGAGAGAGAGAGAGAGAGAAAGGCTAACAATTCGAATTCGGTAGGTTTAGGCAGTGGGCATAGGCATATAAAATAATAATAAAAAAAAAACAATGCTTAATGCCTAAACAAATGTTATGTACAATTTGGATTTGTTTTTTTTTTTTGAGGGATTAGGCAATGGGTAAAAGCATATTAAATCAATTCAGGCAGCAAGGCTGTGGTTAGGCTAGAGATGGAAACCACATGGTTACGTCCAGGCCCTTGTTTAAACTTCAAATTTGCTTTAAAATTACACGCGCAACATAAATTCACTTCGGTCATCAGACTTTTTGTTTTATGATAGCAGAGGATTTAACGCTTTCCATCTCTAACGAATATCGATATAAGTGGCGCGCGAAATATGACATTTTTCGATATTTGGTTGTGTTGCAAATTCTGTGATCGGCAAATATTCCCCAAGGACATCTCTAACTCTGACGAATATCGAATATGCATTGCGTTTGATATTTGCTCCGATACTCATCGATTTGTGCAATAACATAAAACCGCCAAAGGACATCTCTAACGAACATCGAATCTACGTTGCGCGCGAAATTTAAAAAGTCACAACAGTTTTTGAAACACAACTCGTGCGGTCTACATAAATGATATGCTCAACATCGAGTTCATCGGTTTCCATCCCTGTGGATTAGTAAATTGCAAGACATGGAGTATTGATGATATGATGTTCAAATATGTGAGCCAAGCGTATGGAAACTCAAAGTCAAAGCGAAGCAAACATGCAACAGAAATTATGTTTATATAAACATGAATGTTATGGTTGAAGCTGTGTTCACCTACTTGACGGTATGTCCATGTGGTTGGCAAAGTTCTTGGAGTAATCGCTGGGCATATACAGCTCATTTGGATACTCAGTGGTTTGCCCAATGCCCAGGCTGCTACCGTTATTATTGTTGCCTCCATTGTTGTTGCTGTTGTTGTTGTTGCTGCTGCCTGGCAAATTGCTGGAACTGTTGCTGGCCGACCCACTATTGCCCGTTGCCTTGTAGAAGTTATTGTAGTCCAAATTGAAAGCGGGCACAAACGGATTACGCAGCGTGCCCATCGCCGTCGAGGAGGATGCCGAGCTACTACTCGTGCCGGCAGCGCTGCCAACGCTGCTATGATGACCCTCGCCCTCGCGCTTCAGGCTGCCCAGATCGTAGCGCGGCTCCACCATCGATATGTGTGGTATGGGCGGCATAAAGAACTCCTCCGCATTCAATGAATGCTCCATGCTGCCGCTATCCGCGTTATCAATGCCATCCACAGATCGGCGCAGCTGCTTGCGCGAATAAATCGACAGCGAATCGCTGCTGAAGTCTGCGGGCGCTGATCTCTTGCTCTGCATGTACGACAGGTGATTGGCATCCGTTCGACAGGTGCTCGGCGAGGCTGTGGGTGTACGCGAGTTGCTCTTTGGCTCAATCTGTTCTGCATCAGATTTGCTGCTGCTATTGTTGTTATTGTTGTTGTTGCTGCTGTTGCTTTGAGTGCTGTTGGGCTCATCACCGGCGCCAGCGGCGGCATTTGCCACTTGGCCAGCCGACTTCTCGGACACATTGGACCCAGGCGGACTGTTCGAATTGGTCGCTAGTCCCTTGATCTGCAGCAGTTGGCCAATTTTCATAAAGGATTGCAGCTCCGTGTGCTTGACGTTAACAACGCCTTGGTACATGAACTCCAGCAGCTCGCACATAATGTTAAAGCTCACATCTTTGAGTATGACTGTGGAGGAGAGAGAGAGAGAGAGATAGGGATAAGAGATTTAGAGATAAATATAAAAAATTAATGAGATATGGGAAAACTCAACAGATCTTCTACAAGAAACATAAATTAGATGTAGATAGAGTTCGTTAAAACTTGCAGGAGAGTTCGGCTATGCTTGACTATGCGATACCTTGACCTCCTTGATGGAGACTAGACTGCTTGTATATTTCCACTCACTCAGTGTATGTATGATAAGCACGGCTTTATTTGCACCGCTACAACCTCTACATTATGAGATACAGCTTGATTAAACTCAGGTTCTGACTGATCGTTATTTATGAAATTTTCAGAGCGTAATACTGACATGCCAATGTAGGTGTATACCAAAGTTTAAGACTGTGCTATTGGAAATTAGTGGGGAATGGGAAGAACTATCCAAAATGCTCATGATCTGATCACAGAAGCTTGTGCTGTGCACAGTATTCAGGAAGATCAAGTTCAAATTTCATTCCTTCCGCTTTTGTTCTTGACTGCCTACTGATCTAACTGTAAAATGTGGCTAAATTGCCAATGCTAATCCAGTGTGCACAGGAGTCGCAGCGACGAATCGAGTTTTATATTTTGACACTGGAATTTTTTCTAATTATATATTACGCTCTATATGTGTGCGAGTGTGTGTGTACGTGTACGACAAAAAGAAAAAAATGATCAGCTTGGAAAGGAGGTCACATTCATAGTGGAGATGTTATCATCGAAACGTTCAAATACTAAATCAATACATAAAAACGAAAAAAGAAAAAAAAACACAGCTATAAACAGCTATGATAAGAATACTGAAAACTTAAATATAAAATATATAATAAAAAACACTCAACAGCAGGCGAACAACAACAACAACAAGAGGAAGAAGAAGTGCGCAGCAATAACTAAGTAAATAAATAGCATCCCATATTATCGCCGCTGCCTGACGAAACGGTTCGCTGAAACGGTTTGAATATTTCAATATGTTTTCGAGTTCGATTTCCGTTGAAGCGGCACAGTGGTCCACATAGGGAGTTTGACCCACGGTTCAGCATAAAATATGCCAAATCAAATCGGAAATCTCTGTATATCATATTTGATTTCATGTAGGAAGAGTACAGTGAATGCTGACTAAGGAGAAGCATTAGAACATACAAATCGAGTCTTTAACTTGAAAATGTAAAACAGATCTATTCTTATTCAACAGATGATTCATAATTTTAATAATCGAAAAAAAAAATTAGGAACATTGGAGTCGGGTGCTACTGACTGCAGAAAACAGCAGAAAACTATTTATAAAATGTTCGAAAAAGCGCTCTATATTTTTTTTGAGCCTACCTATTAAAACTTAAGAGATATATTATTTTTCTATTTAAATGTCTTATATCTTATATATATATATATATATATATATATATATATATATATATATATATATATATATATTATATATATATATATATTAGATCAAACCAATATCCCCTTTTAACTTCAAGTGGCAAGGTATGCCAAAAGAAGATCCTTATGTAATATGAATTGAATTCTCTTAACCAACTTTATATTGGCTTAAGCCTAGTTCAGTAGAGCCCTCAGTCATGTCATATCATGTCATGTTCATTATTATCTACCAACTAACCAACGCGAACCACTATGGCCCATCAGCTCATAATAAGCTGCTAGCAACATCTAGTTAAATAAATTAAAAATAAACACAATATTATCTCTTGTTCTCAATAACAATTTCTATATATACATATATACTTGGTCTGTCATTTGTTGATCTGTTGCTTAATCTCGTGTCGACTATGGCAAGCCAAGCCGTCATCTATCCCATCCCATCTCATTGCTATCTGCTATTCGTATTTATGCGTCGCCACGTCCGTGTTTGTAAGTAACGCAAAGATCAAAATCCGAGCAATATATATATATATATATATAAGTGGAGATAATAACCCTCAATCGATCGATCTAGTTGCCATCTATATGAGTATATATGTATGTTTATATACAGTTATGCATGAGCTTGACGGCTGATCCTTAGTTAGATACGCTCGGAAAATGCAACTAATCAAATGTAAACTTAGATTAAAACACTTTCCTATGCCCTCAATTGGATTGAAAGGGTATATTCGCTTTTTGGGCAACAGCCAGTAATGGTAAGGATAACCCATTCAGTCTATCCAACTATGAAACTGAATATTGGAAATTCTGGTATATCAATCGATAACTTATGCCCTTTCGATATCGATTTTAGAACTGGCCCATCACTTGAAGACTTTGAATTATTTCATGTTTGGTATACCTTCCGCATTACCCTTTTATTTCAAATAGCAGATACTTTAGCTTTGGTATATGTAAACATGTTTGTGCTCTAAAACTTTCCTGAAGATCCTACAGCTAGAACTAAAGTGGGAGGTGTAAGCAGAGGAATCGCAATGCATGTATATTCTGTGGGTGTGAGTGAATGAGGATATCTTCTAGTCGTGCACACCCGACTAGAGCACAGAGTTTATAATCGATCAATCGATCTGTGAGTGATCCAGCTATCTGTGAGTGATCTTTAGAATATCTGATGCTACATAACAATTATAGATGAATATACAAACTGGAATACAAAGATCTCTTTACACACACAGCATGATCGGGTCTTACACACACACAGAGTCAGACTCGGACTCAAATATATTATTGATATTTGTATAGCGCTAACGAATCTGTAGATAAACTTTGTCTAAAGTTCACGGAAAATGTGATAAATACGCATAGAGTATGCTGTTGATAAGCGGCGAGATCGAAGCAACCCAAAAACCAAGTGACAATTCGGGCACGATCAACGATCGTCAATTGTGTATGCTGCATATATACTCTGTGTGTGTGTACGTATATATATATAGAGATGTCGTTGTCATTTCATTTCTGTTTTATGAAACTGAACCCAAGTTGATCTTTGCTGATATCGCATAGCTATAAGGCAGATCGTCCAAGCGAAGCAGCAGCAGCGGCAGCAGCCGCAGCAGCAGCTAAACGAATGCGCACTCTCCAACAGGACTGTGAATACGATATATATGTATATATGCATAGCTATGGCAAGTAGTTCTGTTCCCACCCATTGTCTAGAGCACACGCCCACTTTTGGCGAGCGACCAATAAGATTGCAGTCGATCGACTCAATATAGGAAAAAACACTTTTATTTTATGATTATGATAAATGTTTATCGAATCAGAACGGCAATTGATTTCGTTTCGTTTGGCTTCGTTTTGTTTCGTTTCTTTTCTATTTCGAACTGGAATTGGAGTGGGCTGTCAGCGCACAAACATTAATAATATACATGTTATCAGTTAACGCCATATTAGTCGGACATTCGTAGTGTTACTGCTAGTCACATAAATAGTACAATCTGATTAGGGAACGCGACGACCGCCTGATCACGATCTACACATAGCACGTATCCCAACTAGGATATTTATACGGAATATAATCCAATTGGAATTCAAACAATTTGATTTACTTGTTAGTCTATTTCTTGTATATCTTCTATTGGATTCCAATTTGTATTTGCATCTTAGGGCAGTTTGTGTATGAAAAACTATTTTGAAAGGCTCCATTATAATTGCCATTTAAATTTTTTCTATAGGGAAATTTACTTTTATGTAACTAATTTAAACAGAAAGACTGAAAAATACTAAGATGTTTTCGGAGATAATGTGTGAAATGGGGCCTTAAAAATGAATATATAAATAATTTATTTATTAAGTTAGAAGAGAACATATTAAAGAGAGAATATAATTAATATATATTGTTTCTTTAATATACGTAACTATTCAATATTCTTACTTTTCTACCAGTTCTCTGTCTCTTTGGGCATTAGCCAAAGGAATTAATGGGACCGATAACTAAATCTAAATCTAAATCTATTTATTTCTGCTACCGACTTTTGACTCATAAATTAAAAATTGTGTTTGGTCAATAGAAGAGGTCAATAAAAAACCCAAAGAACCTTTGCAAATGCTTCAAAGTCAAAGTCTGATATTAGTTATATGATACACTTATAAAAAGTGCTCCTGGCTCGTATACGTCAGCAATGACACCTGCCAGACAGAGGCGTACCTTGTGAAGTATAACAAATAGTTGTTGAATTACAATTAGGCGATTACGTACTGAATGAAAGACAATAAATATATCTATATGCAATAATTTATACTACTAAAAAGCAGATTAAATACTTGAATGAAAAGGATGCATTTTTTAATATTGATATTTGGAGAAATAATAAGATTTTTATATTGGAAGTTTGAGATTTCTGAAGAGAAAAATAATTGGATATTAGAGCTCTATGGAAGAAGAAGAAAAGAAAGAATTTTATATAGAACTCAAACAAAGGAAGCACTTGGCTCAAGAGAAATATTTGATAATCGTCTAGATTTACACATAGAGCACATTGTTAGAGGAGTTCTCAGAAGAGAAGATTAATTCAAAGACTTTACAGCGAAATTTTAAGACTATTACCGGGACAATTATAATCGATTCCATTGTATCGATTTGTTGATATATTTCAGATTAAAGAGCTAGAGAAAGGCGTCTTCAAGAGTTGAATGCATGATAGCTGTAGCTGTTCCAACTGAAATATGTATATTATGGATGTGTTATGTAGCCTTATAGCTAGCTCAAATTGGTTACAGAACTATTTTGTGTATTGGCCTTAAAGTTTAATTTGACTTAGAACTTTTCCAGAAGAAGAGTTTAATATACAGATTTTTACTCTTAAATATTATTATTATTTCTTTCGACCTTTATCTCTTTATCAATTATTTATGGAGTTTTTTTTTTACTACCCCCATTAGAAACGTACGGCTTCCTGAATACGCCGCCCCTGCTACCGGCTACAGCTTACTGGCTAGAATGGATGGCAATAAAAATAAAAATTTGAGTTTGATATTTACGACAAGTTCACTCGGTCGATATTCTATTATCTACATTTATTGCAGCTAATATCAGCAACAGCCGCAGCTCCGATCGCTGGAGCACTTGAAGAGGAAACACTGTGGCTATCGTCTAGCGTCTGTAATTGGTTTAGGTTTACTTACTCCTATACCCTGAAGCCATTGAAAGTTGCCCAATCCGCGCATATTGGTTTGGCCTAAGACTACGTGCGATGAAGCCCTGAATATTTATAGATCTATATATATATATATATATATATATATTCTTGATTATAATATAAAAGTATAAGTTACAAATGCTTGAAGTGAAGTTTGAAGTTCGATCGATAACTCTTATGGTGAGAACGATAAGAATCGATTGTAGCAAAATAGATAATTTGATAAATCAACTCGAAACTAAAAAGTTGTACTCCATGCACTTTGACATGTTTTAATCGATAATGTGTTGATCGATAACTAACCAACTAACATGAAATCGATAATAAATCATTGGTAAAATAATCAATAATTGTGGTATAAGAATATATAACAGAGGAACGTTTTATATAGTGTTTCAAGTAAATCGATAACAATTTTCATTAAGAGGAAATCGTTTAAAATCGATATCAACATTTTTTTATCGTAGAGTTACCAAATTTGGTATATAGACTCCACTTAAGTCTTTTCAGCTGAAAAATGGCCTAATTCTTGTATAACTCCTCCCCATTTTCTCATTGTATTCTAGAGTATCTGCTTGTCGAGAGACAGAGGGACTGGTAGTGGGTTTATTAAGTGGCAATAGAGCACATATGGCATACAGTAGGCGTCTATGCGTCTTATCTGATCAAATGGCCATAAGTCAAAAATCTTATTTTACGATTTCAAATGATACCAAAAGAGAACCAGGCACATATACCTGGCATAAGCTGATAAACACTCAAGCTGATACTTATTGCTGTTTATGCCAATAATAAAACTTAAACGAAATCGAAACAAAACTTGGGGAAGAGGAAGGAGAAGATAATATACGAGGATTAACGTTGTACGAGGCCAACAAAATGGCGTAGATATTACGTTAGAAGTGCCTACCTCCATGAATGGCCATATATGTGTATATATGTATGCCTGCGTCTTAAGTATTTTGTATATATCGATCGGCAACACGGCAACAACAACAACAACAACAACGACGACAGCAACTGGAACAACAACAATGGTTATATCAATATAGCAATTCATATCGCTTTGGTTACCAACTCAAGAGTCAGAGCAACCCTAATCAATATCTCGAAAAAGTCTTCAAGTGCCTTTTTCAGCTAGGGACGGAAGCGTGTCGAAACTATTTCTCTATAAATTTCGTATGCTCGTTAGTGTGGAGTTCAAAAAGAGTATATTGGTTTTGTACAGTACAACAAAAGTCTTTAATGGATATAGTCGAGTGCCTTCTCGTTTGATCAGTTATTACTCTAAGCCTGATTGGGAAGCGAAATCGTTAAGGGAGTTGCTCAAAAAGACTAAGCAAAGCTTACCTATGCAGCATAGAAAAGCAATAATTTTACATCTGGATTTGTTGAGCAAGTATAAAAGTCCACTTGCTCTAAAATAGAGCGCGTCTTGGGCACATGACTGATCGATAAATTCACTCTTCTACATACATCAGCTGCCTTTGTCTTTAGTTCCTGCACAAATATAATGTGAGCACATTCGTGTCACGCCAGGCAACACGGCACGTACTCATCTCTAGCATAGGCAGACGGACAGAAGTGCCGTTAGAAGTGGCAGCCGGGCAAAGGGAGACAACGGGGACAGCCAGGGAGCGGGCAACCAGTTGCTCGCCTAATGTTGCTCGTTGGGCAATAAATGATTGTTGGGCGCGATAAAAAGATAAAATGTTTGACTTTTTGTTGTTGTACAAGTTATTGTTGTTGTAGTTGTTGTTGCTGTTTGTTGTTATTTAAGTGTAACACGCAGGAGCAACAACCAACAACAACAACAACAGACACCAAATCATTTGGCTTGTTAGCACCTTTGGCTCATTGCTGTTGTTGTTGTGTTTGTTGTTGTATTATGACTTGGTTTATTTATAATAATTTGTAGCCCATAGCATTATTTATAGCCTATATTAATATTCTTTATCTTTGAAAATAATAATAATACTTCTAGTACTGTTCCATTCCCTAGTTTCCGATACCCTTTCGCGCATGCCAAATGGGTAACCAAAAAGGACAACAAATCTATATGAGTTTCAAAATGTATCGATAAACACTCGATCGATAATTATTGATTGGTTTTAACACCTAACGAAAGTTGAGCAAGGCATATAAGGGTTTAGTTTACGATATTTATTTTTAGTTTAAATGAACCGATAGTTGTGAAATCGATCAATTTACAGTTGCTTGGTTTATTGATTTATAATGATAACTGGACTTAAGTTATTGGAACGAAAAAATGGGTCGATAAATATCGATAAATTACATAAATTAAATACATTAATTATAAAATTAATTAGAGCTTATCTGACGAATTAGTTGACATTAAGAGTTAAATACAAAATGGGTTTATTAACAATTGGATTATTAATCGATATTTTAAAATTCGATGTATTTATCGATTTTAGATTTAAGAGCTAGAGGAAAGCGTCTGAAAGAGTTGAACCCTTTATTTGCTAGCTAGCTCTGTTAAACTGAATGCACCTCAATTTGATCGATAGTTATCGATTAATAACATTATAATAACATCTTTATAATTCTCCACGATTTCTAGGAATTCCACAATGAAATTGAATTTATTGAAGAATGAAACTTCAGGGTATCTCTCAGTCGGGCTGAATGAACTAGTTACTGTAGGTGTTGTTGCTGTTATTATTATAGTTAGGTAGCATATTTCTACAGCTACTTGAAAGATAAAATACTGTTGTTTATTGCCGCTTGATCTGATAAAGCCACCGTGCAGCAGGCGTGTAGAACAAGCGAACGAGTCAGGCAGACCCCAAGCTCAACCCCAACCCCGAAGCCCGAGCCCCCACAGCCCAAACCTAACCATTGGCAGTTGGGCGGGCAGGCGATATGATATCCATATGAACAATTCCAGAGTCCATGCACCAATATCTAGGTTGAAGTGAGTTAAGCATTGGATCCACAGTTGATGAGGTCAGCAACGTACCCAAGTGCTTCAAGTGGACAAACGGCCAGCCTTATCACAAGCGGAGCACGAGCAACGTGTGATGCATGTGCATATGCATGACAAAGGGGTGTGGGTGCGAGTGTGGATATCGGTGTGGCTGTGCAGGAGTGGGTACTACGAAGACACAATGCGCATCTAGAGACAATATGGCGACAGCTGCCAGTGTGGATGTGGAAAGAGAGTGTGGTATGGGATTGTGGATGGAACGATGTGGAATTTGAATGGGAATGGAATAAGCATATGGATATGGACGAGTGGGATATGTGAGATATGGAATGTGGATGGCAATGAATATGTGAGTTTCGATGTGGCAGTTAAAGTGAATGAGGATGGGAATAGATTGATCTAATATCTGGGACAGTTATCAACGGGGATGAAGATAGGAATGTGGATACGAATGTGAATTTAAAATAGAGCAAAAGATTGTTCACTGTGAAGAGATAACGTGGCAATGGATTCGATGGGTGCCAATGTTGATTTGAATGTGGAATATAAATTGGCAATGTGAGTGTGGAACGTGAGTGTGGATGGTATGAAGACGTCTATACGGACATTTATGGATGTGGATGTGGGGGAGTCACAACTACGAACTAGCTGCATCGAGAGACAACGTGGCGACAGCTAACCATGAAAGATTATCAGCAATGGCTTTTTGATTTTTGATTTATCACTGGAGCAAAATAGTGTAGCAAGCATATGAACACATAGACATATATCTATACATATATGTAGCACAGTTGGTTTCTTGTTAACTCCCAAATGTGACATCGAATTTATTATAAAGTTGATTTATATCGACGAGCGCTGCTTGGGCTGCCATTTGACAAGTGACGGGCGTGCTTAGATAAACTGACAGGTGGACGGCGATAAAATTTCCACCCTGTCGATAACACGTAAAACAAGTACAGTAAATGCAAGCTACAACGAACAATGTCTAGAGTTTAGCCAAATTCGAAGAGTAAGCTGCAATAACTATCTTTATATGCTAAGCCATTGATAGATTCTTCGCATGATCGAAATATAAGGTGCTAATAAGATTTCGTTAGCAGCATGTTAATTGGAACTTTTACGATTATGATTTATTTTTTCGAAAATAGGATATACTTGCTAAACAGCGCTGAAAGTCTTTTGATTAAGAGACAATAGAATCCGGAATTCCACCTCGAATCCTTGTTTAGGTGCGACAAATTATGTTACAATTGCAGAACTAATATTTAACAAAAGATTGCTGATTGGAATTCTGGTTGGGTATGTTAAAATTATGAATTAGATTCCAGTTCAGTGGAGCATCTACTGTACATTCCACAGCTTGGACGCCGCCGCGTGAACATTTTCGGCAAACAACAGCTTAGCAAATGGGAGCAGCGCAAAAAAAAAGAACAACAGCAACAACTTGTGAGGTGAACGTCAGCAACGGATGAGAAAAGGAGTGGGGGAGTCTGAGAGAGGGGGTTCGATTGGTTTACTTACTGATTGGATGTTGGCAGGGATTGGTCGTGAATATCTCTTGGAAATATGGACTGCATATGGCCAGGACGATTTTGTGCGCCTGCAGTAGCTTTCCGTCGCAGGCCAACGTGACGTCCACTAGATCGCCGCGGTCGTACAGGTTCTGGAAACCGCTAGCAATATTGTCCTGGAAGTTCTTCCAGCAAAGCTTAAACTCATCATCCATGGCGCTCGCCCGCCAGCCAGCAAGCTAGCAAGTGTTATATATGTATATATATAAATAAATATATTTATATATATGTTAATTGTATTGTTAGCTGCAATTATTTTGCTTAAATGCAGAGAAATCGCGAGCGGGAGCTAGAGTCTGTTTTTCTTTTCTTTTTTAATGATTCTTGTTTATTTGCTTTGGGCCGTGATTTGTTGGCTCGTTCACTTTGTGGCTGACATTCACAACTGAGATGCCACAGAATGTCAGATAGAACATAAACACAAAAATATATATATATTTGTACGTATGTATGTGTGCAAAAGCACGCTCACGAGCGCCAAATGCCGTCGCAAGCGAAACTCTAAGAAGATCCGAGTACTATTTGGATTTTGAACAGATGCTGCAAGCGTTTTGTTTATTATTGAGGTTCACGCGCACGAACACGAACCGTCTGCGACGACAGCCACATTGACTTTGATTTCGGTTTTAATTAACACTTTTTGATTTAAAACATTTTTATCAGAAAAGCGTGAAATGGCAGCGGACGCTGTTTACGTTTCGTTGCGATAGAGAGACAGAGTGAGCGAGAGAGAAACTGAAGAACATGCGCATAAGCAAAACAGCTGTTGCACCGATAGTGTTGTAAAACCGAAAAAAGAACGTGGCGGGCTAATTACATTTCAAATTGTGAACAAAATAATATTTCTCACATATGCAATTAAAAATTCAAATAATCCTAATGCGATATTAAAATATTTTAGCTTTTTAAGATTATAAAAACATTTACTTACTAGTATTACCTACTTTTGGCAATTATTCGATTTTTTTGATCGATTTCCGATACATTCTCCGACGAAGCTATAAAATTATAAACCGCCAACAGTGCTGATTGATAAGAGCTTATCTAAAATTTGTAAATTCAGCGACATATATTGGTTGAGGTCGACTTGGCTAGTGCCCTGAAATCGTAGAGCCAAAATATGTTTCTATGTGGCCAATGCGACTGACTCAGAAGATAACGTTGCCGTAATAACCCACTTTATATTTTAAACAAAAACAAAGAGCTTCTTATCAGAAAGCCGTGGATGGCTTGCACGTTAATTATATATATACATTCATACGTTCATAGATACCAATGTCAATTGGTCACCGGTTGATTTCTTTAATTTAGTGCTTTAAAATCGTTCAACTGCTGCGGGTACACGCGATATTTGATAATCTCTCTATTAAAATGGGTGGTTGTTGTAGTAAGCATATCCAAACATTTTCATAGTTTTTATGATTACATTCTGTTTTATTCTTTGTAATTTAATTTAGGTAATCGTAAATCGGTTGATTTGCCAACAGTGCCACCAGCGCCAGCGAAGCAGCGAACCACGACATTACCAGAATTTCCAACAGTGGCAAACAATAATTCCGGCATTTCTTCGCTAGGCGGAGGAGGAGTTAATAATAGAGCACTTGAAGAGGATTAGTCCTATACCTATATGAACTGCATAATAGATGTGGATACGAGAAATATGTGTTTGTTGTGCACTTAACTTATATTTATATTAAATTTCACATTTCAAATCTGAACAACTACGTATAATAGTTGTTAATGTTTATGTGAGAAATGCTGTAATAAATAATTGTAAATTCAATATATATTCAAAATATTTTAAGTATGAGCGCCCCAAACGTTGTTCAACACTTTGACCAAAACTCTTGCTTTAAAGTGCACATGACAATAAAAACAACAACCACAATGATATGATTAAGCGCTTATGGAAAGTAACTGGCATGCAGGAGGCAATAATCATTAAATGAATTCAACATATAATTTTTGGCTCGTCAGCAAACGTTTTACAACACTTTTACCACAAGCTGTGGCTTAAATACTTTAAAATACTTATGTAGAGTAACCGGTACGCAGTGCGCATTCATATAGCACTACACGTGCATGCCGCAAGTGTGTTTTATTTTTGTTAAGAGTTTTTATCAATTCTCATTTTTTATTTATAAAAATTGATGCAAAAGTCACATAAAGATGGCCATACAAACGAATAAACGAAAAAGAAAACATGAAGCTGCGGCCGTAGACCAAGTCGACGATGCCGAAATAGCGGTACCCAAAAAGGTGCAAAAGGAGTCTGACACGCCAAAACGAAAGGCAAAAGACAGGAAACATGTTGAGCCAACGAAGGAGCTGCCAGAAGAAGAACCGCATGGAGAAGAAAAAGAAACAACAAAAAAGAAAAAGAAGAGCAAACACACACAACAGGTAGATAAGCCAGACGAGGAACTGGAAGAAAGCACTAATCTACAAGAAGGCCAAGAAGACCAAGAGGAAGAATATGAAAGAACAGATGAAGCAGAGATTAGTCCCGATTCGGGCATTGAGCCAGAAGAGAAACCTCTGCGATTTCTCAATGATTTCAAAATGATGAATTTTCGAAACAAATTGCTTGGCAATAATTTTATAACAGGTATGTTATGATTGAGATTTTGTGAGTACTCGACTGACTTAACATTTTTATAGAGTTGCGGCACTTCCTATATATGTGCCAAATCCGTCCAAAGATTGTGGCCAAGTATATTGAGAAGCGTGGCAAGCCGTTGGAGCTAGCCGAAGCTTTCAATCGCATCGACAAGACCAACGTTCTCCATTTGGGCTACCTTTGTGAGGCTCTGCAGCGCATCATAATGGAAATACTCACGAATCAAAAGGAACACATGGAATCGGCTGCGCATGCTGGCAGATATTTTCTCAAAGCTCACGGCTCGCTGTTGGAGCAATTGTTGCAATCGGCACAGTTGAGTCATCGTCGCAATGCACTCAAATTGCTGACTGCAATTGTTTGCGTGGACTCGCAGCTAGGCCGTCAGGTACTCAGCTCCTATGACATACTCTCCAACGTGAAGACAATGGGTGAGATGCTCTCACATTCGAAGCACGATTACAAAAACGAGGATACAGTACGTAAAGCGTATATACACTTTGTGCTCTCCTTTCTGGTGGATGGCAATGCGCTGCTCATTCGCAACATTCTCGATCGAGCTCATCTAATACGAGAGCTGGTCAAGGGTCTCGTCTATGATGATCAGGTGACTGCCTGTGTCGTGCTCAACACATTGCGCCAATATGTTCTAGAGAATCCCAACATATTGAAGACAAAGAAGGTGCATGTTTTCGATTTGGAGTGCTGCAAACATTTGCGACGCCTCTACGATTGGGAAGGCCCTCAAGGACTTGTTGCCTGGTATAGTGGTGGACGCAAGGAAGGCGAAACAGCAGGCAGTTCTGTTCCAGAGGGACGCGAAGCTGTAGCAGCAGCTGTGCATCGGTTGCTTCTGCTGCTCTTCACCTCTCGCAAGCATGGCATCAGCTTTGATGCGATGACCAATTATCGCCAGAAACACAACAAGCTGCAAGGCAAAATTCTGGGCACACTTTATCGTCCATATAACGATCCGCTTAAGAAGGAGCTTATATTGAAGACGCTGCAAGCCTGTCCAGATCTGTGCAGGCATACTGTACGAAATTTCTCTTCAATTGTAAATCCCATACGTTTGGCAGCGTCTGATTTACCAAGTGGCATTGAAATGTTAGCCAGTATCATTGAAGCTGTGCCATCGAGCGCTCTGTCTGTCGCCATGGATAAGATGACATTAACTGACTTTAGTTATTGGATCAAGGAGGTGTGCTTGCCCACCGAGGCGTTGCTGCACATTGTAGGCAAGAATATGCTTCGGAGCAAGGATTTCCAAGTAAGAATATCTGTGAATCGTTTGCTTCTGGCCATGATGACGCAGTACAGTAACTATGTGAGCGCCGTTGCGCTGAAGGAACAGTCGAAACGTGCGGGCAATTCGTTGCGTAAATTTAAGTTTGAGCTACTCAATCATTTGCTTATCAATTTCCCCCCTATCGAGGGTATACTGTACTCACTTTTCCTGAGTATTCAGGAGCGAGCGTCACCAGGAGTGAATGTACTGGATCATCTGTCGGTGACCCTAGAGTTGATTTTGATCATGTGCAAAGAGAATCGTGCATTCGTTCACAAAACGAGTCAAATTCTTGATTATTTGGATGTGTTGCGTCCATTGTATGAGACGAACTTTGATGAGGCGGTCGAGCAGAGCGAGAATCAAACTGAACTCTTGAGCAAGGTTCAAAAGATTAAGCTGGAGCTGAAGTCGATAAAAACGATTTTGTTGCTCTTTCCACGTTCGCTGCATCCACAGGAGGAGCTGTTCGAGAAGGTGTTCCGATCCTTTATCAAGGCCTATATGCAGGACGACGATTTGGCTGTTAAGACTGAGGCTGGCGAGCTGTTGCACAGTCTGCTGCAGAACACGGGCATGTTCGATTCATCTAGCTATGAGATTGATATTTGGCTGGAGGCATTAATTGGCTTCGATGGTCAAACTGTGGATAATGTGACCAGCATTTTGCTAACCATACTTTCACTGGATCTGGCAGAGGTGGAGCAACTGCCCACACAGAATGCAGCCGAGCTGGCCAGCAATGTGGAGAATCTGCGCAAGCTATTCAAGCAAATCGAACAAGGTCAAACGGTCCAGGCGTACGTGGAGACATTGACACTGAGTAAAATGATGCCGTTGCTGTTGCAGGGCGTTGACATCGAACCGCCGTATGATGCCTATGTGGAGTTGGTTTTTGTGTTGCTCTATCACTATCACACGAAACCGGAGCAGGTGCAGCAGTTATACAGCACACAGCTCTCGGAGCATGAATCATATATGCAGGTCGACCAGGTTGCCAAATTGCCTGCTGGCATTGCTAACCATTGGCCACAATTGGCCCAATTGCAGCGGGCAGTGCTGGAGTCTTCAACTGAATCCTTTGATCACATATTCAAGCCGGCAGCTACAGATAGCGAGCACTTTGAGCTGCAGCTAGAGGATGGAAACAAAGTGCTGCTGCAGCTTAGTCTGCGGAATCCACATCGTAATATGATCTATGCACACGATTTGCTGTTTATGCTCTGTCAGCTGGTTGAGAGCAAACAGCTGAAGGCACAGCAAGCGCAATTGATAGCAGAATGCTTGATTCGACTGCTGCAAATAGCCAAGCAGCTAGATGGTGGGCAGCAAGTGAAGGTACAAGATGAGCTGGAGAAGGAGCAGCAGGAGGAGTCGCATACACAACGCTTGCTGCATTACATCTATAGCATTCGACTAAGTCAACTGCGCGCAACTCACCTGCTCAGCGAGACAAGCGAGACGCAGCTGCATTATGTGAGCTGCCTGCGTCGGCTGGCCGAACATTGTCGTAGCCTGGAGAAATTTGATAGCTACACTAGCTACTACAGACAGCAGCTGGTGATTGGCTTGGAAATAGCGCTAAATGATCCCGCAGCCCTGCAATCCGCTGCACAACCGGCTCAACTGCTTGAATGTGTTGGCCTTGTGGATGCCTTTGAGCTGACCGCCAGCGAATGTGCCGAAATGTTGCGGTTGCTCACCAGCAAGCTGCAGGCGAAGGATTACTTCATGGCTACCGGCAAGACGAACCATTACTATGAGCTTATGCTGCGTCTATTGAGACGTCTGGCTCAGCTTGAGCAGCCCATCGATTGCAGTCAGTCCATGTTGCAGCTGCAGAGCTATTATGGTGAATTCTGTGAAAGAGTTCAACTCGCCGAACAACTGGAGCAGCTAGAGTCAGCGCTATTGGAGTTCCTAAGCAGACAGCATCATCATCTAGCTGGTTGCAATGAACAATTCTTCAAGAGCTTCTTCTCCACATCGAATCGCAAGCTAAGCAAATCAGCCATTCGACTTGCTTGTCTGCTTCTGGAACGGAATGCGCAGCTGGCTACGACATTTGCTCAGCTGCTGCCGGAGCATGTGGAGCAAAAGGAGTTGATTTATCCATTGTTGGATGTTGTTTTTAAGCGCGGCTATCAGCTGGAACAGTCGCTGCTGCAGCGTTGCTATCAAAGCTACAAGAATGGCATACTCAAGAGCATCGAGAAGCCGCAAAAGGCAGCTCTGATCTACCGTGAGCATGCAACAGCGAGTGCATCGCTCATTGCCAAATGCATGCCCAAATCCGAGTGCCTGGATTACTGTCAGAAGCAATTGAAATTCGATGCAGTTGAGCTCTTCCAAATGCGTGTCCTCAACGAGATTTACAATCAGGCATATGCAAGCAGCAAGGATGCAGTGCAGCAGTCCAACATCTTTGTCAGCTATGTCAATTTGAATGTGCAAATGCTGGCGCTTGATTTGAAGAAGCAAAGTGTGCAACTGGACAAATTGGAGCAGTTGGCATTCCATTGCTACGATTGGTGGCAGCGACTGCCTCAACTGGAGCAACAGCAGTTGGATTGGAGCCGCCTGTTGACAGCTTCCCATTGGCTCAACTTTTGTCGCAGCTGTCTGAAGCAGGCCATGCACATGCCAGAGGAACAGCATCGTACGCCCGAACAGGCGCACATCAATGGACTGCTGCTCAAGTTGTTGGCCTATCTATGCGATCAGCTCTACCAGGATTACGATGAAGTGGCGGGAGAGAGTGCAGATGCCGGTCTACTATATGAGATGGCATGCACACATTCGTGCTGCTACGATCATTTGCTGGGTGAGCTGACCGAGGTAAAGACACATTTGTTGCAGCTGCTAGAGACGTTGGCGAGGAAGGCACCGACTGCTCTGCATAGTGCTCATATACCCGTCATCCTGGGCGCCTATCATGCACGTTTAACCCCCGCCGATCGCTATGCTTTGGCACTGCTGGAGCACTATGAACGCTTCGATGTGGGCTTGGCGCAGTATCGTCCGTTTATCTGGGGCGAGAGTGCAGTGGCTCACTATGCATTGCGTGCCGTTGACGAGGATGAGCGTGCCAAGCTGCAGCAGCACGAGACGAACGTGTCGCAGGTGTTGGCTCTAATTGTGCGTCCATCCTGTCAATATACCATTGAGAACTTCCCCGTCTGGCGTATGCTACATGCCAGTAAACAGTTGCCTGAATTGCAGTTCCTTAATCCCGCAACCAAATCGCAGAGGTTCGGTGATAATCTGCTCGAGCAGCGCATCGAGCAGGGTTGCAAGCAGTTCGAGCAACATTTGCGTCGATTGTGTCCCAAGCGCGAGGAGATCTACGAACACTGCTATGATCCAGCCTTTATGCTGCCCTTGATGATGCACTGCTTTGCACCGGAGTCAGCGGTGCGGGCGCAGTGGCCTGTACAGAATGGATTACTCGCTGTCAGCTTTTGCGCTTTGTCGTCCTTGGATAAGGATATGAGACTGGCTGCCGCCTGTTGTCAGCAGAGGTATCGAACCCACTTCGAGCTATCCAAGTTCTATGAGAAACCCTTGTGGACGCAGGCTTACGACAACATACAATCGGGTCTGGGCGAGCTGCGTGACTCTTGGCTGGCTCAGCGTCGTGTGCATGGTGGAACACCTCGTGTGCCTTTGATTCCCGTGCTGTTCATCGCACACAGCTTTAACATAAGCACAGATCCCTCGCACCTGCTGTACAAGCGACTCATGATGTATTTGCAGCTGAAGCAGAGTTTTAACTTTCAGACCATACCCGAATTCAATATATTCTTCTACTCCCAGGAGCCGGAGCATCAGCAGTATAGAGAGTTCATTGTCCAGCTGCTGAGCAATGGCATCAAATGCAGCGCTGATCTCTTTCTGCTCGTTTCCACGAACACATTCAAGGTGCTGCTCAGCTTCTATGGCTCCAATTTGGCCACACTCGACACCAATCTGCTGCTGCTCTCTGTGCTGTCCACGTGCGTGAAAATACCTGGCGCTGTGAAGATTATGATGGAGCATGTAGGCATTCTATCCTGGCTAATGGGTGTCATACGCGACACACAGTTCCATCAGTTCGACATCATTGAGGGCATCATTAGCATTGTCAATAATCTCTGGTATGCTGTGGCCGCCAGCGAATCCGAGTTGCCAGACTACACGCATGTTCAGTTGCGCGTGCAACGTCTGGTGTTGCAGCTGCTGCCGTTGGTCTCGCCGCGCGTCTCCGTACCCGGTCTGGCACGTCTGCTCAATGTACTGCAAAAGACCGCCGCCGCCTCCAGTGGCCAGTACCGAGCACTGTCTGGCCAGCAGCTGGAGTTGTTGCTCGACTGCGTATCTCGTCACTGGCCGGAACACACAGAAAGTATACGCTACTTGCGCAGCTTTGGCGGCACCTATGCCAGTTCCCGCTCCGAGTACTGCGATCAATTGGCCAATGATGAAAAGCTGGATACCCATTCGGTGTTAGCTCTATCCAGTCTGCGGCAGTACGTCAGCGACTGGTGGCAATCGCACAACCGGCAACCGGCATTGCCAGATCCAGTCCAGGCCCCGGCTTCTTAGTGGCCTTTTATAGTTAAATCTAAACAACGATGTTAAAGTGTTAATAATAATGTAATATATGCTTTTGAATATATATATATAAATACTTTGTACATTATATTATATTATATATTTAATTATTGCGAGGATATAATATTTCTCATTTGTCGTATGGCAGCCACCAGACGCGGCTCACAGCCGGAGCTTAGGTTGAGATACTGGTCGGGTGCAGCCTTCAACAAAGTTAGAATCTGCGACAGCTGCAGATTGATTGTTAAGCCCAGTTCCTCGAGCACGTTGGATAGGTATTCAATGTCTACGCTGAGCTGTGTGGCCGACGAGGCTGGCAACGATTTGATTTGCAATATTTGAGCCTGATACATTACACAGCATTGCTCAACGACCAGAGAGAGCAGAACATCAGCGCAGGGTATAGCCTGTGTATACTTAATGTTGCAGAGTTCGAGAGCTTGCTTCAGGAGTGCTGATGGCGACAGCAATAGCGGCTCCAGATGCTGGGGCAGCGTTAGCAGATATTGGCCAATTTGTGTGATGCTCTCTTGTGGAGCGTAGCTAAACGCGGGCATATTGATGCCTGATGAACTCGAGTAGGCCTCCACGGGCGGACGTATATGCGCCAGGTGCGCCTCGATGGGCTGCAGCAATATATTCAACGTAATATCGTGCGTTTCTTCCAGATAAGTTTTCAGTGTGGCATAGATCTGTGGAAAGATTCCCAGGCTATCGGAACTAGTAGCAGTTGTTGCCTCGCTCCTCTTCTGCTGGTAATCGGCAATGGTAGAGAGCAGCTGCTGGTGCATAGCACGTTCACAGGTCTGATAGATGCTGATTTCCTGTCCACTCGCTGGTTGCTGCAACCTGTTGGCTAAGCTGCTCATGCGCAAATGAAGCAGCTGTTCGAACTGATGCAGCTGCAACTGGAAATCGGTCAAACACTGCAGCTGGGACATCGTGTACTGCAGAAGCGCCCAATTCTCGCTGCGCGCTGTGCCTTCGCTATTGCTGCTACCCAGACTGAGGCTGAGCTGGCGCTGGGTGCGGTTAAAGTTCTCCAGTTGCCGCTTGAATATGCCATTGAGCACCGTAATCAGCCTACACAGAGCTAAATCATTGGTTATAGCCTCACAGCGTGTGCAAGCCTGCTGCAGCCACTCGTAGAGCTTGCGAGTGCTGTCCTCCAGATGACGCACTGCATCACTGGGCGTCGACTGATTCGAGAGCAAGCGATCAACTTGTGTGGACAGCTGAGTCTCTTCCAGACGTGGATATTGTTGTATGAACTTGTGAAAGTATTCAAACACCGCCTCAGCCAGCTGGCCATGCAGCTCGGCAGGCAAGCTAATTGTCGACTGCTTCAGCATCGAGTTCAGATGCAAAACGAAATTCTGGTTGGCCTGAGAATATTGTGCCAACAGCTCTAGTCGCTCATTGGAACTCTTCAGCAGCTGCAAAATATGGGCATCGCGTGTTGGCTGCAGAGCTGGCAACAGCTCGGCAATGACCAAAAATGGTTGGGACTGAGCCACGTCTATCGATTCATCTGCAAAGAGCTGCACACACCATTTCAATTGGCGTTGGCAATGCTCCAAAAGCTGATCGTAGAAGAGTGTAAGGAAGTGCTGCTGGGGTGATTCGCTGACCTGCAGCTCGAGCGTTTGCTTCCATTGCTGTTGCAGCACATTCTTTTGAACAGCTCGATAGTACTGCTGCAGCTGTGGCAAGCGCTGAATGCTGCTGAAAATTTGCACATGACGCTGTGCCTGCTCCAGATTTGATTCAGCAAAGCATTGAACTAGGCTAGGTGATGCCATGGCCTCCAAGCGGTTCTTGAAATCCTCCACCTGCGTTTGACGTTCGGCATGACCAGGCAGCTGTTCCTGAGCCTGCAGCGACTTCTGCAGCGCTCGCAGCTTATCGCAAACGCCCTGCAACGAAAGATCTTAAATAGCTGTTCCATTGATTCTGTAAGACTTGAGTTACCTTCATATCATTTCGTTCAAAGCAGTCTTCCAGTTCGGAGAGCAGATTGCCCCAACCATCCGACTCTTGCAAAGATTCCTTGGCCGCCTGCAATTTGCTTTGCAAACTATTCAAACGCTCTAAGGTAGCCATGCAGTCGCCGGTTTCTTCCTGAACGGCCGCCACTTCCTGACGCATCGCGCTCATCTTTTGCTGCAACAATGCCACATCACTCTGAAGTGTGGCAGCCTCCTTGGCAATGCGTGGCATGCTGGCCACAACCTGCTGGCTAGATTCTTCGACAGCATAGTTAACCTGCTGCACATACAGCTGCAGCTTAGCCACGTAGCTTTGTATGAATGATGTAGCAGTGGCACTCTCTTTTTTATTATTCTCTTCAGTATACTTCTTATAATTTGCATTAATCCAATCGGCGGCTGAAAATTCAACTGGCTCTGAAAGCGCCGATATGTCCATTTTAAAAGTGTATTTAATTCAGTTTAAGGAATGTTTTCAATTTAAAGGTTCTTAGATCACACAGCTGTTTAATTTGTGGTGTTGGTAAATGCTGAACAGTTGTTGTGCTATATGATTTACGGAGCTGTCAGCTTTCGTCAGTAGCCAATATGAAAACCAAAGCTACTTAATACAAGTTATAGGTTCCCTGTGTAATATAATAAAACTTTAGCAATATTATTTTTGTAAGTACTATCGTATGAAACCATATGAAATGCAATTTACGGAATGTTGTTAAGTCCCTAAGCCTCTTGAGCATAGCTGTTTATTTGGCAGTGTTGGTAAAATGCCTCAAGCAAAGTAAGTTCCGACAAACCGCGTATTGTACTTTTCTTCGTGACACGTAATTGTAGATTTTAAATTACTGTTATTTAGGAGGTATATTTATATAATTCTAATAAAACATACAATTTTAAAAATATTGTTTATATAACTATTAACAGCGCATGCCATGTCGTTGGTGTTTTCTTATTCCTGAAATCAGATCGTGTTAGGAAAAACCAACACGCGCTCATCTCTAACTTATGTATTCTCTGATACTTCGTTTGTGAAAACAACAACGATTTACAATAACGATTTGATTAAAAGCTGATGTTAACGTTTTTAGTAAGTGAAACATGTCAGTTTGCCAAGACGATCCCTGGCAAGTGACAAACAATAGCATCAAACAAGGAGAAAACGGAAATAGCAAAGTGATTGAAAAATTTGAGGATAATTTCGCAACTACCATAAATAAAGGAGACACCAAAATACGGACGGATTTCGACGTAAGCATAAAGGAGAGTAATGTTACAGGCTCACAACCAATTGAGCCGCTGCCAGATTCGGCAAACTACTTGCAATTGTTAGGTGAGTATATCTACACATTTATCTAACTGCATTATATTAATCGTGACTTCTTAATGTGCAGAGCGAAAACTGCAGAAAGTTCAAAGGGGAACAAAACTGTTGGACTCGCTGCAGGCGAAGAAGCAGGATTGCATGCGCTCGCTTCTAGCCTCAAGCGTTGTGCCAGAGCCAACTTTTGAGCAATTGCTTGAATTTGATACGCCCATCGAAAGCGGTCGACTGCACCGTCATCTGCTGCCCGTTCAGGCGGTAACAGTAGGCGAAACATTGCAGATTGTTAAGTACGACGAGCTCGAGGTAGATGAGGAGCATCAAACCGAGCAGGAAGAGCAAAACTAATATATATATATACAATGGATACTACGTTTGGCAATGTGTTTCTGTTCCTCACTGATTTGGCTTGGAAGAGTCGTCTAACCATACCTCTGCTGGTGACAACAGCTTTTCTGGTCATGGACATACGCCTACAGATCGAGATTAATATACAAACGGGTCAAGTGGTAACAGAAATCTTAACTTTAACATTAAAGTTAGTTTGACTCAATGTATACATTTACTCTTACAGAATGCTAGCGATCTAGAAGAACCCGGGGATGGCCTCGAGGAACAATTGGCACATGGCGCTTATGCAATGGAAGACGAAAGCGAAGTTTATACGGATGATCTCGAGGAGTACAATAGCGAGTACACGATCGGAGATGATAATAGTGATACGTCTCACTATAGCGTAGATATCTATGATGAGTTGGGCTCCGAGTATGGCATTGAGAATGATCTTGATGCTTACTCGGCAAACGAATTGCGCTTTTAGCTAACACGTCGAATATATATACACATATATATAAATTTTAAGAGTAACCTGTACATTGAGTAACTAGCTTAGTATACGCATCAATTGCCAATATTATAACGTATTTATGTATACATATTTCGGTATAATCACAATTTTGAAAGTAGATCAGAGTCACATGTCGTTTTATTAGCCCACCTTTACATATACAATTTGATCAATTCGTCGCTAACCGCAGATGGTGTCAAGATACCCAAATCCGTAAATAACAGCGTGATATAGGCAGGCGGCGTATAATCGACCAGTGGATGCACCTTTGAAATATCATTCAAATGCTTACGCGAGTACTAAAAACCAGAAAAGATATTAAATAGCAAAAGCTCTTCAGAGCAATCTTTAAGTCTCGACTTACCTTGTACTCGTTGGGTAAATCTCTTTGATTTAATGGATACAGGCGAGAGAACTTGAAGCTCTCGGAGAGTACATAGAAGGGTTTCTTCATTTCGCGAGCACACAAGCCCATTGTATACGAGCCGATGCGATTGATAATGCCGCCGCTTTCAACGATTGCCTCAGCACCAACCATAACAAAATCAACCGATTCCATAACATAGCCAGTCGCCGAGTCCAGTATAAGCGTGCAATCAATACCAGCAGCTTGCAAATCCTGCACCATCTCCTCCCTAATGAAAATAGAGGGTTCTATTAAATGACGAACGATATTCTCGTTTGTGTACTTGCCCTGAGTTCCCTATGCCGCCTTGCGTTACAAATACATGAAATGTCTTTTTGTTTTGTGATGCAGCTATCAGAGCTTTAAGGACGACACGTGATCGAGAGTGTGTGAGGATTCGACAGCCATCGCTGATGAAACGTTGTGCCTGTTGTGAAATCACCTGACGCGAATTTTGTAGCTTGGTCAAAAAGATTTTGCCCCGGTTTAACATAATTTGACGACACTCCTCCATATGCTTGTCGTCCAAGCTAAGTGTTATAAAACGGCAGAAGAGCTCACCCGCCGACACAATCGCTGCTATGGACAGATCAGTGTTTCGCATGGCAGCCACTGCCTCACGCATTGTAGTATGCAAAATGTGTATGGTGCCAACTGTGAATGCGTAATAAATACATTTTTAATAATGAAAATGTTTCTGAAATATATTTGCTTACATTGTTTCTTTTCCAAGATCATGAGCAGCGTTTTAATGGCCGCTATGCCAGATGACATGTCCTTATCATCGTCGAGCAGCTGTAGAAAGTATTTGACCACATCTGTGAAACAGAAAAAGATGAATATGAAAGAAATACATACAAATTACCTGTTGCTTACCAAATTCTTCGTTAGACTTTGTAATTTGTGGCATTTTTGAGAGTAAATATTAAACTGTTCCGCGTTGTCAACAATTGTGATTCGAACAGCTGATTGCGCCTAGCTACACGTAACGACAGGTTGTAAATAAGGTTGTAAATAAGTTCCAAAACAGATTAGTTATGTTAAGATAAGAATATATAAATATCTAAGTTAGGAATATATTTAAGAACTTATTAAATACATCAATTCAGACAGTTTATAATCAAAAATTGTTTTTAAATGTTCTATTTAAATAACCTACATTGTAGAAATAGTGCTGCAACGCAGGCAGTTTACGGCATTAGCCAACACTGTATGCCGGTGCTCAACAGTAAACAATTGAATAGTATAGCAAATGTTATTTTGTTTTTATTTTGCTTTTCGGCATAATAAACGTAACAAAATTAACGAAATGTGCATTAAATTTAAAAGGAAAACGTTCAATTAACTAGGCAGGTTTGGTTAATGCGCATTATCATCGTGTAATTGTCGTCGTTGGGCAACGCGATAATGTTTAAATTAGAGTCCTTTATTACACCAATTTTGCTTAACTACGTGGCGAAATATGTTAAAAACATACGCGATGAAGATGCACAGGTATCGCTATGGGAGGGCGAGGCATCATTTCACAACTTAGATCTACGACTCGACGTCCTGGAGGAGGAGCTGAATCTACCCATTGAACTCGTATCCGGCCACATACACGAACTCTCCATCCAAGTGCCCTGGACAAAGCTAACTTCGGAGCCAGTGCGCATTGAGATAAATACAATTGAATTTGTTGCCAAACTGCCCAATGAGGAGAGTAAGCAGAGACGTGCCTCACTGCTGGAGGAACAGCGTCGTAGGCGCAATTCAGCAGAAGGCGACGAGCCACAGCAGCCAGGTGGAGCCCCCACTACATCGTCTGTTGTCAACAAGATCATCAACAACATCAATTTGCAATGTCACAATATCATATTGAAGTATGTGGACGATGACATTGTCGTCTCCATGAATGTGCAGTACTTGAACTTCAGCGCTGCCGACGAGAGTTGGCAGCCAGCCATGGTAGAAGTTCATCCGGTGATGGTTTATTTGCGCAAGCTGCTCCAAATCTCTGACTTAACCATTTGCCTGGACAAACGGAATACGGCTGGACGTATTGAGGTTTGCCAGGAGCCCATACTCTATCGTTGCACATTGGAGCTACGTGTGCTGCTGAAACATAATATCAACACTGTAAGCACGTCGAGTACCAAGCGCATTGGTGTCTTCACCAAATCCCTGGACATCAATGTGTCTTCGCTGCAGCTGCCCATGATCATGAAATTGGTTAATCTGCTAATGGAACTGAAGCCCAGTGTTCCTGAGGAGGAGGAGAACGTCTTTAACCTGGAACAACCGGTGACATCGTCAAGTAGCGCTAACGCAAATGTCGCGTCCCCCAACGAAGCGTCCGGTTCCATGTTTTGGAATGCTTGGAGTCTATTGGTTAACTCTGACGAAAACACCTCGAACTCCGCGGAACCAGTTGGTCATGTGTTCGATGTGGGTATCTATGCCGAGGAGTTCAATTTTCAGCTCAAGAACTCTGAGCTAATCAACGATCAGGCCATGGGCGGCATAAAACGCATTCGTTATACGCCAATCGTGCGCCTCAGTCTGGGCGGCATTTACTATGAACGATCGCAGCTGAAGGAGAACAACTGGACCAATATGAGAGCGGGCTTGTCCAGCATAAGCATGGAGCCATTGGGAATCTATCGCAGCGAGGATCCCATCGATCAAAATCTGGTGAATACCAAGCAGGTTAGTTGCAAAGCGAGCCGCAACGTTTCATTGCTGTCTCCCTGTCCCTGTCCGATCTCGCTAACTACACAAACTAGATACTTATAACACTCTTCTTCAACTCAAGTCTGATTTGTTGGCTCTTTCGCTTTTAGAACAATAACGTACGGGCATTTGTGGACAAGAGTCTCTTTGATGATCAGTACAAGTCTGCGGATCGCGTCTGGTGTAGCTACAATCATGACGATTACTTCGCACGCCACACCGACGATTATATGCTCTTTCGGAGTCCGGTACTCGCCATTGACATTGTCGAATGTCGTGTACCGAAGCCGTTGAGGAAGCAAAAGTCGGCGGAGGGGCAACTGAGAGATCTGGGTCTGCGCATGAAGTATCGAGTGCTGTCTGCTGGCATCACATTCCACTTTTCGCAGTCACTTGTACAGGTTAAAAATGTAATTAGTGATTTATTACGTCCTTACGACTATACAGGATATACTGCAGAAACCCCAACCAAAGACAGCAGCAGCACCAGCAGCAGTCCAGTGAGAAATGACCAAAACGAGTCGGGCAACAACCAGTATATGACCTATGCGGATTTGGAGTATCTGATCGGTTTTATGCCCACCTGTAACTACAAGATCGAGCTGCGTGACATGACTGTGAAGCTGTATCCAAGGCAGCAGAGTGCCGAGAGCTCTACGCCATCCAACCAACATCGTTTAGCCATCACTGTCAATCAGTCCCTACTGCCCTATTTACAGCTGACCTTGTCATTGGCCGAGGGTTCTGTTTCGACTCCAGCGAATCCCAAGCGTCTTGTGCAGCTGATGACACAGCTGCAGGAGAAGCCGCGAGAGTTAATTGATTCCTGTTACAATATTTTCAAATTCAATGTGAAAAATGTGACGATGGTGGCTCTGAATACCACGCCGGCAATGGGACAGGCTAAGCTCCTGAATATACCCAGCATGCAGCTGGACTTCAAGAACTTGCTTCTGCCTAACGATGAGAGATTCAATACGGCTCCCACGCAACAGGCTGAAGTACAAACGGAGCTAATTAACGTGGAGTTCTCCAAGCGTGAACTTGTGATACTGAGCAACATCGTACCCTTGATCTTGGACTACAATGGAGCTCAATTGGCCGCATTGGCTAAAATGGTTGCCCAGGCAAATGCCTCCGCCGATGTGATCAAGCTGCAAACGTTGATTACCAAAGTGCAGCTTGACTATCTCAAATATCAGACGCATCTGGCGATGTTGTTTTCGCTGCGTAACCTAAACACCGATGTTTATCACACCATGATGAATGTACGCAACGTGATCATATCGACCAGCAAGGGGAGCAATAACAAATGGCTGGAATTTCAGCTTCAACTCCCGCTGCAGACATCGAGCTCCGATAGCCAAGTGATGCCAGCTACTGCAATATGTACCTGGATAGATAGCTTTCGCATAACTCTAGACATCTATCTGATACAGTTCCTCAACTCGTTCGCCAATCCCGAGCAATGCGTTGAAAATGGTAAGTGTCAAGTCTTCTAGTTTATTTTGAAATCACTTAAATGGATTAGAATAATAACATCTTAACGTTGTTTTGCTTGCTTTAGATTCGGAAGCCGACTTTGATAGTTTTAGTCAATCGGAACGATTTCCGTCTTACGCATCGATGACTTCAGTGCCAAAGTTGACGCAGAGTGAAGTGAATGTGCGTCGCGCTAGCCGCTCGAACAGCCGTAAGATCTCAAATCCGGCGGAGACAATACACGCGAGCTCCGAGCGCGATGAGAAGCCCGTCACGCACACGGAACCAGCCAAATCAGTGGCGAAAAGCGACACAAACGCTGACGTGGATTCCATGAGTCTGGCTCAACTGATCAACCGATTGAGTACAATTGTTGTGGTGTTCGAGCTGAGAAAAGTGAACCTTGATGTGTGTGGCGTCATGCTGCGCCGAAGCAGCAAGGACTTGCATGTGGAGTACACAACCATTCGGTTGTCCCGTCTCAGGATCAAGTCCAGCAACGGCGACGAAGTGGTGCAGGGCAATATACGCAACCTGATCAATGTGAATAAAGAGGTGGAGCAGTGCTATTGGCTAATGGAGGCGAATGACTTCTCCGTCGACTTTCATCTCCCGTCAAAAACAGCGGATATTATTGTGAGCCCCGTGCGCACAACAGTTGCCTTGTCTTTGTCTCACAAGCCGACTAATGAAACGAAAAAGAAAAATGAAGACGACCTCGACTCTAAGAAATCAGATCAAGTGGTGGATCCTCAGTTGTCCAGCACATATTCAATCAATGTCCACGTAGATATGTCTCCAATAAATATCTTTGGATGTCACGTAGGTCGCTAAGTAATCTTGATTGATCTAATAACTTAAAGTATTTCAATTTACAGTTAAAGGTTTTGCTTGAGCATTTTACAATTGTGAATGCCGTCATCAATTCGTTAAGTTCGTTGAAAGGCCGACCATGCCAATCCAGTGAAACGGAACGCAAATGCAATTTAGAAATCTACACGGGCAGCGCACAGAATTATGGCATCTTGAAGGAATTCCTCGAGCTCAATGCCAATGTGGAGCCAATGGCTAAGAGTCATGGTGAGCTAAGACTTGAGACAACATAGTACCCTGAATCCATTGTGCCAATGTATGTGATAGATAGGCGATGCACGACTTAACCCATATGGTATACATGTCTGTTTATCAGTCCGTCCGTCCGTCGGGTATTTTCTAGTCGGGTACTCCCGACTAGATAACTCAGCTCTGTTTATAATTCGTGTTGCGCTTTGCTTTTGTAGATCCCAAGTCCAAGGCTATTTTGATATTTTTCTGTCAATGGACTATACCGCGCATCTCCTTGGAAGTGGAGAGCTGTAGAGATCAGATGCTACGGAAACTGGTGTTAAGCCTAGAGGATCTGCTGCTGAATGTGGACAGACATGAGGACTTCACAAAGATCACCACCAAACTGGAGAACGTGAGCCTCAACTTCTACGAAGCCTTAGACCCGGGCGACTGGAGACTCATGGATGATTTCCACATCAAGATGCTCGGAGATAGCACTAATTTGCCACTGTTTAATGTTGTGATTACAACGGTCAACCTGCAGGACCTACACTCGAAGATTGGTGCTCGCAATCTGCACAATAAACGTCGCACAATCTCAGAGCTGCTGATTGAGGTGCAGCCGATAGAAATGATATTGCATGTGGATCGTATTTCCGAATTGTTTTTGTCGCAATGCGAGCTCGTTGATTTGCTCTGCAGCTCTGCGCCTAAAGAGGAGGCAGCGCCTCCAAAGCAAGCAGCACAGGATTGTCTGAGAACTGTACAGGATCTGCCCATAGTGCATCTAAACAGCAAGGGCATCTATATCTATGTGCCTGTCGAGACGGATAAGAGGTGCTGCAGCGTATTGCTGTTGAGGGTAAGTTAACGAGGATATACTTTAGAATGAGTTTATATTTGATTTTATATTCTTTGCAGATCGAGAGCATTAAGCTAACGCCAAGTGTGGAGAATCCTTTAGTGCGTCAGCCAATCCGCCAGGATATCTACAATAAAGCAGCCGAGATGAACATGCTTTGCACGCCAGGTGCTTTGGTCGAGGACCGTCAGTACGAGTTGAGTGTACGCAAGATTTCATTATCCTCTGGCAATTGGCTGCAAACTCAAAAGTTTCGTTTGGAGAAGACGCTGTCCGATACGCACTGCAATCCGGCCCTGGAATGGAACAAGCAATCGCAATCCACAGAGCTTGAGCACATGGACATATTCAAGGACTTCGACTTCATCATTGTTTATGCGCCCGCCATCAGCTACGAACGTTTTCTAATCTGTGGCGAGAGTGTCGAGTTCAACTGTGTCACAGACTTTTTGGCCACGCTGAATACGCATCAGATTCATATGATTTCTGGCATTCTTAATCACGTGCAGCGCTGGCGCAGGTAAGTCGATCAGGGTCGATCACGCCCCTTTATATTATGCCACCTACTATAAAATGATTGTTTCTTAGCATCGTGGAGCAGCACTGTTCGAATACCTGTCCGGCGGCTAAAGATTCAGCTAATTATATCTGCTTCTGTTCTAAAGACAGGCTTGGCAAAGGATCACGTGCATCACAGCGTAGCGATAAAGAAAGATTTTTGGATACCAAGAGCAGCAGCGACATCATGTTGGGTTCCTGTCAGAGCGACTCTGGCATTAACATGCCCAAGTATGGAATGACCACCTGTGGACCTCTGCAGTTTCCGCAGCTGGAATCACAGAAAATGTTCAGGCATAAGCCAATCTATCCACGCAGCGTTTCTTTTGTGGCGGGCAAGTTTGAGCTGCGGATCTATGATGTGCTCGAGGAGCAGGGACAGCTTAAGCTGCAGCCGCTTCTATTGGTCACCGTGTCGCAGCCCAGTTTTATGGCTGCGCAAACGCCACGCGGTGGCATTACCCAAGCTTCAATTTTCAATTTCAACATTTATTTGGCCAAGTCGAATACAGAGAGCGATGCAGCTTCGAGTGAACAGTTCAGCGCGCCTCTATTTGATACGCAGCCCGGAACGCTGGATAGCTCGGGCATACCTCCTCCCTTGCTGACAGTGCGCACGCAAATGGATCGCTTTGAGCAGTTGGAATTGGACGTTGAGTTGCGCAAGCCGATGGTGTTGAGTCTGTGCGAGAGCAGCATCAAAATGTTATCGAGTGATTTGATTCGCATCTATTCGATGCTCAGTGCCACGCCCTATTTTCCACAGCGCAGCGAACGACCTGTGGTGCGCGCGACACCGTTGCAGCAGCTGAAGTTGCAATGCTTCAATGCGGATCGCTTACACATGGCTTGTGATCGCATCACAATCAAGTTCTATGATGACGAGCAGAGCTACAACTGCAGCGCCGTCTGCCTGGACGTCAATGCGCACATCAAGTTCGCTGCACGACCACAGAAGGCTGCTGTCAAGTCGACACTGGGCTGCGTCTATGTGCAGGTGGGCGACAAGATATTGTTGCATCCGATACTCATGCGGCTCTCGGCCGATCTGCTCAGCGAGACGTGGTGCGATCAGCTGCTGAGCAGCGTCACACTCAAGCTGAATGTCCTTCATGTGGATGCGAGCATTGAGAACATTTTGTATCTGCGCCAAGCCCAAACAGGACTCGATAAGATCAAGCAACATATTAATGAGCAATGGCAGCAGTTTCTACAAAATCGTCCGATGCTCGGTCAACCACCAAAGGTATCTCCATGTGAACTTTTAAAGTACACGCCATCCCAGGAACAGATCGTGCGCTCCAAGACGACGCCGAAAACCAAGATGGAATTCTATCAGGACGATTTACGGTTTGTGTTCCAGTAAATTGTAAATACTTATATTATTTAATTTAAAACATTTGTCTTCTAACAGCGCTGGCGCCTTCCAGTTTGTCGATCTGATCACAGACACTGTGCTGCCCATGCCCTACCAGGTGCAGATAATCAAGAAGAACTACGGCATCATTTGCTGGCGCTATCCACAGCCGCGTCAGATGAGCCGTTTGCATATCTACCCCGTGCCAATGCCCGTAGGTTGAGCTGCAAATGTGTGTTTCCTCTGCCCAAGTTAGTTAATTGCTTTGTTCGTCTCGCTAGATCGATAATCCCATTCATATAAAGTGCCGCATGGAGTACTTTAGTGAGACACACGAAACCTTTTTGCATTACTGCGACTTCGAGCTCTCGGAGATTGACACCAAGCAGCTGGTACCGCCGGATCGCAATATAACCGCCACCATTTGGCGTGTGGTTATCATGCAGTCGCTGGTCTCTGTGGATGGAACCTGCTTTGTGCCTGAGGAGGATGATGATATGCATTCGGTGAGCAGTACGAGATACCCTGAAGTGTGCGTAGAGCTGTTTCTGCTGCCATTCTAGGCATAGCGCAGTCGCTCTCACGCCACGCCTCCTTCGGTCTGTTCAATGGGTGCTAAAGTAGTCTTCTTCTTTCAGATCGACAGCGGTCACGTGATGCAGCAGCATAAAGGCGGCGCGAACCGTGATTTCATATTGAATCCAAAGGTTTTGGTTGGCTGCATGCGCATCGATACCATCTTTCAGGTGGAGCTGGTGCCCAAGCTTCAGCTGCTGCTCAGCTGTCAGTATGTGGAGTTGAACTTTCTTAACCAGCCGGATGCATCGAATGTGCTGCCTGCGCCGCTTCAGAAATACTTTCTGCGACGCACCACAAACATAACGCAGACCTTTCTCAGCGTCAACATGGATGACTTGCAACTGCATTCGACGATTTACACACGCGACAGTTACAGCGCCGAGCTGGACTTTCGCAGCAGGATCAAGTGCCTGGACTACGGATCGCTCAACATGATGGACATCATGGAGCCAATGAGCTTTCATAGCTATTTGCGATTTGATGGAAAGCAACGTGTGCTGCATGCCAACCTGCTGCTGGACAAGCTGCGCTTCAATTGCGGCCCCTGTGTGATACACACGCTGCTCTGCTCCAAGCAGCATTGGCTGGAGCAGCTGCAGCAGCAGCGCGATGTGCACACCTTGATGCCCAGGTGTGTCATTGTCAATCGCATGCAAACGCACTTTGTCTTCGGCCAGACGGGCACCAGCGAACGCATCACCGTGCTGCCACAGGAACTGCGTCCCTATTACTTCAGCAACGATGGCTGTGGCCAGGAGTTGATGTTCTATATCGAAGATTTGGAATCGCATAAGCTGGACAGCAGCGAATCACTGGCCATTGCCCTGAAGTTTGAAGATGAGCATCGTGTGCATCATCTGCGTGTTGGCCAGCATTGCATTACCATAAAACTGAGCAAGCTGTCGACCACACAGATCTATATACTGGTCAAGGGACAGATTGAGCTCGTGAGCATGGTGCCATTCGAGCTGCTCACTGAGTTTCGCACTGAGGGCAAGCAGTTGGATGAACAAGCTACGAACGCATTGCCGCATCTGCTAGTGGCCAAAGGTCGCATATCGTTCTATCAGCAGGTGCAGCGCAATGAACAAGTTAACATGAGGTACGTCAGTGGGCATAGATAAACCAAGTTTTCAGTTCTAAATGAAGTTCTCTTTCCCAGACTCAAGCTGAGCTCGCAGAATGCCAAAGGACGCACTGGCGATATACCGCTCAAGCAGAACAACAGCTTGCCCTGGCTCGTTAAGGTGCCCACCCACACGGCGCAGCAATTCGTCAGCCTATGGGTGCGCATCCTGAGGGAAGATGTCGTTTGTGGCACTGGCGTCGATGTTGATGACTTTAAGCCGCAGCGCATTCTTGTTAGCATCTGGCCCATATTCGAGATCTGCAATTTGCTTAGTTGTGAGCTGCAGGCAACAGAGAGCAGCAATCAGGACCAATTTGCCATTGCCGGCGAAGGCGGTCGTGTAGCACTAAATACGGCCACAACCCATTCCACGGAACATTGTGTGAAGTTTGATTATCCGTAGGTTTAACACATCTTTCACTTATAATGCCTAATGCTTCTCTCAATTCCCTTTAGTTCTGCCTTGGGTTCCGCTTCTAAAAGTGAATATACTTTCATGTTGAAGTCCATGGATTGGCATAAGTTCTTCCATTACAATCCAGCGGATTGGACCATCGAATCGACGTTGGACCGACTGGACAGGAGTATCAGATCCAAATGGCCATTGAATGATGCTGAGGAGCTGCGCGTGCAGCGTCCTCATGAGCTGCTTAGTATGATGGATGTTCAGTATCGAGCGCAGGCCACGCGTGAGTTCTCCTGCACCTTGGGCCTGGAGATAGCCCCATGGGCCATGTTCATCAATGATACAAATCTGGATGTCAGCATCTGCCTAGTCGCGGCTGGTGTACGTCATAAGATACGTGCAAGCTGTTTGGAAATGTTGCCTGTGCTTAGCAGCCACTTCACCCTCGATGCGCCCTTTGGCTCCAATTGGGTATCTTCGATGGCCATTTGTGTGGAGCAACAAGGCCAGGCGAGCTCAGTGCCCAGCGGGTCGAAGCGTCATGTGCTATTGCGTGCCAATTCTTATGTGGACATAGTCTTAGTGCGCAACAACGAGGTGATGCGTTTGCTGCTCGACTTTAAGCTTGACGATGGACGACGTATTTTCAAGCTGCGATCCAAATATGTGATAGCTAACTTTACGAACTTAACGCTGACTGCTCTGCCACTGACCATGGACCATAAGGAAACCTGTGGACGCGGCGAGGTCAATTCGCTGCAGTTCGATACGATGAGTCGTAGACTCAAACCCGTGCAGGAAAGGCAAGATTCGTAAGGGCAGCACACACTTACCTGTCTACTTTAGCTAATTGTTTCTTCTTCTTTAACAGCAACATTGGCGCCACCATTGAGAAATTCCTCGATCTGAATGCGTTCAAATCGAGGCACACCTGTGATACGGCATTTGAGTACTTCGTTTGCTTTGCCGTCAATGGGAAAGAGAGGACCTCCATACCCATACCGCTGACAATGCCCTTCACGCGGCGCTGCTTTAACATACAGGATGGCAAAGATTCCATACCCCTAATGAGCACACTCATCGAAAAGGACAATGTATACTATTTGAATGTGTTCACGGACTCGGCGCCTGCGATAATCATCAACAATAATACAAATGTAAAATTCATTGTGGCTCAGACCAGCGCCTCGGGCAACAGCAATGTCAGTTGCACCTCACCTGAGTTCTCGGGCAAGCACTTCGAATGGAATCAGCTGATCGAGCCATATAGCCGATGCTATTATACACCGCCGCAAATGTATGACAACTTTCCAGGCGTGGAGTTTACCATGTGCAATCTATCCCTAGCTCTCTACACTGGTAAGATTTAGGCCACAAACAAGCTTAGTTCTTGACTTAGCTCGTTATCCCTCTCTGATTTGCAGACTTGGTGGCCTGTGGCAAGCACAAGATCAGCTGGTCGAAGCCCATACGCATGGACAAGTCGTGGAAGAAGTTCATACATGTGCCCAACCATGGCGATATCAAGGTCGTGATCTGCGATAAGCATCGAGTGATACGCTTCAACATCTACTATATAGCGCAGCAGTTGGAGTTTTCTGTCAAGGATTTGCGCTCGCGTCTGAAAGAGCCTGAGGCCACGCAACCCTTACTGCAGGAGACCCTTGTACAGGAGTCGGACTCAGTGGATGGGGCCGAAAAGCAACTGGAGCTCGAAAATATTGATTGCATTCACTTGAGCGAGGAGTGCGAAACGAATCTTCAGCTTTCCTTTCGCTTGTTCATCAAGAGCTTTGTCTTCAGCCTGCACACAAACGATCGACAGCGAGACTCTCTAAAGACTGAGGTCTGCAACATGTACGCAGATGATGTGATGATCGCCTACGACGACGATGATGAACGGCGCGAACTCCATCTGCAGCTGCCCAATTTGCAGGTCGACAATCAGCTGTATTCGAATGGCAAATATGACTTCCCGGTGCTGCTGTGCGCACAGAAATTGTACAAGCGCAGCAACTGCCTGCCTCCGGTTTACGAACTAGATGAGCTGTACAGGAGTCAGGCGGCGTCTGCTGAAATTTCAGAGCTGACATTTGTCCTCTACCAGGATGAGAGGCAGTTGCAGGCTGTGTGCTGTAAGCTGCAGCCGTTGCGTGTCTACATCGAGGATGCTTATCTGAATCAGCTGCTGGACACGCTGGTCGAGTGTGCGCCCTCCAATTGCATCCATACCTCGCATCCGGAGTGCAAGCGCCTACAGTTGGAGGCGGGCCAGGTCTGGTTGCCAGAGCAAGTTGTTGCTCAGGCATTGTACATTGCCGAGCCCCTGCGTCTGCATAGCTTCATCGTGGAGCCGCTCAGCCTGCTGCTCTCGGTGCACACATCGTCGCGTGTTTATATCGCCTTGGACCACTCGCCACTATCGTTCTCCCGCTACGAGCGCCAGCAGATACTCACCGTGCCCCTGCGCTTTGGCCAATCTCTGGGCGTGCACTATCTGAGCGGAGCTATTTTCGGCGCTGGCTGGGTGGTGGGTTCGCTGGAGATTTTGGGCAGTCCCAGTGGATTGGCGCGTTCCTTTACCACAGGCCTGCGCGACTTCATTTCGATGCCCGTGCAAGGTCTGTTTCGTGGCCCGTGGGGCTTTCTAGTGGGCATTACCCAAGGCTCGGCCTCGCTGCTGCGCAATGTTACGGCGGGCACAGTCAACTCGGTGACCAAGCTGGCCGACTCGGTGGCACGCAATCTGGATAGATTCACGCTGGATGCGGAGCACATGGAGTTGACAGAGGCTCGACGCCGTGCACGTCCCCAGGGCTTTGCCGATGGTCTGACCTTAGGCTTGACCGGACTGGGCATCAGCCTGCTAGGCGCCGTTGGAGGCTTGGCCCATCACACATTGGAGGCACGCAGCTCTGTGGGCGTGCTGACGGGTCTAACCAAAGGTATTGTCGGTGCTCTGACCAAACCCATCAGTGGAGCTGCCGAAATGTTGTCACTAACCGGGCAGGGCGTCCTGCATACGGTGGGCTTCAATACCATGCCCCTGCAGGTGGAGCCGAGCGTGACACGCAACGTGGCCTTGCACACCAGCTCCTATCGCATCTGGCGTTTCCTGCACGAAAGGCTGAGCAGCGATCAGTTGTTATTCTTCCACGAGATCACGCTCTTGCTAAAGGATCAACTGCAGCCAGCCTTGCTATATTTGACGTCCACAGTGCTGGTGATAATGGAGCTCAAGTGCGACGATCTGAAGTTCATCTCATCTGTGCTAAAGCTCGACGTGCTGGCAGATCGCGAGGACCCCTCCAAACTGTACCTGAGTCTGAAGCCAGAGCAATCCGATGACCTGGAAGGCGTAAGCATCCATTACCAACCTAGCTCAAGTCATATTACTCAAATCTTCTTCCGTTTAATCCACGCAGCAAATGAAGTTCACCAACGAACGCATCATTAGCTTTCTGAATGCCTCGCGTGTCCACGGACCCACGTGCAATGATTCGTTGAGCGACCTGCTGCAGCTGCACGACCAGGATCAGGCTCGGGACACTCATCTGCGCCGCCAGACGCAGTGCATCTTCTATATCAAACCTAACATTGGCCAGCATCTTATACACTATCTCAAGGTCATCAGCCAAACACAGTGAACCAACGAGTGGCCATAGGCTTCCCATGTATTACTATACATATATATGTATATATATATATATATATATATATATATATGTATACATGTATATAATTATATTTTATATATTTATGTATATATATGTACATATTTATTCCAATGCCCAGCTCATATTGTTGTGGAACTTGTCATTCCGCTAGTATTTTATGCCAAACACCAAATGAAGACACTACTAAATTCAATGCAACTTCGAAACTGGTTGAACTTTTTGTAAAATTCAAAACAAAATTATTAAATATATTTATAAATGAATCATAAAGAGGTGAGGGCATTCCAGCCTGGAACTACGTGGGACGCATCTTTGTCTTCAGCTCGATTCTGAAACTGGATACGCTACCTACAGCAGCGACTCAACCTCCAATCAGCTCAACTCCTACGATCTGCTGGTGAGCAATGAGACCCTCAGCTATGACTGGTTACGCAGCTTCGATGGCTTCAAGGGGAAGAATGCTGGGATGCTGCTGCGAGCTATGCTGAATCCACAATTTGTGTGCATCAATCATGGAGCTTGGAGAATTTGGACAATTTGAACTTTACCCATATCTGTCAGCCGCTTACCTGCATGAATATACCTGTCTTTGATATTAAGCGCTCAAGTTTATGATGTTGTTTTGGAATTTCCGCTCACGTGCTGCTAGTACGAGTCGTATTCAGGCTGTGGGTTGGACACTGAACGTGCATGCCAATGCCGTAGAAATTCAATTTAATGAAATTCGATTTCTTTTTAGCTAAGAAGAGCAATAAAACTATTTGCCGTCCGGCGGCAGGAATACCCACAATCAGTGGGGCCAAGCAATGCGAAGGGCGCGGCGACTCGATGCAAGGCAGGAACTTATTTAGTATATTAAACAGAGCCAAACAAGCCAATGGCAGCAGCAACAGCAGCAGCAGCAAAGCTGTAAAATGTTCTTGGCACCACCCGCAGCCACAGCATCCACCCGCAGCAAATTGCTTCCCATTTTTTTTCGCTTAAAATATAATTTGCTTGGCGGTTGGGTTCACAGTTACGCTGCAATGTGCAAAGCTACGCGGCTGCATAACCGTAGGATTCAATTATAGCTGCGCCAGCCAAACCCAAAAACCACTTTGCACCACTCGCGTGCTCGCTCGTTGGCTCTCTGTGTGTGGGTGGCTGAGTGTGTGTGTGTGCCTGTGTGTGTGTCTGCGGCATACATGCGGCCAACATTACTCATATTAGAAACTTTACAAAAGTTGGCCTATTTAATGTATTTCTATAAACACACACATATGCACTCACACACTCACACACACACACATACACAGTGACATGTGCTTGCCTTGCCTTTGCTTATAAGCACATTAGATCTGGCCATCAATTGTTTTTTTTAAGGAGCTCTGTGCATTTGCCCGCCATTCGCACCAAAACTTTTGCCTCTTGCCTTTGTCTTCCGGTTCCGCCTCAGAGCGCGCGCGAATGTGTGTGTGTGTGTGCGTGCGCGTGTGTGTGAGCTTGCACTTGCGCTGCGCTTAAAAGTAGGCAACGAATTGTGTCAGCCGCAGACGTTTTGCCTTTGAGTTGAACGTTGTACAAAGCAGTGTGTGTGGGGGAGTGGGAGATTGGCTTGCTTATGTTAAGGCAGCTGCAGCAATTTAAGAATTATAGAAATATTTGTATAAAAATATATACGTAGACCTGTACAGTTTTCCGTAGCTATACAAAAGGCCACAAATTCGATTTGCAAAGTGATTTTTATTTATATAAATATAAAGCAAATGTGTGAAAATAAACAAAAAAGAAACAGAATCAATTCAGTTATGGCTCGACAGGAGCACCTTTTGTCTTGACGCTGACCTTGAGACGGTCAAGCAGCCAGGCGCCAGCTGCTCAAAGGCGATTTGACGTTATTTGAACCCACTCACGGCCTGCGTCTTGAGGCAGGCTTAGAGTGAGAGAGCGAGAGAATAATCGCGTCCGATGAATTCGAGCAGCATTGTGTGGTCAAAATGGAGTTGTGAATGACGTTTCACTCGACCATTGTGAGTCTTGTTGAAACGTTCGTGATTAACATTTCAAGTTGCTTAGGTTCAATTAGAGCAGTTAATGCCTGACGGTTGATAACAGAAGGTTATATATGTTTCAGGATGTTTGTTTTGTTCCAGTTCTCAAAATGTTCATAAAGTCTGTGTTTAGGCCTATACCTAAACTACTGTAAAGTCGAGTTAAAAAAGGTTTGCCAAATGTACCGAGAATGTCTCGGAAAGTACTATTTCTGCTCTTCAAAATCTCATTTTAGAATTCTTATAATCCTCAACTTCAACTTTACAGACTTGCCCAAAGGCAAAGGCACGTTTCAGTTTGGCCAAAGTCAGCTGAACGTCTAACTCAACAGTCGTATTTGATCTATAATAAAAAGGCTTTGGGAGTTGTATGTAGTATAGCTAGTATATACTCGCTCTTGAAGTGAACGGAGTAGGTATATTTCGTGCATTGTTCAACTTGCTATTCGTCCGACCAATGGCGGCTGGAGACTTGATGGTTTGGGCTGGTACTCTCGTCTTTTAATCTATTAAGATATGAGAAATACTAGGATCTGGCAAACAGGCACTGCTATTACTTAACGTGGATTAGATACATGTCGTATAGTTAAGACAAGATCAAAAGTATATGGTAGATAGATCTAGGCCCATTGACGAGCGTGTCAACTAGCGTAAGGCCATCCCCACCATCCCCGCCAAAAAAGCTAGCCTTTTGGCTGTTACAGTGAAAGATAGCAGTGACAACAGAAAATGTGTTGTGAAAGCCGAAGAAGGCGTGGCAGAAGCCGTAATGTATATATAGACTTGATCAGGTGTGTGTTGTACCAGGTTATGGCCAGGTATCTCAGAGTCAGGCACTTCCCTTTTTACTTGTTTCTTTTGCAGGCAGTCTTTATGCACGACTAATTAAAAGCAGTTTTAATGATAGAGCCGCAGCTGCGGCAGTTGAGCCCTTTTGCAAATGCCGAACACTAAAGATTTGTAGGCTAAGCTCTGGCTTATAGCTTTGCAGTCAAGTTGCTGCAGACTCTTTTAAGACTTACCAAAACATGATTTAACAGCTTTTGGCTTAAATCCTTTTGCTGCTACGAGCTGTCCTTACACATATGTGTGTCATAGAAATAATATCATATTCTTGCTGTTGAAGTAGCTCAAAGTAATTGAGTCTAGATACAAATATACTATGCTTCGGCTGCTCTTTGGGCAGCCAGAAGCTTAATTGCATAAGTAGATTAAATTGAATTCATAGTAAGGCTTCAATTTGCTTTAAGGCTAATGCATTTCTAGCTGCAAATGAAAATTCGCTTAAAGCGCAAAGTGCAAAATTACAAAATTACAAAATTTATTATGCATTTTGAGCTGCAACGTTTCAGATTTGTAATTAGCTTGAAGCGATGAAGGCTTTATTAATAAATTGTTATGACAGCTGGCAATATGTTCGATATTTATGCTCTATGTAAGCTGTGTGGGAGTAGGGGGAGGAGGCGTTGGTGCGTTGGGGCGTTGGGGGGCGCCGCAAGGACATGTGAAATCGACAAATTCGTTTCGCTCAGCGTAAGTGCATGATTTTTGCTATATATTTACTTTGCCATATGCCTGTGTCTGTGTGTGTGTGTGTGTGTGTGTATGGGTGTATTTGGAAATTCATAAGAGACATATATTGTGTGCGCACATCTATGCAAATATTAGTGGCGCAGGCCTCAAGCGATTTCGCTGGCGTTGGCATTGGCGCACGAGGCGAGCTCAGCTGCTCAATTACTTTGACACACTCACTCAGGCACACTCACACACACACACACACTAGCACACACACATAAAGTAAATAAAGGCAAATGCAATTTATTCAAAAATTTGTTACTTATCAAAAATTTATAGAGCAACAACAAGAGCTCAAAAGTTGAGCATTAACGACTGCCCCATACGCGCTCAACAACAAAATATTTCATATTTTACCTTGTGACACGCCTTCAATGTAGGCGAAGTATATGATGCATAGGTTTATCTATAAGCAAAACTTTTTGTTGACTGAGTTATAGATTTATACTAATATGCCACGCCCTCAAGAAGCGTGAGTAGATTGAAATACATATATATATATATATTATATACATTATTGTACTTATTTGTAGAACACAACACCAGCTTGTTGAGCTTATGACGAAGATATAGCTCCAGCTCGATATGTCAAGCCGTCCAAAGTGACTTACCTATATTAAAGCTATACATTGATTATATAGTGCTCAGCTTAGCTGCATGGCCATCGACAGTCAACCACTTGTTCGCTTTGCCGCGCCCTCTGTTGGCGAGTAACTCAAACGAGAATTGCAAGTCTCTAGCAATAGTCGCAAACGAACATAGTTGAAAACGAATATGCTCTCGCTTTAAGCGAGCATGAAAACAGCTTCAAGGTGTCTATCTAGCACATGTGTGTGTGTGCGCATAGGGTATAGGGTGCGTATGCCTTAAGTATGTTAAAGATTTTTTTGCAACGTTGCCAAAACGTTGTTTTGCCCGCTGGGCAAAGGAATTATTTATATTTACATATGATTTTTTCTCATCTTTTGACAGACAAACTGGGCTCAAAGCTGAGCATAGCTAATCGGTTGAGATTTCATCAATCTGTTGCGCATTATACAATCTCTGTGTGTGCGCGCGTGTGTGTGTGTGTGTAACTCCCTATTGTATAAATAGTTAATGCAATATATGTGGGTTTTAGGCTCTTGAGTAAGATGCTTTATTAACAATTCACAGCGAGGGGGCAAACGAACTTAAGTATATGTACAGAAACTTTCGCCTTAACTTATGTACAGTGATTATGTGGGTAAAGAACTGTGAAAAGTCTTCATTTGCTTGAAATCGCATTCGAGTTCGACTTTGAACACCTTATTTATATTTATTTATATATCATTTACACATATAGATCATCAAAATTGTTGTATTTAACACTCACTGTGATAATATATGCATTTAATTAAGCCGCAATTATATTATAAATATTCGTAATAGGATATGAAAAGGAAGCGAGGTTTTCGCATGTTATTAGCGCCATCTAGCGGAGATATCTAGCAACAGCTAACTTACACGTCCTGTGTGGGCAGTAGTAGCTCTTAAGATCAATACGACAGCTTTGCTGAGCTGGCGCCACCTAGCGCCACATAGCGATTCCCATTCACAAGCTGCTTAGATCTGTGCAGCGCCATCTAGTATACTACTATTTCAAATGTTACTCATACGCTCCGTGGGTCGCTGAGATATTGAGATGGGATGCAGCTAGCTAACTGTTTTTGTTTCGATTAATTATGTTATGTCATTCACTAAGGATAAATTCGAGACTTAATAAGAGGAGCATGAAATCTAGAGCCAAGTCTTGTCGTCGGCTGTCGTCGGTGGGGCGCCACTATTGATGCGCCTGTAGTTGTTGTTGTAGCTGTTGGAGGTGCCAACAATCTGCATCTGCAGCTCCAAGCTCTGCTCGGCCGTTGCGGGCACTGGCTGTCAGGAGAGCAGCTGTGTGGTGCGGCATTCCGTTGCCGAATTGAGGGAACTGCTCGACTTATCGCTGGTCCAGCGCTCTTGCAGCTCCTGTTGATAGGGCGATCTGTGGGCACGTGCGTTAGTCCTGATGCCGCCACCACCACTGCTGCTGCTCTTCTCACCTGCACGCGGCATCGAATTGCGCAGCACACCTGTCAAAGCAGAGGCATATGTCAATGAACTGAAAAGCCCCTTGCCAGGCGCACGTCTGCTTACCACAATGCGAGGCGCGATGCGACTTGGGCGAGCTGGGACAGGTATAGAGAATGGATTTCTGTGTGTCTGCAAAGGGGAGCACATTAGAGAACGAGCTAGAGAGAGAGAGAGGGAGACTCATTAGTGTGTGCATTAGCATACCATTCCGTTTGATGCGATTGTGATCTGGTGAGCCGGAGCAGGAGTAGCGCGACGTTAGATTCTCACGCCGATTCAGCGACTCGGCGCCCACATTGACAAACGGACACCAGCGAAAGACCATCTTGAAGCCATAGCGAAAGCTGCAATCAGAGAAAAGAAAACAAGGGGAAACATCGCATTCAATTACAAATGAAATATGAATATTGATGGCAGACTAACAACCATCAAAGAGCATCAAAGCCTCGACAGCTCGTTAAGCAAAAATGTTATTGAGCTGCACGACAACAATCCTCAAATGGAATTGTCCTTCTGCCCTTGTAGCTCTCATTCCCATTCCCCGCTCGATTTAGCACGGACAACTGCAATGCATTCCATTCACTTATGTCATCGCTCTATCTCTCTAACTGACTCTATTTTCTAATCCTATCATTTTGCATACATTTTTAGTTGTTTCGTTTCAATACCCTGGATACAATGGAACAGGGTGTTTATTGCTATTATGTGGACAAGAGAGGGATGATATAATGGGATTGGAATGCAAATTTAATTCAAATGATATGGAATTGAAAATGAATGGAATGAAATTAAAATGGAATATAATGGAATTGAATTAAATGGTATTGAAATTGAGTGCAATTCGAATAAAATAAAAACAGAACAAATTTGAATGAAAAACAATTTAAACTGATTGGAATGAAATGAAATTGAAATATATACATTTAATAGAAATTGAGTGGATTTGGAATAAAATAGAAACAGTAAATATTTAATTTGTATGAAAAAAATTCAAATGAACTGAAATTGGAATACAACAGAATTGGAATCGAAGGGAAATGAAAAGAAATCGGAATATATTCGAAATGGAATGAAATGGAATTGGAATGAAATGGAATTGGAATGAAATGGAATTGAAAAATAATAGCGTTCAGATGCACTGGTTTTGGAATGAAATGGAATTAGAACAACACTCAAAACAAGATATAAAAATGGAATTGGGACAATAAAACGTTATCCTAAAGGCGTTCTAGAAGGTGCGTCTATTTGTTAAAATCTTCTTATGATATAGTATATATGTATTAGAGCTTATCTTCTGCTAGTCGAGCACTTCCATTTGTATTTCTAATCCACAATTAGCACTTTACAGGGTATTGCCTAGCCAGTTACGTTTCGTATATGCTGTCTGTCAACTATGTCAAGTTGAGAATTTGCACCTGCAACCGAATCTTTCGCCCTTGGAATGATTTGGTAGCAAAAGCCAGAGCCAGAGCCAGAGCCAGAGCCAGAGCCAGAGCCAGAGTCAGAGTAACACAAACCAAGCCTTGAAACATGTCAAATAACTTGATTTATGCTCTGGTATTTCAGTGTGTTAGCTCTATGCTTCGTATAGGTATGGATCGAGCAACAACCCGTTAACAACCAACTGCAATAATAATAAAGAAGAAGAAAGCGAAAGGAAACAACACCTTGATGGCGCTCATCATTTACATAAGGGCGTCGCCGACTCAGCAAAGCTCCCGTCGCCGGAACTGGGGTCGTAGTTCCACGTGTCGAACTATTGGCGCTTAACTTTTGTGCGCTCCCCGCCCCTCCCCCTGCCACAGCTCGGACGGTGGCAACAGTCATTGGCATGTTGACTGGGCCAAATTAATTGCAATCAGTTACGCTTTCCCCCAACCGGATGTGGCGCACGGACGCGACAGAACATCAACAGTCAATTTGTGAAAACGAAAACGAACCTACCATACGTACGAATGTGCATCAGTGTGTGTGCATGTGTGCATGTGTGTGTGTGTAGATACACCTGTATGTACAGGCGAGGCTTCCTATAATTAAAGTAGCTCAACTAGATGAGTTCCTACATGTCTTAAGCAGTCGAAAGTTCTGATGAGCCACTGACACAGCAAAGTTACTTCAATAATAGTTGAGTAACTTTGCTTATCTATGAACTGATTATTTCAAATCTAATCTTTGCATTGCAAATAGTGAATATATTTCATAAGACAAGTTCTTTTTATCGCATAATCCAAAAACATTTAATATGTATTGAAATATTTCATATGAGTAGAATGGGCTAGAGACTCAAGTAGTCATATAAGTAGTCATGTCATATTGAAATGAAATGGAATCGGAATGGTATTGGAATAAAATGAATTTAAATATATTAGATATAATAGTGAAATGAAGTCGGAATTAAATGGAATTGGTACGAAATGGAATTGGAATAAAACTGAATTTAAATATAATATATTTGACAGTGAAATGAAATTGGAAGGAAATGGAATTGGAATAAAATGAATTTAAATATATTAGATATAATAGTGAAATGAAGTCGGAATTAAATGGAATTGGTACGAAATGAAATTGGAATAAAACTGAATTTAAATATAATATATTTGACAGTGAAATGAAATTGGAAGGAAATGGAATTGGAATAAAATGAATTTAAATATATGAGATATAATAGTGAAATGAAGTCGGAATTAATTGGAATTGGTACGAAATGAAATTGGAATAAAACTGAATTTAAATATAATATATTTGACAGTGAAATGAAATTGGAAGGAAATGGAATTGGAATAAAATGAATTTAAATATATTAGATATAATAGTGAAATGAAGTCGGAATTAAATGGAATTGGTACGAAATGAAATTGGAATAAAACTGAATTTAAATATAATATATTTGACAGTGAAATGAAATTGGAAGGAAATGGAATTGGAATAAAATGAATTTAAATATATGAGATATAATAGTGAAATGAAGTCGGAATTAATTGGAATTGGTACGAAATGAAATTGGAATAAAACTGAATTTAAATATAATATATTTGACAGTGAAATGAAATTGGAATAAAATGGAATTGGTACAAAATGGAAATGGTACTCAATGGAATTACAATAAAATAAAATAGAATGAAATGGAATTGGAATAAGACGGAGTTGAAATAAATGGAATAGAAAAGTAATGGAAGAAAGATATAATGAACATGGAACACTTAGCTAGAGAATAATACTCCTCATCAAAGAACTAAAGGCTCAAGATGTGTTATAAGAAGAGCACAATTCTTGCTAAAGAATGGATACTCAAAAAAAGTCTAAGTGCGATCCCTAAGCCTTTTTGAGAGACCAATTCTAATAGCCTTCAGTCGGAATTGAAATTCCCTGCGCAAAACTTTCAATTGGACATTCGCCTCAAGCATAATGGCTGGCATTAAATATAGTTTTAGATTTTTGGTAGCGGAACTACCCTCGCTTGTAGAGAACTCCAATATGCTGTGGGATGAGTCAAGGTGACGGGAAAGTTAATGTTAATGTCAATGATATTGATGTTAATCATGACGCCTATAATGACGATGATGATGATGGACGCGCTTCATTTCTGGATAACGAGCTAAACGACCAACTGCGACTAAGTGACTTTCCAGGACCCAGCTGCGTGGATTGCGTCAAAGGAAAACGACGGCAAACACACGAGCGTACATAACGCCCTACTCGACGCAAATTACATAATTTGCAATGAGTTCGAAGGGACGTTGACGTGGACGTGGACGGGGATGGGACGAGGACGAGGACTAGATAGGAATTGATGGTAAAATTGGAGCTGTTGCTCGTACTTACCGGGAATTCATCCAGCAATATATAATCGGATTGTACATGGAGTTGCTCATGGCCAGCCAGTAGATAACCAAGTAGAGCTCCTGAATGAATGGCGCTTCAGTAATCGCCGGATAACAGGATGTGACTATAAAGTAGGTGTGGAACGGCAGCCAGCAGAAGCCGAATATAAGGACGACCACAATCATCATTTTGACCACCTAAGCGGAAAATTGAAATTTCAAATATACATAAGCAAAAATTGAATAAGTACAATGATGATGACGACGGTGATAATGACGATGCTAATGACGTTAAGAATGTGAGAGGGGCGTGAGCTGGGTCAGTATTCAAATTAATGAATGCTTATGCATGTCAAGCTGTGCGAGTGTGCGTGTGTGTGTGTGTGTGGGTGTGGGAAGGGATGTCCGTGTGTGGTGCAAGGAGGTGCGAGCTACCCCTTGCCCTCGCTGCGAGGGATGCGACTTACCCTGCGCTTGCTGCGCACATTCTCCACTTGCCTAGGCGTATACTCGCCAATTGTCTTCGAGCCCCAGAGCTCAATGCCCACGCGCGAGTAGGTGACAGTCATCGAGACGATGGGCAGAAAGTAGGTGAGTATCAGTATCAGTATATTGTAGCTGGACAAATGGAGATAGACAAATAGATGAGTAAGATAAGCCTTAAGCACTTTGAGCATTTCATCAAATGGTCTACAACTTCCACACACACATCCCAGTTGGGTTCTACATTGTGCTGTTAGCACCCTCTGTCCTTTTTTATGACTGAAAACTCAATTTAATGGTCTCGCATGCCCGGAATGCATTGAGGCGTGCCAGCTCCTATTTGATTGCCCATATTTGCTTTCAAATTTGTCACATATACCATGCCAAACGACTGTAAAGAGTTGCATGTCTTTTATGAGCGTAGCCCCAGGGCTGATGCTCCTATACCAAATGAGAATCCAAACAAAGGGTATATTATTATTTTCTGAGCATATTTATCCGACAGGCTGAGGAAGAGCGTGCAACTGATGGCTGCATGGAAGCTTGTTGACTTATCCGTTTGTTTATACGTCTCTCTGCTGCTATACTTTAAGCTCTTAAGCTTAAACCTTGAATGTTTCAGACTCTTTAGTATTCCTCTAGAGAATTTCTCATTATAAGCTTACTCAAATCGCTGAGAGACATCGTTCAGAATTATAAATGTGAGTTTTCCTTAACTTGCTTTGTTAGTCTCGTTACTGGACTCTTTCTGGTAGCTCCCTTTCTCACTCTATCTCTCTCTCTCCCTCACTCTCTGCCACAAGCTTTTTCTCCCTCTAGCAATATTTCCTTCGCTCCCTCTCTCTCTCCCTCATCATCCCTCCGTCTTTCTCGCTCTCTTTTAATACGTGATTCTTCAGATTGTTGCAACTTGTTGGGTATTTGGCAGTCGGCTACTGCCGCACTTTTTTTATTTGCTGTGCGTGACGGTTTTTATTGCTTGGCTGCAAATTTCGAGCCATGCCGAGCTGCGCATTTCATCCATTATAATCTGATAGCACAGATTTTGTCCGCTGCAGTGCGCATCGCAAATTTGTCGATTTATAGCTCCTGACGTTTCCCATGTAACAAAATGCGCTCGTTTGCTTCTGCACACTCACACTCACTCACACTCACACACACACCCACACCCACACACAGAGGCACTCATTGACTTACATGTGCTCCTGTTTGGAGTGATTCGTTTGTCCATCGGGCCACTCTGAGAAGCAAACGATGCGTGTCTTGTTCTCCATGGTCACCGGCACCTGTGCAGCATTTAATAAAGTGGATTCATTAATATTAAAAGTGAGTGAAGGTGAGTTGCTGTGTATACCTCCTCCGTTTTGAAGAACAGCAGCATGGGACAGGAGATGAGCGTCGAGGAGAGCCAAATGATAGCTGCGATGGCCAAATTGCGACGTTTGCTCATCCGCGGCTGCAACGGCTTCATAATTGCCACATACCTGCAAGGGCGACGCCCATTAATAATCAAATCTAAGTGGGCCGTAAGCCGATTATGTCTAGGTGTGCGAGTACACTTAGCGAACATCGCATTATCGTGCTGTGCCTGAAACTATGGACACTCTTCTGACAGTTCATATCAGAAAACACGGCCAAAGAGTAAATCCAAATGGAATTAAGACCGACGTGAGGTGAGATGCTAGTCAATGGGGTGAAAGATGGCGCTCGAACCAGTAAATGGAAGTATAGGAATGGCTTAGCTAATGACAATGCTAATGATAATGCGAATGCCAATGCTCTAATGGAATGTGTAGTGTATCTGCTATTCGAATATTTTGCTCGTATCGAGAAATCTCTATTATCCCTCAAAGCCGAAAACTTCAATTAACTTTGCAAATTAAAATCGTCAGGTTAGCCCCCTAATGAGATGTAGTTTCCACATCTGGTGATTATTTGACCCCCCGCATTTGCCTTTCATACCTTTTTATATATTTAAATCACAAATTTGTTTACCCATAAAATTAAATGAGAAATAAATGACTGTTCTATGACTGTTCTATTTGTACATTTTTGGGAATATCGCAATAAATTGATTGCATTTGATTGCGTCAATGGATGACAGGTGCTTGTCAGAAATTTGATGAGCTACGCAAAGAGTTTAAGGTTGGGAAATTCGTTTCTGCTTTAAACGTGCCGCACGCTAATCGGGGATGAATGATGGCATCGCTTTGGTTAACCCAAATTGAACAAGCGACAAGTTACACGGTCGTAACCCCATCGGCTGAACATGTCGAAGACAAGATATGTATATGTATGTAAGTATCTGTGTACGCTGAGAGGGCTGCAGATTTTCATATCTAATATTAAATTGAGCAGGATTTTGCCATGGGTTCACAGAGTCAAGATTGATAAGGGTTCGGCGTCCAAAACAAGCCAAACACATTTTCAAGCTGTTGATTATGTGCTGTGTACATAGATATGTGCAAAGGTATGTATGTACATACATGGTATGATGCCTCACTTACCTGTCGATTGATATGGCCATTAGAGTGAAGACCGAGGCACAGATGCTGAGCATTGCAATGAACTGCGATACCTTGCAGTAGAACTCCCCAAATATCCAATCGCTGTCCAGCATATAGTAATAGTTGAAGGTCACGTTCAGACTGGAGACCATCGCATCGGCTATGGAGAGGTTCACTGCAAGCACAAGCAAACAGACAAGAAGTCCACAAAAAGTGCGTTCAACAACAATATCAGGTGACAAAGCCAACAAACCAAAATCCAAATGGCAAATAAAGAATGGCCAGAAAAAATATCTCAAGGTAAACATGGGACTGAACAGCCGAGGCAACTGCTGAATAGTTAACACTCTTATAGATTTAATGATGACAATGACAATGACAATGACAATGACAATGACAATGACAATGACAATGACAATGACAATGACAATGACAATGACAATGACAATGACAATGACAATGACAATGACAATGACAATGACAATGACAATGACAATGACAATGACAATGACAATGACAATGACAATGACAATGACAATGACAATGACAATGACAATGACAATGACAATGACAATGACAATGACAAGATCTTTCAGTAGACGTTACATACTGAAGTTGCTAACTAAAGTACCCTTTGCGCAAGAGCATAAGAAGGTAACAGAGAAAGAGCCCAGCTAATTTAAGTAACCCATTTTTTGTTTGTTTATGCGTTGTACATTTATAATTAGTGTGAAAGCCAGTGCAATCGACTTTGGGGGGAAGATGGGATCAGGCAGCGCATAATTAAATGGAGGCTGCAAATGGAACAACGGCCATTTGTCTGCCTCGCTGTCTGTGCGTGTGTGTGTGTGTGTCTGACTGTGTCTGCCTCTGTGTACGTGTGTCGGCCAACATTTATTACTTGGCACATTTGTTATTGTATTTCGGTTTGTGAGTGTCTAACGATTTACATGCCAATGAATCACTAACAACAGCGTGGGCTATAACCACAGTCGCTCTCCAATGGGAGACCGTCCTCCACTCCCTCTCTCTCCCACACAGACAGAAAACATAACAAGTAGGATCATTACAATGAGGCGCAGTCGACTACACAATACTCGTTTACGGTCATTTAAACATATGTGTTTTGTAGGCTTATCTGAAGAGGTCCATCTAAAGAGTAGGCCAATTAAAACTAGTTAATCTTATATAGAAAAAAATTCAGTTTACCCCTATTAACTACAATTGGAATGGACCAATCTACAGATGATACGAAACTAATATACTTTCTTTTCACTTGGTAAGCGAGTATGAAAAAGGTAAAAAGAAAAAGATAAAAATTATTTTGGCATGTTTCTGTTGCCATTGTTTACTTTTCATTATCTATGTAGATAAGCAGTGTCAGAAATAAGCATAAAAAGCAACACCCGAACCAACAATAACAATAACAATGGACATTGTTTTACCGTATAGTTCTTGTCACGCCTACAAACGTGTCGAATTTGGCTAACGATGTGGCACACGCTCGACTCAAGATGGCGACGCAGAGGCTGTCCTGGACCATGTTTTTTGATATCGATTGCGCATCGTTTTAATTAATCAAGACATAATAACAATGCCGAATGAACACGGGCAGGCGAAGCGTATGAAAAAGATACTGCAAATCATAGACAGACCTGGCATCTTATCAGCAAAGGTTGCGTGACTGGGAATTTATTTGTTCAGAAGCAGCAGAAGTTTGCTAAACTAATAATAACGGCGAAATGTCTATTTAGAAATGCAAATTTTGTAATAGCTGCCAAAGCCATCTGAGACCTCAAGGCATTTCGTTTACATAATAATAATCATTGCGCTCAGAGATAACAGCTGGCTTGGCTGGATGCCCATGCCCTGGGGGTGAAAGGGGGTAACATCCGTTCCGAAGACATTTTGCTAGTAAGTCAACTTTCAAGCTAGGTCAGTTGAGAAAAACGGGTAGGAGAAAGAGAGAGAGAAAGAGGAAGTGAGAGACGTTCTTATGGCTGACAATGCAACTAGTTTGCCTTTTGATACACTTTTGAACGAGCATAAAGCACAGCTGATAAAACATGATATGAAATCGGCCATTTATATACATATATCACTCAACTACATTGCATTTGTGGTTATTTCATTCTATTTCATGCTATTTCTCTTTACTTGGCTCTGTTTTTGTCAAGTCATTGTTTTACCGTTATATTTGCCTTACAGTGCATTAGTTGAAGGCGTGAAGTCGCCTAGCGAGAGCAAGACAGCTTACTTACATTGGCTGCACCAATACTGCTGTCTCGCTCTGTATTGTATGTAGTGTGCGTATAAGAGCAACGATCAAACGAATGAAGGAGAGCAAAGCCTAGCAGCTGTTGAAGAAGGGATTGTGCATGCAGCAAATACGCTGTATGTTAAAATATTGCATACAAGGACACCACAGTTAATTGACTCGCGCAATTAAGAGTATTTCTAATTCTATTTCGATTCCTCTTTATAGGCAAGGAGGACGTGCTGTTAAAAAAAGAAAAGCACAAATGAAGATTCGGTTTTACAACATTTGCACTATGTTTTACATGCAACCCACTTCATTTATGTGCGTGCAAGGGTATTTAGAAGTCAACATTTGAATGCGTTTGCATTTTTCTTTTTATTGTCAAGTTGTGCATGCATGAGGCCGGCGGGCTTTTGCTTGTGCACTGTGTATGTGTAAGTATGTAAGTATGGATGTGTGTGTATGACAATAGTCGGAAGGCAGTCAACTGACAGCATCTGGCCAGGGTTAGTCGTAGTTCTTGTTGTTGTCATTGTTTGCTGCTTGTTGTTGTTGGTCGGGGGTTGCCTGCATTTTTATGCGCTTTGTTTTTAATGGTTTCGGCAATGCCAGTGGGACAGACAGACATGCAAAACATACCGACTTTTTGCATATAATATAAACAGCTCGGCTTGCATGCATATGCATGACAGAGAGAGACAGCGAAGTCTGCAATCTTTCATTTAGAGCCACTCAAAATGAAAGAGCAATGTCAGTAATATCATTATTAATAGACAAGTACGAGTGAGAGCGAGAGAGAGAGAGGGAGAGAGCGTGGTAGGCGAAACACTTCAAGTGCGTAACCTTAGGTTTGAAGTGTTCTTTAAAATGTAATTAAGATTCAAATAAAATGAGGCACACGGAGCAATTGCTGCAAGCAAGGCTAAATAATAAATATAATTAAATAATTTACTAAATATTAAATACTATTATAAAGCAGATATAACTGTGCATTCATTTGCTATCATGCAGTCAATCAATCATTCAGCCGTTATGAATATGATGAATGACTTTTCACTTCATATTTTTCCGACTTTTAATTGGCGCTAAAAATACATTTCAAAAAGTCGAAAGAACTTGAGCATGAATTTAAAATAAATTGAATATGACAGGACAAAAATAAGAAGAAAAAACTGATGCAGCCCTTTGAAGCCCTCGGAAGCCACATTAAAACATTTTGCTGCAGTGCCGCAAGTGCAGCGCGAAGTTTATAAAGCAAATAATTGAATTAACTGTGCATTGGCACGCGCCACGAATTTTCGGCTTAAATTGAGAGCTCATTCAATTACGGCCAAAAAAGGAAAAGCAAGATAGTTGAAGCTCTTGTTTGGGTTCGACATGGCGTATGCGTGATGCATACCTGATAGCGCGTACGGCCCGTAGACTCACCTATAAAGTAGTTTGTAACGGTGCGCATACGCTTGGTGGTCAGCACAATCCAGACAACAATCAAATTGCCGCCAGTTGCCACAATGACCATGCCGCCAAAGAGTATGCTCCAGAGCACCTGACGCCACCAGGGCATTACGAAGGCGAACGAGGCAACTGGCGCAGCGCCGTCCTCATCGATAAGCATGTCCAAAGCATCGCTGACAGGAAGGCCCGTTATACTTGTAGGTACACTGCGGAAGAGACAGAGGGAAGAGAAAGTGAGAGAGAGGGGAGGAAGTAGAGTTGTGTTAGAAACAATGTTGAATTAGTGACATGAAGATTATGTGTGTGCCAAGCCGGAGACGTAGCGAGTGCCAAGTGGGTCGCTCCCTTGACGCTTCTATGTCTATGTGGGTGTGCGTGTGTGTGTGCCTGTTGGCAGGATATTAGGCGTATGTAATTGTGCGTGCGTTAACAAATCCTTGTCGGTTTGTTGTTATTCATAAAAGCTCAGGTTCAGACTGGTTTACGACTCCCACTCGTCGCCATCTCTTTATACTCGCTCACTGGAAGTGAAAAGTGTGAGTATATGGGTTTTATGCTATTGAGAAGTTTAGGCTATGCAATTTGGGAGGCGTGAAAAATGGGGGGATTACAGAAACGACAGTTTGAGGCTAGAATATTTAAATGGATCAGTATTTTCTCATAATCATTGGATCTATATAGAAACTATTCAGATTTGCAGCAATAGCTGTTGATCTACTCGAAACGGCTTTGGGCGAGTATTAAGCAGTCAGTTGAGATCGCTTGGCTAATTCTTATTTGTTAATATTCTGCTTTTCTGATTGTTTATTTAGAGCGTGTGTGGGCGTATGCGTGTGTTTCGAAGTGTTTAAATAGGCGGCACACACACACGGATACACACACACAGGGACACATAGACACATAGATTTAGTGGTTTTGTTTTAAGAGGCCTCGCAGGCTGTTGCAGGGCCATCAACGGGCTGTCAACGTCCGTAAATCGGGCCCCATGTTAAACTCGGCTCGTTAGCAGCCCCACGCGTACATGTAATTTAATATGTGAGCTCACTCCCTGCCCCCTCCCCTCTCCCCTCTCCCTCTGATGACATTTGAAGCGAAAGTGGGCGTGACTGCGCCCAGTCAGTAGCCATCTGCTGTCGCCAGTCATTAGTCCGTTCGCTCGTCGTATCAAGAGAATTAAAAAAATTTTTCATCATCGTTGGACTATTCAAATTTCTATGCGCCGCATACTCTGTGACCGCCCTCGCCCCAGCCACTGACTTGTTTATTGGCCTGTTGCAAAGAGGATTATCGATTTTTATGGGTAACCCAGAAAAAGAAAAACAAAATAAAACTTGATCAAAAGTAAAGAAATTATAAAGAAAACAATTTTGAAGCAGCAGCCGCAGGCACAGGAAAATGTCAAGTGAGCATGTTGCATGCTGCATGGGGGAGTGCTGCACTAAACTATACCTTGTATTTGAAAGAACTTGGATTGGAATTGTGAGATATATATAGCAATACATGGAGCTCCATTGTGGAGTGAGGAGTTTTCTTGATATTGCTTAGTTGTCTTTATATCCCTTTTTTTGAAACCTGTCTCTCCCTCTTCCTCTACCTCCCTCTCTCTCTCTCTCTCGCTCTTCCACCTCTTCAGCATTCTTTCACTCAAGATTTTAGACATATTTTTGCAAGTTTATGGGAACATTTTAAGCCAATTTTATGCGTACACGAAATGAAAATGCGAAACATTCCTGAAATCTTTTTTCTTGTTTTAATTTCGCTTGTTTTTGCATCTTTATTTTGCATTAAGCCTGCCAACGCGCTGGAAAAGCCAAACAAAAAATAAACTTTTCTAAAGTAGGAAAACATTGAAGACGAAAGAGAAGAAGAGGAAGAGGAAGAAGCTAAAAGCAGTTGCCAAAGATACATTTTATACTTAAAGTCTGTCATTGAACCCAGTTGAGTTGTCCATGGACTACGCTGTGAACATGCTTGAGGTACGTCAAACGCAGCAATTATTTGGAAGTAATACTCCATAAAGGACTATCATATTCAGCTCCCTGTGCATGCGAGTGTGAGTGTATGTGTGTGTATGAGTGTGCATGAGTGTGTGTGTGTGTGAGTGTGTCTTGGGGGAATCAACAAATTTTGTGCTGCAGTAAGCCGTCTGTCGTCGTCATCGTCGTTAAAAAATATATAAAGTGTCGCATGAGAGGAATGCACGACTTTGAAATACCCAGCAGCAAACAGAAATTCATTCATATAAATTGAATATGATATAAGTATAACTGTAAACTAAGATATGATGATGATTGTCTTAGTTGTTATAGCATAGATTAAAGATTATTGTCTTCGGTCTTATGCAAGAGTGCTTCACACTTCGCAGTAGCTCTAACTATATCAGATTTGAGGTGAATGAATGAGAGTTGGTTGAATAGAACTCAAAGAGCAATCCTTAAGGTACGGCTAAAATAAAATGAGTATTCGACAGATGAATAATGGAGAAGGTAAAGCAAAGAGTTCTTTGTCCACTTTAGTGGCTGAAAAATCAAATGAGTAGAAATAGTTATGCAATATATTAGTCACATAGGTACAGTTATCAGGTACATAGGTACAGTTAGTGAGGCTAAGAATGCTTGTGGCTCAAACTTAGCAGGCCCAAGGCAATTGCTTAGCCATAAACCAAGGCAAATGAATATAAATGATTTACTTTAACAATACCACACATGCGAGGCTCTAAAAAGGTTAAAGAAGTGCCTCACCACGCCCACCATAGTGGTTCGAGCTGCCCACCTTCGTAGTTGAGCGGCCCAGAGCAATACTTTAACTGGTTGCAAAAAATTGAAAATGAAATCTACTTGATGGTAAAACATATGACCTTCTTACCACTGGGAATGCTCTAAGTGTGCGACAGGGCACATAAAGCAGAAGAAGAAGAAGACGGAGAAGGAGACGGGGCACGCACACATTGATAGATGTGAAATGTATTTTATATATATGTATACAGATGTATTTGTATATGTTTGCCCATCAATGAAATGTATTTGAAACGGAAATAAAAAGCCAAAGCTGGAAATGCTCGAGTGAGTGAATGACTGAATGACTGACTGACTGACTGACTGACTGAATGATTGATTGACTGAGTGTGAGTGGGTGAGTGGGTGAGTGAGTGAACCGCTGAATGGATGCCGCAATGAGGCATCATTAGATATGCATGGTTGGCGACGCACACACACACAGACAAAGCCAAGGAAGGCGAAAGCCGAACTGAAGCTCAAATTCGCTAGCAAAATCTAGGGCATGAGTTCGAACCGTGTCCGCTCCTCATTTGGAGTCGAATGTTGTGCGTGTGCTCGGCATTAATTCAATTTGTATCATAATTAGACATTGCGCTATGCACACTACAGACAAACAGGGCATATTGGCACTGCTATGAAGATATGTGAGCCTTAAAATCGATATTTATTCCTGATCAGTGGGTTAAGCTGAGTCTAACTAGAGACTAACTATCTCTTCGTCAACTACAACAGTGAGATACTTCACATTTAGAATACAGTGTGTTGCTTATTACTGTATTTGCGATGACACACTTCATTTTCGAGATATCGATAAATATCGATTTATCGAAATAGTTTTTGTAGCATAACTTTGAGAGCTTTCAAGCTACTGAAATCAAATTTGGTATGTGAGCTTATGTAATAAATTCATACATTGTGCCTAACTGAAATTTTAGATGCCCATCTTAAAAGTCATAATAATTGAAAGTAATTCAAAAATTCCAACTAGCAGAGACTTGAGCTTTGGTATGCTCATACAACTGAATGCTACAATTATGCTCTAAAAATTTCATTAAGATCGCACTACCAGAGCCCAAGTTACATCAGGCTATTTCACATAGCGTAGAGCACTGCCCATAGAATAAGTGCGTGATTGTGTGTGTATAAATGTGTGTGTGTGTCTATTCACGCCTTTCTATGTATGTCAGAAGCAAGACACAGCAGCAGTGTTTCTGCACAAGACAGGGCATCTGCTAGTCGTGCATACCCGACTAGACACTTACATTCTGCTCAGATTGTTGCTCAGATCGAGTTGCTTCGATGATGGCGTCTGATTGCCCTCCAACAGGACGCTATTCAGCGCAGTGTAGAGCAGAGCTGGAGCATAAGTGCTCCAATTGCTCCAAGTGTAGCTGCTGTCCATCAGCTCCTCATTGTTGTCCATTTCGTCTATTTGTTGTTGTCGTGGCTGTTGTCCTTTGGCCTTTGTTTGCGTTCACTAATGTTGCGTGTCCCTTTCTGGGATGCCTCTTATTTGGATTCCATTTATGTGCGCTGCGATGCCTGCAAGAGCAAAGAATAATACATTTAACTAATTTCCGAGTTTCGGGCTTATCTGTGTTGCTCGCTCAGGCAGCGAAGGCGAGCATATTCCTTATGTCAAGAGTCTCCCAGTCTCGTTCCCTCATACATATATCAAAAGCTAAGTCAGCTGTGCAGCGTGTTAATTTCTCTGTCGCAGAATTTTCAAATTTCTCTTGTCTTGCTCTTCCACTCGATTTGAGTGCCAATCGAGTGTAAAATCGTCTGAAGCGAGCATCGAATATTAGATACGCCCCACCGCATCCTTGGATTCCTGTGGCTTCCCTTAATTGAGTGCAATTAGAAGAGAAATCAAGTGAGAAAATCGTCATTGAATTCTTTAACTTTTCAATTGACGAGCTCAAGTATTGATGAAGCCTGATAGGGGGAGCGAAGAGTGGGTATATTGGTTGCATTATACTCGTTCACGTTATCAAAAGACAGCATATTCGCTATATGACACTCAATCAAAGATTGAATATTGAAACCGAAGAGTATTTCGAATTGACAGACTGAAAAGTGGGCATATAAGTTAAGTAATACTCGTTCGAGTTGTTTATTATATCGAATTATTAAGCTAATTGCGAAGCTTTTCAATTGACTAACTGCATTTTCATGATGTGAAAAGCGAGTATATTGGTTTCACAATGCGCGCTCTTGGAAGAAGAAAGTATATTCGAGTGTGAGAAAGGAAAAATAGAGTGAAAAAGAGAGTCTTTAAGTTACATTATAGTTCTTCGCGCTGCAAAAGAGGTATATTGGTTTCTCACATTACCCTTGCGTATTGAACTAACTAACTCCAAAACTATAAACTTTCGAGCTTGAACGAGTATGACGTGGTCGTGCACACCCCAAGACTCCTTTGATTTGATTTGTGTTTTCCTTAATATTTTTGGTCGATATCTTCTGTTTGCTTATCGCCAGTTGCTGGGCCAAAAAGTTTGTCAGTTCTAAAAAATTGGCGAGTTTTTTTGGTTTTGGACTCCTGTCAAAGGTTTTCAAATTGATTGTGATTTGTGTTTGCCGAAGGTTTTTGCCTCATTTGCGGTTTTTGCGGTCCGTTTGACATTGAATGCCAGAGGACTTTAAGGCGCGCATCGCATGTGGGCGGGGCCCTGCTTTAATAGGCAAAACGAAACCAATTTGCATTGAACGCAGCAACTTTTAAATTAACACAAAACTTTCGCACATCAAAGGCAATTAAAAGTTGTGAGCAGAGCAGAGCCCAGACCAGAGCAGACCAGGTGAATGGAAACTTAATTAGGGCCCCATTGTAAAGCTGGGCTCATCCAGTGGCTCATTATTTATTTTTCTGCTCATGTACAGAATTTACTTGAACTTTATTTAAATCGAGTTTCTTTCATGGCAAACGTTTGTCTAAACTAAACACACAAAACATTTCAGCAGTTCAACGATATCTAATCAAATCAAGTACATTTCTTATCAGAGCAAACCACTTCTAATAGCAACCTGACTGGCATTAGAGAAGTGACTAAAGAATGAAGATCGATTGAGCGAGCAGCTGACTTTGGTATGCCCACGGCACAGTGGGTCTGAGAAGCTTATCTATAGATCGAAGTGAAATTTGATTTCCAGCTAAAATATTAATATTATTGAAAAATTATTTTTCATCAGGCTGAAGTTGATAACGTTAGAAACTACCCTCGCATATGCCTTAACAGTTTTGGCTATTCAATATACGATCGTTAGATAGTCATGCATTGATTGATTTATGGATCAGTTATCGATAAGCTATCGATGACGACAATTGTAAATTTATAGAACATTAGTCGATAGATTATCGACTGAGTTATCGATAGCAAGAATTGTAAAATTATAAAACATACATTGATTACCTTGTCGATAGGTTATCGATATGTTCTCAATTGATCAATAGCAAGAGATGTATAATTGTAGAGCTCTTATCACATACGTAAGCAGGCAAACTTCTAGATACACATACATTGACTAGATCGCCGCAGCTGTTCATCATGCACAGACATAATCTAAGCAAGTTAGAATCGAGTCAACCCTACTAAGAGACAACAGACAGAGAGACAGTCTTCATATACCTTGGAAGTATCTTTATCATCTACTCTGATATCTCTATCATAGAGAGTAAAGACTTGGACAAACAGCTGGAGGCCTAAGTCGACTTAATAATTGAAACTGATCATGTATATATACAGATAGCAATTTATCTTTATTTTTATCCGGATAATTTTCAAACAACTCTCGTACATGCAAATGATCCAAACAAGCAGATGTTATGCTGCTTAGCAGGCTAACTAGTGGAACGGATGTAGATATATGATATGGCACATATAATAAAAATTTCTTTATCTATATCAGATGTCAATTAAATGCATATAGACAACATATATATATAGATATATATATAGATACATAGATACATAGATAAATAGATATATAGTTATATAGATACATAGATATATAGATATATAGATACATAAATATACAGATATATAGTTATATAGATATATAGATATATAGATATATAGATATATAGATATATAGATATATAGATATATAGATATATAGATATATAGATATATAAATATATAGATATATAGATATATAGATATATAGATACATAGATATATAGATAAATAGATATATAGATATATAGATACAGCTATATTGATATATATAGATATACATCATATCAGACATTTCAGCTTTTTCCCTAAATAATGCTTGAATTTCTATTTAAGAACTTTATTTCTGCCATATATACACCTGTATGTACTACACCTGTTTCTTTGTTGCCATTAAATATAAAAATTTTCAATTTGTTTGTGACACAATATAAAAATAAATAAATACATATATACATATATACAAATATATATATATAGCGGTAACAGCGAGAGGTCTCTCAGATTGAAACAAAAAACGAAACTAATTCAATTCTCCGAAAACGTTCTTTCAACGTGTCCCCAGAGCTAGATTAACTCACCTGTAGCTATTTATTTATTTTCACCCACTCCAGCCGCTACTTCTTCGTCATCTTCTTCTTCTTCTGCTCCTTTGTGTGTTTGTGACAACGCGTAAGGCAAATTGCTTTTCACTTCTCTTCTTGTGGCCCCAAACCCAAATCTCGAATTACAGCTGAACTTGTTTTCTCTGATAACTAAAAGAAAAACAGTTTGAGGCTGGCTCTGACAGATTGAGACAATTGCTGGCCCTTGCCACACTTGCCACATGCCACTTGCCATCTGCCACATGCCACATGCCACTTGCCACGAAAGAATGCTGCAGCAGTCAATAAAAATTCGACAAATTAAGCGCGCAGCTTTTAACTCTGCCTCTAACATGTCAAACAGAATTTTCCAACTACAATTTTCTTTCTTTCAATTGTGAAATAAGTTAAAAGCCTTCTAGTCGGCAGTGCCTGACTAGGAGACGCCCTAGAAACTTGCCTAAGCCTAAATCTTGTTTTAAGCTCCTTGTATGCATACACAAACACACATGCGCCATCTACTGTGCACTTTCTGCAGCCTCTAGACCGCAGAACCCATACTATGACTATTAGCCTCATGGAACTTGGCTTCTAGGTGTATGATCGTAATGAAATTTTTGGAGTGTATTTATGACATCGAAATGTATGAGCATACTAAAGCTCAAGTTGCTACTATTTGAAATACGCTACTGTTTTTCAATTATGCAGTAAATAAAAAGTGATATATCAAATCTAATTTTAAAAAAAATTTTATATATAGAACTAAATCATACATACGAAATTTTATATCTCTAGCTTCAATAATCTTCAAGTTATATTGAAAAAACCAAAAAACAATATCGATATTTATCGATATCAGGCAATGCAATGAGTTATTGAAAAAATATAATTATCTTAAGTAATATATAAATATTCAAAGTTCAAAGTTTCTAGCTATTGTAGTTCCCGAGAAACAGAGACGAACAGAGAGGCGGGCAGAGATTTACCCATAGACAGACTTTGCTTATGTGATCCGTAATAGACTTTATGAGCTCAGTCTCTTCCGCTTCCACACGTTATTTACATTTCCGCAACACCCAATATGCCCTCTGCTCGGCCATTTTGTCAACGTCATCCATGGGGAGTCCATCAATTAACGGAATGACGTTTGCCGGGCCAAATACTGTTTGTGGGAACTATGCAAAAATCAATTAGCCAACGAGTTGACGGCGCTCACAGCAACAACGGGAATCGGATCTGTGTCTATACGGAACATATGGCAATATTTTATATGCTGTTGACAGAGCAGCTGTAAGGCGGCGCGGGCGGGGCGTGGCCAGTTGTTAAAGGTGGGCGTGGCTGCAGTTGCGGCGCAGTCTTAATGAAATGTAAACAAACTTCAAAAGAATGTTGGCTATAATTGGCAGGCAGTCGGACAGCCCGGAACTGCATTGCCTCAATTGTAGGGGAGACATAGAAAGAGAGGGCAGATACAATAGGGTAAGAGATAGAGGGAGATAGATGGGGTTCCAGAGTGTTGCCAGAGTCGAGCTAAGAGGAAATAACTCGCGAAATAGACTCAAAATATTTGCGCAAAAAATATTTGTCGAAATGGGCAACAAAAAAAAGGTCAAACAATTGCAATCGAGTGCAACTGACTGCATAATACTCGTTCAGATACAATTTTCATTTTCATCATATACAAATCATCTTAACACCAAGAGCAAAGAGAAATTTCAAAACTCTAGCTTCAAAAGAGGGCAATTCAACAGCCTTTCAGAATGTACACAAAACCAATATGCTCGCTTTGCGCAGCGTGCTAGAGTATTGAAGAAAAGTGCAGGCGAGTCATAACTTTAGCCGCCCACTGTCCACGCCCTGTTTGACTGATGTTGCGGCTAACATTATTTTCTCTCTTTCTGCTTCTTCCACTTTTCAGCAATTGCCGCACAAAAATTGAATTTCATTTTATTTCTGCTGGCCGCACTTGAAAAATGGCGAAGCTGTCACGTTCCTAACA